ACATCGTTAGTCGCAGTGGTCCTTGTAGAAATAATGTTCGTCGGTCTTGTTCTTCCACCACTAAGCATCATTTGTTTTAAAATAAGTTTTATGATTGGAGACTCATCCTTCCTCACGATTGAAACGTCTGGTTTTGGCGTTTCGGTAGCGGTTTGATTCTCTAAAGGGGTTTATACAAGAAGGGGGATTGCTAGCCCTGCGCCGAACCCTTCTCTCCCCCTTTTTCTTCACCCGGGATTGGAACTGGGTATGGCCACCACCCAGGGTACCGTACTTTTACTTGTACACTGAGATAAAAAAAATGACATTACAGAAAACTACTGCTGCGTCATAAATTCATTTTGGAATCGGGCACAAACAGCTATATATATTTTTTAAAATGGGATGTGTTGCTGTTGTTTTTACACAACAATCGATTTATACAGAAATGTCGAGGTTCTTTATCTAGTAGAGAACCGTTTAATTTATTCATAGTCCAATAGCTGCGTATGGTATCGTCCCATGAAATATGCATGTGGTGTTGTCACATTCATGTTTTATTGTCTCTACTTGATAGCAGCTCATTATTCATTATTCTCAATAAAATTATTTTTAAAAATCATTAGACTATTAATTGAATTATTTTCATATTATCTTTCGAAACCTTATTTCACTTTTTTTTTGCATAATTTGAGGGAAATTGTAATGTGGTTGATAGTATCACATCTTCTAATTTGAAGCCCCTGTCTTCTTTACATCTAAGTATTTAATTCGGTGTAGATCTAGGCAGAAATGTTAATGCATTTAAAAAAAACAACCCACTTCTGTATTATTTTTTTTGTTTATCTCCTGTTTCAAAAGGTATATTCCTGGGGGGGGGGGGGGGGGGCGTTGAAATGAATGCATAGTTTTTTACGGAGCATACAAGCTTGGGAACCACTGACCGGGTCTATAACAGCCATTTGGCTGTATTTTTTTAGTGTTCAAAACGTTTATGGATTGGTGTAATAAATTCGTACTTTTTATTATTTTTTTTTAGTCTTTTGTAGCATTACTCAACGAATGTAATCAGCTAAAGACCAAAACAACTTGTCTAGTAAAAACGTACATTGTGCCTTAGAAGATTTGCTGCGGGGAGGGGGATTCGGTTCAAAAGATTAAGAGACCTTTGCATTTGTAACATGGCTTTGTTGTATAGTTGTATACATTTTATCGTAGATAGGTTTCTGTAAAGCACATAATTTTAATGACGGGGGAGGGGGGGGGTTCCATAATACTGGTTAGTTGAGGGTTATTTTAAAGTCTTAATATCGAATCGATGTTTAAAAAATGTCTGCCTCAAGAATCTAGTAATACCTAAATAATACAACACGCATCGGTGAATGAATTGATACACTTTCTATTCTGAACAAAGGATTTTTGTTTTGATAACATGTAAGTTTATTCATATTAAACGTAATGAGCGAGCGGTCTGCAAGTCACGTGGACCTCTTGTGCGGGAATCGACCGTTGCTCCGTCCGCGTGTGTCGCGTCACTAAGGTATGACCCCTTGAAAAGAACACAGCAGGCCTATGTATGCCCTCATTGATAACCTAAAGTTTTAAGTAAACGCTCTGTCCCAGCTCAATCGGCAGGCTAAATGTATTCTTTCCGAAGTCAAACTTACACAATGAGTCAACGAAGGTTATCGACCCCTACCTTACACTATACAAAGCGAGATCGAAATGACCCTACCTTTACCTTGATTGCCATTGTATCCACCACGAAGCTGTTTATTTATTGCATTGGACTTGTCAATCCTTGCTGTGGCAGCTTGAGTTACAGCTAGTGGGGGACTTCTTTGTTATTTTAGATAGGGACCGGTACATGTCGGCGCATTTTCTGATACCGCTTATTATCTTGTTGGACACATTATCAGTTTTGTTTGTTGTTTTAGCGCGACACTGGGTCACATGAATATTATTTTCACCCTATCGTTAGATGGCAGACCTAGACCTTACTTGGATAAGGTGTGGGCAAGATGGGTATCGCCAAACCAAATCGTCCAGTTTACGTAGCGGGCAGATTCGTATATGATCTAGAATTAGACGGCTTTCGTGCATGTTTCTTGTATGTGCACTAATTTAAAAATACGTTTTATTTATATGATATATAACAAAGATGTGCTTGTTTTTCAATCACTGATTATTAGGTATCTATGCTGTTTCCAAATTGTAACATTAGCTGGTTTAATACCCCAAGTTTTTAATATCAGATTTCTAGAATGCTACACCACTTTATTTTTACAGGTACTCATTATTAGAAAGTAATGAAGAAAAAAACGTTTTATAAATGAGTTTTTTCCTAACACTTTATTCCTTTATTGAGTGTCAGAACAAAATGACACTGTGCAAGAAGGGCAAAGATCTTCTAGACCTAGAAGTTCACCTGCTCTCAAAACACATAAAACTGAACAAGTTAATTGTGCCATTTTTAACTCCACTTATCTATGCTATAAACTTTGCTATCTATAAAATCAGTAGCAGTAGGAGCTCTCTATATCTTAAGATCAAATTGATTTATATCTTATTTACTGATTGCTATTTCTAATTAAATACCTATTGCTAATCAAGAGCTTCATGTTCAAAGCACTTAGTGTCAATGTGGGTTTATTTGTGTCATGACATAAAAGTACAATAGATTGCTTTATATGTCATATTGTTGCTTGTAATCAATGTTGTTACATAGCTTTAATGCATGTTTAGACATGAGGAAATGTTTACATAACAAGTGTTATGGAACTATAAGCCTGTTGTTAATTGGTATAAAGATAAAGGTTCTTACATTGTGTGGGTTGTCTGCCCTGGATACCAATTAGGAAAATCTATATATATAATTCTCTTCTTCGAGCCGTTAGAAAACAAGCTGCAACCTCGCCTTACAGTCCCCTCTCTTCCTCTATATCAATATCACAACCACCCCCACCCCGCCCCCACATTGTCTGGTGAGTTGTGTTCACTCTGTTTACATTTTACAATCACAGAGACGGGTTTGGTGACGGCTATTAGGGGCAGATAATTTAGTTTGAAACGATTTTAAACTTAGAGGAGGAAACTAAGAGGAGGCTGCTTTCACGTGGGGGGGGGGGGGGTAGTGTTTTTAAGCAAATATTTTCAATGGCAGCATTGGTACTGTCGAATTCACAAATTATAAATTACTGAAAAGTAGAGAAAAAAAAACTAAATAGCGGCGTATGATACGCAGCGGGTCGGCTCGTAATTAATATTCCTTTAATTAGATTCTGGAATAAACTTATCTGTTTGTTTCCTTGGGTTATATGTACTGAATTCTTGCTTTCTTTTCAGAATGCCCTGAATTAGTAAAAAATGTTGGACTCCAGTTCTAGTAACTCAATTCAAGGTTTCAACATCCCAAAAAAGAAAAAGGCACACATTAAAGGTAGGCCTACTAGAAATATACATTTGTTAAATCTCTGGTTGTATTTGGTTATTTTGGGGTTTTTTTTACCTGTTGCACTCTGCCAGACCTCACCTGCATATCATGTGAGAAATGTAGTGTCACTTTCTATCAATGCTTAGTTAGATGTAGCTATATGAGGTGTTATATTCCATTCGACATATTTTGTTATATTTTTAAAAAAACTATTAGCCACACATTTTACATTTCATGGTTAGCCTAATCAAGTTTTTTTTTTCTACCTTCAGTTAATTTTCAAAGTTTTCATGAAGTAGATTCATGAAATTCTTGTTTTTCCTCATCAGATAACCTTCAGCATGTAGATGTGACCAACAGAGATGTGCAAGACCTGATGCGTGATGTTAGAAAACACTACCTGGACACTAATTTCAGCCAGGAATTTGAATTACTAGATGCTTGGATGGTTCACAATGAGGAACTGCAGTCTAAATATGTGTAAGACTTGTTTTTGTCATTGTCTTTTAAAAAAGAGTAATTTTGCACATTATTTCTGTTATGGATTGTTTCACACACAAAAAAAAAGATTTAAATGAAAACAAATGACTAAATGTAAAAGTGAATTTTCTACCACTCTTTTCTTAGTTGCAAGTTCTAAATTAATAAAACAAAAAATTCATTCATTCAAAAGACACAAGTTGCTGTGGAGTTGCCAAACCCTGGTCCAGTACACATTTTGTTGTTGTTTTTCATTATCTCCCTGTTGAATTAAGGATGGGATCTAACCTTTGATGTAAAATGATAAAAGTTTTATTGGCTGAAGTTTACAGTCCATAAAACAAATAGAATGTATTGGTGGGATATTTTTTTTTATTTTTTTATGTGCAGAGTGAAATTAATCATAGGGGTTGTATGTATTTGTTTACTTTATACCAGCCTTGGTTCACTTAGTTCAACCACACCTGATCTAGTTGAGTCTGGGGAGGTCAAAGCAATATAAATAAAATCCTTCTTGTCATTTAAATTTTAAAAATTCAAAGCAAACCAATGGTGACTTCCTCTCCACCTCCCCAGGCTTATGAGATTTTTAACCACAGAGCATATTATACATCTATAAAGTCCTAAGTATAATATGTTTTTTTATATTTTCATAATCCCCTAAATGTAAGCTGTTCAAAATCCTTCTGTCCCCACCTGTACAAAAAAACCATCATGCACAAAATGCGGGCACAGACCATAGGCACTTATCACATTGAATGGCTGTCTAATGTAAGGCCTACTACAAAAAGTCAAACAGCTATTGGCAGACATACCAAATTCCCAAAACGTTAAATCAGAAACCTAATTTACAAGTTGTATTACTGCACTTCTCACATCATAGAGTATTTATTTTAAAAAAGTTATTTCCAAACAGCTGTGTCATTGTATAGTTCAATGCAGCAACACTGATCAAGAGATAAAACATCGTTTAAAATGTTAGAACTGTTTCTTGACATGTTTGCAGTAAAAAGAGAGCAGAAATGAAAGATGCTGGCAGAAGTCCTGCAACTCTATCAGACCAGCTGGGATTTGTATGGCAAACTATACCAGGATTGAACAGAATGGCTATTGCCAAACATGGACTGACTGCTAAGAATTTGGCATTTAACAATCTGGGTAAGATAATCATAATCCTTTGTCAACATTTTTATTGCAACTGCTTGCAGTATTGCTTTATTACATAGTGTAATTACAGCATTTATGATTTTACAGTTTGTTAAGACTATTTGAACCTTATTTTAATAAAGAACAATGGGTAATAGTGTTATTATTTGAATTGAATTTACTTGAGAGGATGGAAGGGTTTAGAAATGGAGCATATTTATTTTTTAAATATTAAAAATGGGGGGAGTGTAGAAAGGCAAGAATATCTGCTATATTCTTGTGGTGCCATTTATGAAACATCTATGGCCATGTATTTGGGAATCAATGTGTTGGCACTGCTATGTAAAAAAAAAGTTATTATTTATTTTCAGGTAAAGGAGACTGCGGTGTCTACCTGAACCGTTACTTTGATGTGGAGGTGAGGCAGAGCTGGGTGTCCAGCCATTCTCCGTCAGAAATATTTATCTTTAAGGTAACTCTTAGTTATTTGTGTTGTTTTTTAGAAAAATATTAGTTTTTAAAAAGGGACAGCTCTTTTTATTCTTTGGAATTCAACTGTGTTCTTTAACTGTAAGACATCACACACTTTAGTGTGATCTATACAGGTATATAAAATATGACTCTTTACATACAAGCGTTAAATTCTAAGATTCTATATTTAACTGACCTATGTTATTTTGATTTCAGTACTTTCCAGGAAAGTGCAAGCAGATCAACACAGTTAACATCAGATGTGAGAATAGTAAGCTAGAACCTACCCCAAACTATGATTCTCATATCAGCAACATCCCACCAAAAATTGATCAGACTGTATTTGTACAGTCAGCAAGATCCATGGTAATTTTTTTTTCCTTCTATCTTGGTGATTGGACCATAAGCTAATTTATCAGAAAATTGCACATTTTATATCAAAGCTTTCATGTAGAATATCTGTTATTTGAAAGCTGCCTAAAGAATGTCATTTTCTAACTTGGCTTTCTCGCTCCGATTCTACCCATCATGAAATAATTTTTCAATGCCTTATCTTCCAGAGCTTGTTACTGTTATAATTGTTTATCAGATTACCCTTAACCTTCTGTTTTAAAGTTATATATTACAATTAATTGTTTTTATATATAAAATATAATCTGTCTTTCTTTATTCTATATATCTGACATTTTATATGTATTATTAGTATTAGGTTTTATAAGTGTATAGAAAAGGTAAGCTGAGATTCAGTGATTAACTTAAAGGTAATCCTGTTTTCTAATTAAGGAAAATAATGGGGGGAAAAACTTGACTAGTTTGGGAACAAAGTACCCAGTTTTCTGGCATTGAAATCACATTTGCTTCTCAGTTCCCTATTTCCAAGTTTTCCAATCTAATTTAGTTGTTTTGAATTTGTTTTTAGATTTATTTATACGAGTACACAGAGGATTGTGTGCCTTCAAAGAACCCCAGACAATGTCTTCCCTTTGCTGTAGTTAGAGTGAGAAAAAATCTACATCCTAAGAGGTGTTTACCTGCCCTGAAACTGGTAACCTCTGATATGACAACAAAATACCTGCCAGCATCCTCTTCGGGCTCGATGGAAAGCTCAACAATCCCAGACAAAGAACCGCCAAAACTTAACAGTGACCCAAAGATTGCTTTAGATAATGTTGCAAGGCTTGAGTCACAAGCTCAAGGCTCAGTTAGGAAAAATATATTGAAAGAAAGTTTACCTGTGAACAGGCAAGAGAAAAAAACTGATTCAGTCAATGACCCACTGCCAAACTCATCATTACCGTCTCAAAAAATTACTTCATCTTCAACTGATAACCACACAATAACAACTGATCTTAGACTTTCAAGGGGTATAGACCCTCAAAAAAAAATTGAGCATTCTGAAAATGCAAAGGATATAACCCAACTTCCCATCCCTAGCCTGTTAGATCCTAGAATTTCCAAACTTCCTGCTAAACCTGAGGAAACAGAAAAAGCATGTGACCCAACTCTACCCAGTGCTGCTAGATTAGATCCTAGACTGGTTAGAAAGTTAAGTACAACTGATCCAAGACTAGTTAAATCATCATGTTCTTCAGATCCCAAGTCTTATCCAGATCCCAGACTAACCAGACAGTTCTCAGATCCCAGATTACAACCTAGAAGCCATCATACAAGTACCAAACCACTGCCACCTGCGCCCCAACATCATGACAGGGTTAAAGCTGACTGCTCCCACCTGCCTCACGGCTCTCACCCACCTCATAGCACCCACCCACCACACAGAAAACATTCACGTGAGAAAGTTGTCAAGAAAAAAATTTCTTTTTCTGAATACAAAAAGCTGAAAGCTAACAGCAACAAGACGGAGGAATGTGCTGGCTCTGACTTAGTTACCACAGATCCACCAGCCTCAATCACTGGGACTAGTTCAGATGCCTCTTCACAATCTCCTGTTTTAGTGACTGATATACCCAAGCCTGCTCCTGTGTTATCATCCCTCTACAAGGCAGATGTTCCCTGTGTTGAAAAAGGGTCTGGGGCTTCTGATCTAAGAGAAAAAGTAATTTATCCTTCAGTATCCAACATTGCTGTAACACATCCTTCAAGCAGTGATGTTTGTAGCTTAAATTCCTCCCCACAAGACTTTGTAAGACTTCCTTTATCTTTGGGCTCAACATCAGTAGATAGAGCAGTGGACAATATTGCCACCAGCCTGAAATATCCAGATGATTACTCAAGGTACCAGTCACCTATGAAAAAGTTGATGCCCCTTCCTGTTTGTAATGATGATGGCACTGTCACTAATGTTCTTAGAGGCTACATAGATGGCACTGTAAAAGCAATTGAACTCTCTTCCAGTGAACTGAATGAGAAAGACAAAACAAGCAGCACAGAAGCAACTTCTTCCAATGCTAGCATCAGTCAGTTGCAGGAAAAATTTTCAAATCATGAATCAACCACCAGTACTTGCCCGGTAGCATTATCTAATGATGTTTTATCTAGAACCAATGTCATTGAAGCAGCATCATCTTCAGCACTCCAGTCACATATCAAACCTAGTGTTTTAAAAAATGTTATTTCATCCAAAACAGTTCCTAACTGTAAACCTATGTGTGATGAAGACCCCAAACAAAAATATATTTCTAAAGATTCTTTCTCAACAAACACCCAAGCAGATCCTGTAGGGAAATCACAGAAATCTGGACATAGTTCACCAAGTGAGGCAGGTAACTCTGCTCCTGCAGGGGACACAACTACAGACATGTTGAAGATGAACAAGTCTGATGCTGAGAGATCAGCTGTCCCCAATGAGAAAGTGAACATGACGGAAGAGTCTGTCAAAATTCTTACAAAAAACCTTCTTTCATCGCTTAAGATGAATACTTCCAAGAAAACAGACACTGACCCTCCTTCACATGCTTCACACACCAAAGAACTGGTGGCGCCAGGTAAAGCTGGGGTTAATAAAAGTGTTGACAGTTTACTGAAAGCACTTCAAAAAGGATGCGTGGTTCAAAAATTTCTTGAGTCTGGTGTTGAATCAGCTCACAGTGATGCAAGCGGCAAGCCACTCCCTGACAGTCCAAGCAATAGTATTGATGAACCAACAGTGGTTGAGAAACCTTACCCTCCAAGTCAATCATTCAGAGAGTTGGGATTCATGACATACATTGGTGCACTTAGTACTCCGGCCTATCAGCCTGATGTTGTTCTTTTAGACCTGCACGAGGTTTGTTTTGTTACTTTTATCTTTAGAGTTGATGTACACGTAATCGTTAGAGTTGCACCAACTTCATGTTTGATGTAATGTAACACACTCTTTATCTTTACAGTTTTAGTACTTTAAGCAAAACTTCAGAGTTCTCGTGAACTTAAGACTTCACATAAACTTTATCTTTATCAAATATTTACATTACAATCCATTTTTATTTACTTATAACTCAGTATTTTTGTAATTTATCAAATCTATTTTAGGCCTCAGAGAACGACTACCATAAGAATAAATGTGAGGAATGCAGTAGACATTTACTTAACGGTGAACTGGGAACTTACAGATCTGTGTTTTATGAGAAAACATCAGAGTCAGAGAGTTTTGATGAGGAAGAAGAACTTGGTAGTGGGGATCATTCCCATTTGTGTGATGTACCATCAGAAACTAGTCGTCTCACTAGTAATGAATCACTTTCATCTCCCAACCATCAGTTAATTAGAAACATACCTCAGCAATCAGATCTTACACATCCAGAGGGTGCATCAGAGGTGGGTTATGGACCAGACCATACCAAAAATAGTCACTCATACTCTTCTCCTGGTCAGTTCTTATCAAAGGCTGACCTAAGGAAAAGTAATCGTTTATCTCCTCGCTCTGAGCTTGCCTCACTCAAACTTGCCATCGATGGACTGTACAATGAGTGCAACCAGAATATGTTATCTAGTGATGATGATGGCCTTTCTTCACCCAAACTCATCATTCATGAAAGCTGCTCTGACCAGTACAGCACACCCAGTAATAATACAAAGCGCACTAGATCAATCAAGGTCACAGACAGCAGCATTGAAACCAGTGATGAGGAAGCATTGCGCAGGAGAAATGTGGTCATGCCAAAGAATCCTGCTAGAATGAAGTTAATTGAACAGTTAGCGCATAAAGTGGCAGAGTTAAAAAGGGCAGAGACTCTGTTAGAGACTGGTACAGGCAGTAAAAGTGTCTGGTCAAGTAGTGATTCGTCTGATGAGGAATCCTACAGCAGGGGCTATTACAGAGACAGCAAGCTCATCCATACTGACACACTCAAGTCTCATCTGGAAAAAAATAAATTAGTGAACACATCAACTCAACCTGAACTAGTGAACATGTCAACCCAACATGAACTAGTGAACACGTCAACCCAACCTGAGCTACTTAATAAATCAACCCAACCTGAACTAGTGAACAACTCAACCCAACATGAACTAGTGAACAACTCAACCCAGCATGAACTAGTAAACAAAGCACCCCAACCTGAACTACTTAATAAATCAACCCAACCTGAACTAGTGAACAACTCAACCCAACATGAACTAGTAAACAAATCAACCCAACCTGAACTAGTAAACAAAGCACCCCAACCTGAACTAGTGAACACGTCAACTCAACCTGAAAAAGTAAACAAAGCAACCCAACCTGAACTAGTGAACAAATCAACCCAACCTGAACTAGTAAACAAAGCACCCCAAGCTGAACTAGTAAACAAAGCAACCCAACCTGAACTAGTGAACACTTCAACCCAACCTCTACTAGTAAACAAATCAACACAACCTGAACTACTTAATAAATCAACACAACCTCAACCAGTAAACAAATCATCAAAGCCTGAACTAGTGAACAAATCAACCCAATCTGACCCAGTGAACAAATCAACCCAGTCTGCGCGAGTAAAAAAAACTGTCCAACTTGAAATAGCTAACAAAGCTATTCAACCTATGCTAGTGAACAAATCATCGCAGTTTGATACATTGAACAAATCATCACAAGTTGTTACAAGCAAGCAGTTACAGGATGACTTGTTGGTATTGACCCCCAGAGGGCGCCAGCAAGATGAAAAGGTTACTTTAGGAAAGTCTTATAAAGGTCAGGCATGCCTTGAAACCAGTGCTACTGTGACAGAAGATATAGTAGAAGCTTCTAGAAAGCTGTCTTTGGTCCCACGGGCAGTACATCAGCTGAGCTGCAGCAATTTGCAGAAACAAAGTTTGATCAACAGTACCCATGCTTTTGGGAAATCTCATCAGAGTGCTGCACATTACTCGCAAGTACACCAACAGGCCATAGGGAAATCTGATACAAATGCTACATCATACCTGCATGTACACCAACAGGCCATAGGGAAATCTGATACAAATGCTACATCATACCTGCATGTACACCAACAGGCCATAGGGAAATCTGATACAAATGTTACACCATACCTGCAAGTACACCAACAGGCCATAGGGAAATCTGATACAAATGCTACACCATACCTGCAAGTACACCAACAGGCCATAGGGAAATCTGATACAAATGCTACACCATACCTGCAAGTACACCAACAGATCATTGGGAAATCTGATACAAATGCTACACCATCCTTGGAAGCTTGTAAAATCCCAGAAAACAGAAGCCACATGCCCTTATCAAACAGTCTAAATGAGAAAATGGCTTTGGGAATCAAAGAGCCTGGTAGTTGTACATATTCTGAGAAAGATGTTACAGATTTAGTAGAAAACCAAACACCAATGCATTCGCTACTTCAAACCAGCAATGCCCCTTGGAAGAACTTAAATTCTGTAACAACTACAGAAAAATGGAAGCTGTTCAAAAGTTACAATGAGGCAAATAAAAAACTTGCAAGGCTAGCAGGGCTTGAAAGTCAACATTCAAAGTTACTAGAACCAACAGCCAATGTTGAGGACTTGAAGAAAATTCTGGAAAATGTTCGAACACAGACAATGATTGGGAAAAGTGGCTTGAACACTTACACTAAGGAAAGTCCTTTGAATACAAAAAGTCCTCTTTTTAATATTCCTTATGATAGGACATCAGATAGGACTCCTACTACTTACACAATAGGGTCTGGAATTCCCAATAGTGAAGGGTTGGCCCAGAGTTTTAGTTTCAGTCAAAATAAAACAGCAGTGTACCAGGCTAGTCGTCAGTCAGTTGACTCCGCTCAGATATTAAGTCAGACAAGGCATCCTTCCCTATCCCTCAGCAACTCTCTACTGCCACCCGTTTCTATTGCTATACCAGTAGAAAACAAGAAGAGTCTCCATGACCTCTACTCACCATCAAGTCCAACTGATGTCCTAGGTGTGGATGAGAAGCCTGGGTCCCGGCCAGCTTGTTCATGTGTTGGTCTAGTAGAGCCCTATGGGGACATGGATTACAGACAAAAGTGTCTAGTTCATCCCAGTTCTGTAGATCAGGATTACAGACAAAAGTGTCTTGTACATCCCAATTCTGTAGATCAGGATTACAGACAAAAGTGTCTTGTACATCCCAATTCTGTAGATCAGGAACAAACATTTGATTGGGGAAACCCTAGTAATAGAAATGTACACGAAAACCAGGGTGAATTACTAAATTCTTATACATTGTTACCAAGCAATAATCTTGAAACGTCTAGACTGTATAATTATCCAGACAATTATGCACAGTATGACCTCTCAAGATTTAATCCTGAGTCTAATTATAATAACAATCAAGCATTTGTGTCATTACCAACCAATGTATTACCTGAGCAAATGTCCCTTTATTCTACACATAGCATTCCATGTGACACAGACAACAGATACCCCGCCCATCACTTGATTTCCATACACGTTCATACTTGTTCAGCTCCAACTACTTCCAACCCAATAGCATGGCAGGATGGCTACAAACCAACGGACAAACCAAAAGAATATGTGCAGCTCAACAAAAGAGAAATGCCTGAGATTGAGCCAAGCCACGCTGTTGCTAAACCTAAGGTCCATCACCAGGCAGCAGAGATTCCAGCCTCGCATGCCAGTAGTTCTAGCGGTATACTAGGACTAGATCTATTCTCTTCTAAAACACAGACACTTTCTGAACTTAATTCTAACCTTCATTCAAAAGTGAACAGTAGTGGGAATAAGCCTTCCCCAAGCACTGAACATTCTGTGTTAAAAACTGCTGAAAGCTCAACAAACATGCTTGATTTAGAGCTGAGCAGCACACTGTCCAATACTGTAAGAGAATGTAAACATGAAGACACTCATGGCATGACGACAGATAAAAATACATCTGGCAATAAAATTGTACAATATGAGGATTCTGATGATGACCTAGTAGGAGAACCACTTCCTATAATTAAAAGAGACAAACATATTTCCATTAAGATTTCTTCTAAAACACTGAATCCCAAGCCAGCAGCAGTCCTCCCTCAAGATAAAGCTCACTCCCAAGCAGTAGCAGACTGTAGTAATGAACATGTTCATCATAATAAACCTTGTAGTACTGTTGAACCAAGTGATACAGATGAGCTCATTAGCACGAGGGAACATCAAGCAGTTGATGGGGAAAGAGATGAGGGGAAGATGAATCTATATTTGGAGCACATTTCTATGAAGATTAAAGAAGCTGCTCAAGCCCCTAAGGTCTCACACGACTCCAAGAGTTGCCCTCCTGCCTTAAATATCCTGGAAAAGGCGCTAGAAATAGCTAAAAAGAAACATGCACTTAGCCACCAAACCACAGAGGGGGATGCAAGTTTTGACTCTCTGGAGAAGCTTGCCAAAATAATTAGTACCAAACTTCTACAAGCAGACATATCTTCACCAGTCTTACCCCATAGCAATAAGAACATTTCTCCTGTGAGTAACAATGCGCCTTTCATCAAAGAAGAAATTGGCTCACCATCTGTCCTAACAGATCCTTCCCAGCAGCCTGGATGCAATGTGAAGTACCCAGAACACAGGCACACAGAGGAGGTGATAGACCAGGCCTTGACTAAGAAAGCTGCAGGAATTAAAAAACCAAAACAGAAGAAACTAAAGGAAAATTCTTCTTGCAGATCTGTGAGTAGTTCTTCTGAATCAGCTGAAACAGAACATTCCAGAAGTGAATCCATTTCATCAGATAGTTCCGTAACATCCAGTAAACACAGTAAAAAAAAGAAGCGCAAGTCAGACAAAGCAAGAAGGCATTCCAGACAAATTACTCGATCAGCTAGCAGGTCCCCAAGCCAAAGTAGCAGCTCCAGATCAGCCAGCAGGTCACCCAGAAGAATTCGCGCCCGTAGTAAATCACCCAGAAAAAAAAATCGCAGGCATAAATCAACCAGCAGATCACCTGCCACATCCTTGACCTTGACAAGATCAACCAGAAGCAGATCAATAGGCAGTTTTTCAGACAGGACCTTGTTATCTTCACCAAGTACTTCCAGAGGGAGATCTCAGAAAAACAAGTCTCACAATAAAGCTAAATCAGGTTCCCCTTGTGAGAAGAGAAAGAAGTCTTATTCTCCAAAAAGAAAAAAGAAACATTCCTCTGACCATAAATCTTTGTCTTCAGATAGAAAAAGTCGTAATAAATCTAAGAGGAAGATAAAAGGAAAATCTTTACAAAGAAAGTCACATTTATCCTCATCTAAAAATAGCCGTCGTTATTCTAGTATCAAATCATCAAAAATTAAAAAGACTCCCAGGAAAAGTTTAGATGATGCTTCGTCCTTGGTTTCTGATTCTTTAGGTTCATCTTCAATTAAAAAACGAAAAGTAAAACGCAAAAGGAAAAAAGTTAAAAAAGCGTATGATGTTGAGGATGAAACCAAGAGTAAAAAATCTATTGAAAGTACTGTTTCTGAATCTTTAGATGTTCCTTCATCTTCAAACAAAAAACGACAAGTAAAACACTTTATTAAAAAAGTTGAAGAAGCTTGTAATGATCATGATGCAAATAGTAAAAAATCTCTTGAAAGCACTGTGTCTGATTCTTATGATTCTCATTCATCTTCAACCAACATTCTTAAACTCAAAAAGAAATTTAAAAAACCTAGTGATGTTGAAGATGTAACAAATAGTAAAAAGCCAGTAGAAAATACTGTCTCCAGCATCCAGGTGTTACCAAAGGTGCCAACCCCTCAAGTCAGCCCTGCAGCCAGTACTCCAAACAAAGTTTATCTTTCAGATGTACCAATGGAAGCTCTTTCATTTGCTAGAGAAAAAATTCTCAGTGAGATTAATCGACTTTGTGAAGATACTGAAAAAGAACTTTCATGTTCTACCAAATTGAGTGAAACAGAGTCAAAACTAGTTCCTAATAAAATTGAACTAGAAGATGGAGAAATTTCAGATGGCTCTGTCGTCTTAGTGACAAGCAGTGATGCTCTGGAAGTCATTTCCGATGAGGACTTCTCTGTCACAGCTATCCATGATCAGGAAAAGACAAGTCTTGTTCACTCTAAGGGGGAGAATAAGGGGGAGAAAAGTAAAGGAAAACTTATCTCTGAAGATTCCAAAGTCCGCAGCTCTAAAGGTAATGTTGTATCACACAGCACTGTGAATCCAAGTGTCAGTCCTGAGTTAGCATCTGATCCATATGTTAGACAGGTTGAACCCAAAGTAAAAGAGGTTATTTACATCAAATCTGACAGCGAGGATGATGACCATCCACTGTATTGGGATGCCAATAAGAAAAAACAGTTTTACAGCAAAGCAGTGAGGCAAACTGCTGAGCAGACCAATACAGAGATGAACTGTGCTGAAAACCTACCTAGCCCACAAAAAGCTCCCAGTAAAGTGGGAGAGGTTGATGAGGCTTTACAATGTTTGAGTAACAAAGAGAAACCAACAGCCACTGTAACCCCTGAATTGGCTGATATACCCAAGCTTGGGCCTGTTGTGGATCATAGCCAATCGTGGCAAACCTGGGCAAATAATATATCATTGGCTGTGGTGGATCATAAAAAGGATAAGAAAGAAGCCAATGAGGTATCCCTTCTAAACAAACTACCTGTGAAAAATATTAGAATTAAAATTGACAATGACCAGAGGTTGTTTCAAGGAAATCTCTCTGTTGTTGTTAGCCAAGCACCAGCTGTATGTGAACAGAAGGAAGAACCTCTAGAAGATTCTGTAGACAGGTTAATAAATAAGGAAAAAGCAGTTGAGATAAAAAAAGAAGGTACTGATCCATATGATAGTGATTTGGTCAGGAGTCTCGCTAAAAAAGAAGGTCCTGATGTAAGTGATGAGTCTGTTAGACCAAGTAAGATGGACAATTCTGGGAAGAGAAAAAATGATGAGCCAGACAGGGATTCTGTCAAATGCAAACGTGTAAGCAGAAGACGGACCTCTTCTCCTGATGACCGCCGATCTTCACATTCTTCTCACAGGTCTCCTTCTTCTCACAGGTCTCCTTCTTCTCACAGGTCTCATTCTTCTCACAGGTCTCATTCTTCTCGCAGATCTCATTCTAGAAGTTCATCCAGGCACAGGTATAGAACTAAAAGATATTCAAAAGAAAGATCTCCTACTTTCAGACAAAGGAGTAGATCACCATACAAAAGTTATTATCGTAAGAGATCTAGGTCTCCAAAAACTGGATACCGGAGAACAAGTCGTAGCCCTGACAGGAAGAAACCGTACTTGTCAAGGCGCAGTAGATGGGACTCTATCTCACCGGACAGATATGGCAAAAAGTATTTGGGACGCAGTCCTAGTGCAGATAGAGACCGGTATGGTAAATCTCCATATAGGGACTCACGCTCTCCAGAGAGGTACAGAAAGTCTCCTGAACCATGGAGTCTCTACAGAAATTTCCGAGGCAGAAAAGAAACATCTCCAGTAAAACAAAAAGCCCAGCATCCACTAGATGCCTTAATAAATGAAGTTACAAAGAAGACTAATTCACAAAGATTTGAGGACAAAAATTCTAGCAGTGAAAATCAAACACAAAGCAGACAAGACACAACAGGTAAACAAACAGCGGAACACCCACTAGATTTATTATTAAAGAAGGCTAAAAATAAAATAGTAACCCCACGCAGATATTGCAAAAGCTTCAGATTAGATAATAAAACTCAAACAGAAAGAAGACAAAAAATACAGATTGAACCCAGTGGCAGTAGGGATGTGCTGAACTCGCCATCGGGAAAACAAAAGGCAGAACACCCATTAGATACCTTGATTAATGATGCATCTAAGAGTGCAGTCAGTTCCTCCACTTCTGATTCTCAAAAACATGACAACAAAAATCCCAGCTTTGAAATGAAACCTGAAACAAGCTCAAAAATTGTTGGACAAGAGTGGTCTAATTTACTATCAAAACCAGAAAAAATGGAGGAGATAAATTACAACATGAATTACAATGTTCCATGTGTCAAGCAAAGTTATGAACAGTTGCTGCATAATAAACCACAAACTACCCGGCATTTCTTAGATGTGACAGTCAAAATGTTGATCTTCTCAGAATTTGGTTTAATTTGTTCTGATGAGTTATCTTCTATACTTCCTTACCCTTTAGATACTGTCATTAATAGCCCAGCCTTAACTGAAGCGGAGAGCAAGCAAATTGTTACCAGGACAATCTTGACATGTATCTCTCACCTTGATATCCCAGTGTATGACATACCATCTAGAGCTTTGGAAGTAAAGGAAGATTTCAGAACCACTTTTGCCAAAGATTTTCAGTATTGCACAGACTCCCAGGTGCTTTTGGAGGTCAATGTGATCAAAAAGTGTGAAAGTATCTTGGACCAAGTGGCAGAGCGAACAGTTTTTAGAGAAGCCATGCACGAGCAGCATTTGAGGCAGTTAGAGATCGTGGAGTCTATGAAAAGGATAGAGAGTTCAGACCAAGATGAAACATATAAAAAGGAAAAGATTTCAGCACTGATGTCTGAGTACGATGAACTCAACTTGAGCATACAGCAAAATGCAATGACTAACTCTGACTCATACTCGAGGTGTGAACCAGATTTGCCTGAAGAACTCAGGGTCCCAACTAGAGGCTTTACTTTCACAATGCCTTACCAGATTGGAGATGAAGATTACACAGAGGACTTGAAGAAGTGTCTGGAGGAAATAGCAGGAGAAATCATCGAGTTTTATAAAAATGTTAATTTCGGTTGCCCACACTACCCAGTACCAAAGCTTTTGCTTCTAGAGGAAGAGAAAGATAAATGGTATACAAAAGGTGAATGCTTCCAGATTTTAAATAAATCTTTGCCACAGAAAGTTTTTAAACGTCTGCTACAGCTAAGGTATCAGTTAGAAACCTTTAGCGACCCAGAGCTGCCAGAATGCAAGGCAAAAATTCAAGAGGTGAGTGATTGCTTTACTTTAAAGTTCAAATTTTTTTAATACCAACATGTGTTGACTATTGTTTTATAGCTTATTATCTTTTGTTTTATAGGATCATTTGCATAACGCTTATCATATTTAATTTCAGCGTTCTTCCCTACTCAAGTGTCATGTTGGGAATATTGTTTGGAAAAAAATCCGTAAAGTAGAAACCTTGTATAACTCATATCAAAAATGCTGCAACTTCATAAGGCATGTGATAGGCTCAAGGGGCATGGATAAGATGCCAGTTCTACAATCATCTTTACATGCTGTTAAGAGACATCTGAATTTGTTGAAGAGGGAAATTGTAAGTCACCGTTTATAATCTATCAAATCACAATTGCCAAGGTCATTTTGGTTTGGTTTACTAGTTAAATAGCTTACACTACATACCCTTGTATTTTATAGTCAAATAAATGTTTTCCTTTTCCTTGTAAATGATCTAGCGTTTATGACTATTGTCGTGGGGACAAAACAAGCATAGAAAAGCTGATTTCTTGTAATAATTAAATGTTTACTCATAATTAGGTGCAAATGATATTGCTACTGATTAGGACTGATAGCTTTCAAGCCAGCATGAGAACATTATTCTTTATCTGTTAAAATAACATTTGATTGAAATTTTTTTAAACTATATAAACTTTGTTTTATTTCAGGAAAACCCCAGCTTTGAAGAATTCTAAGGTAAGATATAAAAGCATTATTTCTAAAAATAGTTTTAAAAAAAATACATATATTGTAATATTGGAGGGGATTTCCTCCAACATAGTTATCATAGCAGTTAACACACTATATGACCAGCTGACTCCTTCATCTTGCTCTTTCTTTCTGGATTATTGCATAGCCGTGAACACCCAAGAACATCTGCAAAACAACATTTGTTTGATTTTTGGATTTTTCTCTCCTAGATGGGCTGTTGTCCCTATCTAATGAGCTCTTCAGCCTGGGAGTCCAAACTAAGGCATTTCTGGTTAGCAGTTGTGCACTCTCTCACCCAACCATGCAGTCTCCCATTTAAAAAATAAATAAACTTGATTTTGCATACTCCCACTTAAGTCCTTTAAAGGACACAAACATTTCAAAGAAAATGTTTCAATTGTAATGCACCTCAAGTGGAATTCTGTAGCACTAACAATGTAAAAAGTGGATGTGTGTAATGACATTGCAATGCCACATTTACTCAAAAGAGAAATCTGCCAAATGTCAAGGTTTCTATTTAGTGAAATGAAATAACAGCTGAAAGAGAAAAACATTATGCTTCATTCTGTTTTCTTTTGTACTAGCTTTATTCAATTTTTATATTAATCTGTGACATTTGTTTAAAAGAACATTACTTTATTAACATTACACTTCTTGTTTCAGGTACCAATCTCTCACATCTTTCAAGCACATCAACTTGAGAGAATTTGATCTCCATGTCATCTGCATTTATCTACAGAGAGATTTAAAAAATATTCAAGTGTAGTGTAGCCTACTCATGTCTTTCTAGGGTTAATAATAATGCTATCAAGGTCTACAAAATACTACAGGGGAAGCTTAGAGGATAAATGTGTGGTGTGCCAAGACAAAGGTTTGAGAACCATTTGCCAAAAATGTGTACACAATCATTACATCTTTAATCATTGTTTCATTCTGTCTCTAATTATGTATATATAATTAAACACTTTATTGATGTTTCAACTTAATTATTGAGTGAAGAATCGCTGAAAATAATTGCTGTATATAATGTAAATTACACTAAAAAACATCCACCTTTGATATCATTTTTATGCTTGTTGTATAATAGATTTTTAAAAATTCAAAGCGGCATTGCTTTAACTTTTTTTATACACCTTTGTTTTGCCATTTCATGTTCTAACAGGAACAAATAGAAAGTATTAGTTATATCATGTACTTATTTTGTTTCACTAAGTTCACTTAGAAAAATTTATGTGAAAGAAGCAAATGCAGTAGGCTGTTTGTTTACATTTCAAAATTATTTCTCATATTTGTTTTTATGATTAATGACAAATGTCATCAATATGTTATAGACCACTTATTTAATTGTGCTTACTGTAATTACAGTATTTATAGTTATAGTGCTTAAGTACACATTAAGAAGACTGAAGAAATGTGTGGTTTGAACTAGCTTTTGATGGGGAAAAATTTAGGCAATTAAAATGCATTAACTTCAAACAATTATTTATGACTTAGAACATGACTCCATGTAATATACAGTATTTATAGGGCAACTTACATAAAATAAAATTTATTAAGCTCAAGTTTGTGAGGATAGTCAAGAGCACAACATGTGTAAATATATTTTACTGCCAGTCTTTATAGGCAGGCTCATTACAAACCATGTGCATCTGATCAAAGGTAAAAGCTGCATTTTTTTTTTAAAGTCACTAGACTAAGACTAAATACTAAATGGTGGGAATATTTATTTTCACTTCCTTTTTGCAGAGAAGTAAGAAAACAATATTCACTAGTGTAGGGAATTTTATACATCATGTTTTCCGGCATTGAAAAAATATCCTGTTTTTTTTTCAGGTGGTCTGTTACATCTTTGTGTTTGATTCTTCTTCTGTGTGGTCTTTTTTCAATCCACACTTCATGTATCCATGTATGTTATTAAAAAAATGCATTTAGGATAAGGTCACAAAATGTGAAAAGATGTGTACACTTAATCTTTTAAAGATAAAATGTGCCTTTCATTTTACTAAATTGTACTAAAAATATTATCAAAATGTTAAAAAATCCCACCATAATGTGTTAAGGAATTGATAGTTGTTTTGAATTATCATCGAAAAATATTTTGTTGGTTTTTGTACATAATTTATTTGATGAATGGGCATTGTTTTGAATTCAATTTCTGTAAAGGGCATTGCATTTTTATACAGTTTTTTTCATATGGAAAAATAAAATTGTTCTGTTTTGTATTTTGATAATTTTTATAGTTGTTTTATGCATTCATTATTTTAATGTGCATTGGAGAATGAAATTGTCAGAGAGGATGCCTCTTTATCAGGATGTATTATTATTATTATTAATACAAAATTTTAAGATACCTTGAGTGTCTAATTTGTTTTGTACTCAATAATTATTCTTCTTAATTTTATTTTTTCATTTTATTACACTAACTTACAAAGATATTTACAAGTTTTAACAACTTTTAAATTACTGGTGATATTAGGTTGAAAGAAAAACATCGGCTTTGTTTTTTTTTGTTTTTTTTTTTTTTTTTCATTTTAATTTAATTTTACATCAACATGGCATTTTATTCATTTCCATACAGTTTATGGACAAATTTATTTAAATCCTAATCATATGCACTTTTCAATGGAAACTTACTGGAAACAGACATTATCTATTGATCAACAGCAATCAGCTTACAGTTCAAAAAAACATTTCTGAAACTGGCAGTTACAACCAGAACCATGTGGAACTCAAAAATAAAGATAATATACATTAAATAAGCATTATATGGTAGTCGAGGGGTAGGTTGCTCAACTGCTAGCCCGAAGGTCTTGAGTTCAGATCTCAGGACTCTACTGCAGGACATGTGAGTCCACCAAGTACATGACTCTGGGGAAAGTTAAATCAGCTGGGCATAGAGCCGACCACACCATCCATTCATATGCTGAGATCTAGAAACAGGAACTGTTCTTCATTTGCTTACATGGATCACTAGGTCTGACAGGGTAACTTCACTTTTTTATAAATGTTTTACACTTATTTAAAAATTTACAGCAAAGAGTCTTGTGCTTGGCAGTGTTATATTGTTAGTTCACTGTATTAAGGTCGTTATTGATACTCATGCAACGTAATTAGACCTTATTAATATTAGGAACAGCAAAACATTTCCTCGGGCCCCTTTGAACAAAATCTAATGTTCATTGTAAACAAAATAAATTTAAAATGTGGGTAAAAAATAAACATATGAGGCATATGTAAACAATAGTTAATTAATAATATAGAGAATATCGACTGCTTTCCAACTGAAGAGTGTTGGTACAATATAGCTTTGGAAAGCTGTGATCATTATTCAAGTATATAAGTATAAATATTATTGATGTGTAAAGGTAAGGTTAAAAAATTCAACCTGAGGTAGCAACAATGAAAAAGTTCATTTTGAAGACAAGTTTGTTTTTTAAAACAATGATATAGGCCTAAATAAGCATATTAAAAATATTTAACAGCCAAGTTAAATAAAAAGTAACATTGACAAATACTTATAATAAAATTTCTAATATGATGGCATAAGTGACTAGTCTGTAGCAACATATAGGCCTGTTATTGTCAGTTGCATAAATTAAAGTATTTAGGCTCTAGTCTAGAATTAAAAGTCAAGTATTGTTAATGTATACACAATCAATTTGTATATAGATCTAATATACAAGACTAGAGTCTATACAGGCCTATAAGATCGGGATCAAATTTATTTATAAATTATATCACATTATTCACAAATTGTACCTGCTAAAATGCAAAAAAGTACACATGTAGTTCTAGATTAGTAATAATAAATTATATATTAATAATAATATCTAAGGGGTCGTCCATAAATGACGGCACACTCGTAGGGGGGATCCGTAATTTTGTGACGGTGTGTGATGTGGGGGGGGGGGGGGGGTTCAGATGGTGTGACGTCACTTTTTGAGAAAAAATTTGAGAAAAAGGGTTTTAGCCGTTATTTCGCGTTTTAAAAACGGTTTTAATAAATTGTAATAGGAATCAGAGGCGTAGCGACCCTTCCCGGCGCCCGGGGACATACTTTCAATTTGGCGCCCCCTTGGGAGCAAATTTTCGATTTGCACCCCCCCCCCCCCTCGAACTTTTCATTTGCACCCCCCCTCAAACTTTCGATTTGCACCCCCCCTCGAACTTTTCATTTGCACCCCCCCCTCAAACTTTCGATTTGCACCCCCCCCCCCCTCAAACTTTCAATTTGGCGCCCCCCCCCCCTAAGGTCGGCGCCCCCCCCCCCCCCCCTCGCTACGCTACTGATAGGAATTGATCAAAATACTCTATCAAGATTTGGAAAAATATCGATGCTTCAAGAAAAATTCAACAGCAAATTTGAGTGGGGGGGGGGTGTAGGCTGAGGTGTGACGTCATTTTAGGGGGGTCTGACTTTTTGTGATGGGGGGAGGAGGTAAAAATCGTCATTTATGGATGACCCCTAAATAGTAAATATTTTTTAGTTCAACCTCTTCGCCAGCACTCCATAAAGATGAGCATGAGCAACAATAAATTTAATTAATTACTAATTTCTAGGGTAAAGGAGGGCGTTAAGAGCCACACTTTTTAGCACCTGTACATTTTTAAAGATTTCTACTAATCTAAGAATTTTTTAGTATTGAAAATATGGCAAAATTATTCTAACATTTCTTACACAATATAAAAATAATAACAAATTGTATTAAATATACTTTAAATGGGTTTAATTGAACATTTATTGTCACACCCCCAAAATCAGCATTTGGGGTGAAAGGAGCCAGGCGATGGGGCAATAAGTATTATCTCCTAGTTTAGACTACCACCGCAATAAAAATAATTAATTTCTAACCCCAAAATAGTTAATGCTGTGTACACACACTTTAACTGATACTAGCTATCACTAGGCCCCAATGGGCCCAGTCTACAATTGATACAATTGCAGGTGTACATAGGGTCTAAGCCCTAAAGTCTAGTAGTTTGCAGTAGGCACATTAGTATGCCTAGTGTGTAGCTAGTATACTAGTGTGTAGCTGTCCAGAGTTAACATTCTTGTATGTAAAAACGGGTGGTACTAACTAATCTGCCCTAATGCTTTCCCCTGATAAGCCATATGTGCTATACATTACATAACATGACATGGAGGTGAGAAATGTTGAGGGGAGAGCAGTTGTACTGGTTTCCCCTTTGTTCTCCTTGCTGGACCCTGAGGGCCATAAATTACATAAGGAGATGCTATCTCTGGTAGGGTGAGATCTAAGAACTAACTCCATGCTACCTACAAAGAGATAAGTTTTATGGTGGGTTAGATACAGGTGGGGGCTGGGTATCATTGGGGTGAGAAATTGTGAGGGGAGAGCAGTGGTACTGGTTTCCCCTTTGTTCTCCTTGCTGGACCCTGAGGGCCATAAATTACATAAGGAGATGCTATCTCTGGTTGGCTGAGATCTAAGAACTTAGTCCATGTTACCTACAAAGAGATTAGTTTTATGGTGGGTTAGATACAGGTGGGGGCTGGGTATCATGGGGGTGAGAAATTGTGAGGGGAGAGCAGTGGTACTGATTCCTCTTTGGTCTCCACCCTGCTAGACCATGAAGGTCATATATTACATAACATGCCACCCCAGATTGTCTGAGATCTGTGACTGTAATCCATGTTACCTACAAAGAGATGAAGTTTTATGGTGGGCCAGAAACTGGTGGGGGCTGGGTATCATGGGGGTAAGAAATTGTAAGGGGGGAGCAGTGGTATTAATGTGTCTGTTTACTTCCCTGCTGGACCATGAGGGTCATAAATTACATAACATACCACCCCAGATTGGCTGAGACCTAAGAGCATTTATTCCTGTTACCTACAAAGAGATTAGAAGTTTTATGGTTGGTTAGAAACAGGTGGGGGCTGAGTCGGCTGTATTGCCCCTTAGGGGTAATAAGTACGTGTACCATTTTAAAAATTACCTTGCTAACATCAGATGGCTGAATTTTTACTTTTTAGCAGGTTAGAATTGTATTTCTATCATTTAGACACAAGTCTGTTTAACAGTTAATACATTTTGTGTTAACTATTCCTATACCAGGGTCATATTCAGTGGTCTAATAAATGAGAAACTTGCACTTAGGGTTTCAAGAGCCACATAACAGTATCTGTTATAACTTTTCTAAACAGGCAAGCTAGTGGACAAAATTAATGTATTCATGTAGATTTAGTTATTATCTAACAAATAAAACCATTATGGTAATGATCAGTCAAGTTTTACTCTGATAATGATAAAAACTATATAGCATGGTAAAATGGGACAAATGTCGGCCATTTTGTTTTGGCACCAATAATCACTGTGCAAAAAAAATTCACCAAAATAAAACTATTCTAGCCATAGTTATAAAAATAGTGTTAAAATGTACAACAACCAATGCTCTAATACAGGAACAAAGAATGGGCTTGAAAAACACATTTGGTTTATTACAAAGTGAAGTTTCCCAAGTTAGGTCTATTTGGAAAAAAAGTTCACAAAATGGTTTTATGGAGATGAGAAATTTTAGGGAAAGAGCAGTGGGATTAAATCCTGTCTCATCCTCTCCCTATTTGACCAAGTGGGTCATAAATTACATAAAATGAATCCTCTGCTTCTCTGTTATCAAAGAACAGCAGTGGTTGTTACCTCAGAAGTAAATTAGCAGTGTTATTGGGGGTTTTGTGGGGTTGGGGTGTTGATTGGGGCTTAATACCACACGGCTCTTAACGCCCTCCTTTACCCTATATATAGGATATATATTATATCACAATATTCAAATATTGTACCTGCTTTAATGCAAAAATTACACGTGTAGTCCTAGACTAGTAATAATAAATTATATATTAATAATATATAAATAGTACTTAGACCCTAATATCATTATTGACATATTGAGTTTATTAACTTCTTCGCCAGCACTCCATTGGCCTCCATAAAGATGAGCATGAGTAACAAATAACAAACACTTTAATTAATTACTACTTTCTACATAACATTTTACTAGAAAATAATCACTAGTTCCAAGCAACCTTTGAATTTCATGACTAAATAAAACACGTTGAAAATCTAGATTTCTAGATCTAGAATAAAAAATGTCAGCATTTTTCCGGGCAATCAAGTCTGTCGAATGTGTTCCCATCTGTCTTCGGCTGCGATGTCTGGACAGAGGATGGCATACGATCGATAATGTTATTAGAATTGGAAGTGGCGATTCTCGAACTATCAGCACTTTGGTATGTTGGTGGGCCGTGTTGTTTGTATCCACAGCAGGCTAATAAAGCATCACAACATTCACAAAATGCTTGAGATATTTCCAAGCATGCTTCACAAATCTCCATATTGTCTGGTACACCACACGACACGACTAGATCTAGATTCTATTCTACATCGCACTCCACGACTTAAATATTGCTTTTTGTGGGCTCGACCCACATCCTGGTTTACGGGGGCTATAAATAGCATTATGAAAGGTCATTGCAGTAATGTAGCTGTAATCCTGTTCTGACGCGAATTTAAAAACACGCGAAATACAGTTAACTATAACATTGATGATTAAACTGAAAGAAAAAGGATAAGTATTTTTCTTTTTATGTAATTACTTTTTTTAACACAGTAGGTGTATGAAATATGACTGAATGGTTAAGTAGGTCAGAACAGGAATTCCCCAGCTTGTGCTATCCCTTTTAACAATTCTAAAAATAGTCTTCAGGAGCTGTTGTGGGCGCATGTACGAAACTCCACATTAATAAAATATTACAATTATTGTGAATGACCTAGAAATGCATCCAAGCATCCGGGGTGAATCGAGTGGCGGGGGCGGAGGGTGCAGGTCGCACCGAGGATTACCATTCATAACAACAAAGTATATCTTATTTCAATGAGAAAGTATGCTTTCTGGCTAGTGCAATTGCTCATTAAAGTTAAACACATCATAGCACTAGAACTAGTTAACCATATTAACAGAAAGGTCAAGGAAATTTACAGATAAAAATAATTATGTTATATTCAACAAACTGGCAAAGACATTTAAAAAAAAAACAATCATGGCTAAGGAAAAGGAAATGTACAGTAGTATCCCCAAGAATATGGTGGGAAATTTCAGTAAACCAATCATGCCATTGTTTTGACGTGCAAGAATGGAAAGGTGATAAGTTATGAGGAAGTGCAGAGACAGAGATGGGCACAGGAAGAGATGTTAATGTTAAAATAGAAAATTGTTGCTAGGGCAAGAGGAAAATTAATTTCAAGTATCTCTAGTTTGGTTCTAACTTCTATAAGATAACAGTTCACACAGTAAAGAAAGCAAAAGTTTGGTTCTATAACAAAACAGTTTACACTCTAAAAAAACTGACTGAAGCCACAATTAATACACACAGTGTAGAAAAGTATCAATTACAGAAAAAACAACACCTGACAATTTTTGGTATATAACATCTGTTTAATTACGATAATTCTAAAACCAGTCAATTTAAGGGAAAAATATAAGAGATTCATTGAGTTTCATGTATTCAAATAAAGATTTCAAATAATTTAACATTGATTCAAAAATATATTATTAACATCCTATTTACATTTTTTGACAGAGCAGTAAATCCTAAGATATTTTGAAAAATTAAACAAGCAAGTACACTTCTTAAACCATTAAACAGTTGCTTTTTTACCCTTGAAAATTACTATTTATGAACTAATAATTATACTTCATTAATCTTGTAAGCCCAAAATACTTAATGAATTGCCTGTGTTATAAACATGTTAAGAAGTTCTATTTTTATTTGGGTGCATGTAAATAAAAGGTGTATGCAGAAAACTACAATGTATCATGAAAAATATAGAATCTATTTGTTAAAGATGTGAGTCAATTGATAAGATAAATCTTTGAAATGGTATTTTTGGTCATAAATGTTACATCAAATCTAAACCAAAAAAGAAGTTTCTATGATTTATACCACAATCCATTATCCATGTAACATCTTTAAACATTCTAAAAATGTGTTGTTTTAATTACATATTAATTAATACAAATCATTAATAAAAAATAAAGGCCATACTATGTATACAGCTCTTATAACTATGAAATGAAAGTTAAATTTTTTATCTATAAGCTTATTCATTTTGAATATTAAATACATTATAATTTAGTACATTTTTTTATTAAAATAATCTGATAGAATCATGTTATCCAGATCAAGTTTAAGCTATCATTGTAGTCTACTTTAGTATATAGCACTCAAGAATTCAATACACAATATAATTAAATTACAACAGTTTACAATTATATCACATTATTTTCAGAACACAAGAAAGTTTAGAAAGCACAACTAAATGATACAGCTTTTTAATGGCTGCTTACTTCTGAGATATTGAACAGTTAAGTAACATAATGGAAATCTTTAAACATTTCTCTTGTGTAAATACATTTTTAGGAGGAGTAGATGCTGCTTAAGAACATTTAAGTATTTTGATGAACAATCAAGCAATGTTAAAATGTTATTACTTTCATTGCAGAGTGATTGACTAAGCATCTAAACTTGTGAGAAACACAGCAGTTCTTTAAACCATTCCATTAGGGAAAAATTCTTGACAAATAAAGCACAAAACAACACAAATGTATTCATTTATACACATTGTGTGTATATTTACAAATTATTTAAATGTCATTAGATTTTCTAAATTTATATACATTTAAAAGAAAATATTTCATTGAATTATGCTTTAGCATAGTTAACATCACAAATAATGAGCATTTATTTATAACTCTTTTGAATATTTATTTTAATATTCAGAATATTTATTAGAATAATCCAAAAAAAAAAAATTCCAAAAAAAAAAAAAAGAGGAAAGACTCAAAGGGAAATAATGTGTCAGTCAGAACAAAATTAATGTTTTTAAAAGAAAGGTAGTTGTGTTTCTTGTGAATAAGAATATGAAGCCTAACATTTTTTTACATGTGAAAATTGATAATTATGTAATTGACCACTATTAACGTAAGATCTGTAATCACATTTCAAAAATACAAAAAAATGTAGGTTTTTCCAGGTGGAAATTATAAATTTTAAGTATAAGTATAACTGTATAACAAAATGTGTATTTGTAAAAAAAAAAGCATTTTTTAAAATTGTACTCATCAAAAGTTCTGGTGATAAAATTTTATTTCCTCAGCAGGAAAAATTAGGATTTCCTTTTTAAAAATGTTAAGTTTCTGATCAACAAAAGCATTTCTAATCTGCAAACAATGAAATCATAACACAATGAAGAGTTTAAACTAATACCATCTTTAAGCCTGAATACAATGGAGTAAATAAGTGACCACAGAAAGGTGGATATAAGAAGGGTAATAAAAAAATAAATAAATATTGTAGCCTTTTAGAAAAAAAAACACCTTGGGCAAAAAAATATTACTGAAATTGAAATGTGATAGTCAGGCACAGTTTTGATTAAAAAACAAAACAAGAAGATCCTATTGGCATTAAAGTAAAGCAAGCACACATTGCAAGAGTGGGTGGTTCTGTGATATACATACAATTTATATTTGTTATCACAATATGGCAATAATAGATCCTTCACACCAACACAACAACTTGCTGATGAAAGGAAATTGTTACTTCTGATGTGAGATTTGCATTCACGTTGATACATCAAGTATTTACAGTACATGATAATCTTATAATTGTCGATAATTTTCCTGTATTATATATTTTCTTTCTACTGAAATCGCACTCGAATTAGTTTGAGCATAGAACATAACATTAGTTTAAAATCATACCCTGCATGAATGGTTACTCTTAGAAATCATAAAATGCTTAATCGATGTTATCAGCCTAGACAAAGCAGCCAATCCACTTTTTGTTGGAGTAACTACCTATTGATACTATTATTTCAATTGATGGTTAGGTTAGTTTGTCTCCCTTTACCAGTCTACAACTCTAAACAATCCTGTTGGTCTGAATGAACCTTAGATAAACCATTACCTTTTACATTTTATACAAGTTTTTTTTTATAGCCACATGACAAAATAATTTAAGTCCCTGAATTCAACAGTAAACAGTTTGATATGTTTATAAACAAACTAATTTGTATTTACAAAATGTAAACTTAAAAAAGAGACTTATAATTGCTTACAAATTGAATTATTGTTTTCATAATAGAAATTAAGATAGCAACTTTATGACAGTTGTTCCTTTCAAAAAAGAAATACAAACCATTTTCTGATTGTATAAACAAATATTTTAAAATGGACTTAGATCTAGTACAGTCACCGGTTAATTTTATTGTGAGAGTGATTTTTTTTACATTAGACTTATTGTATTCCTATATATATATGTATGTATATATATATATATATATATATATTGTATTCCTCTATATATATATATATTGTATTCCTCTCTATATATATATATATATATATATATATATATATATATATATATATATATATATATATATATATATATATATATATATATATATATATATAATATATATATATATATATATATATATGTGTGTGTGTGTATCTACAACAAGCTTTTATTTTTTTACAATAAATAATGCAATCTAATTATTACTAAATTTCAATTATGCATTGTCAGATCATTCACATAAACGCTAAATAAAAAGCTTTGATTGTTATATTAGTTTTTAGAAAAATCTAACCGGTTAGTAACAAATAATGCAAAGTAACTTAGTAGCATATGTAAAATTAAACAGTTAATGTATGACTATGTTAGTCTGTGATGGCCAATTTTTCTTAATTTACAGAGACTAATGTTTTATACATGATTTGTATATCTTTGTCAAACCAATGAATTTAGTTTGTCTTAATTTTTATCTGAGCTACCTTTTTACAGACTTAGGTGAACTAGGAATGCTTGTTCTGCCATCTTTATAATTTAGCTCATCTGAAAGACAGATGACTTTTGAGTTAACTTTCACTGGTTTTATGTTGTCATCACTGCTTGAACTAGATGAATGCTTGCCTCCCTTGTCACTATCAGAGTCTGTAGTATCAGAATCTAGCAGAATTCTCTTTCTTGAAGGGGATACAATTTCAGGGACAGGGTCTAGTCTTGGAGCATCATCACGTACTCTTTAGTTTAAAAAATAAAAGATTTTTTTTTTAAAAGTCAAACATAATTTAAGTATTATTTACATTTAATTTATAACAAAAAAGATTATAACATTTTGAAGACAATAAATTAACGCAATTATTGATGTCAATATATGAAAGGGCTGTCTATTAAACATTTAGCTAGGTTGAATGGGTATGTAAAAATGGACAGTGCTGCAAAAGTTAGTAAAAAAGTAATTAAATACTTAAACTACTTGTGGATTTATAAAATGATAATCATTATTTTTCACATAAGTAGCTGCTAAGCATTCGAGATTAGCACTGATTTTTAATTCCCATATTAAAAATAAGTGGAGTCTAAGCTTTGATTTTGTTGATAAACCTGCTCTTTATACATACCTTCTTAATATAATGACAGCCCTCCGAGATATAACATCTTCGGGTCGTACACAGTGTGTGATATGATCAGCTGCATACCCACTAAAAGAAAAATAAATATATGGCCTCTGTCAAACTAAAAACAAAGTAAAAGAAAATCAACCTAGATGTACTTTCATTTTTAAACAAAAGAACTATAAAAATCATACCATTAAAATTCAAGCCATTTTTTTTAAATATAAAATATAAACTGAAAATAAAATTTAGCATGATTTTTTTTTTTTTGCAAATATTAAAATACTATTACCTGAGAAGTGTTACACATCCTCTTGTCATTGGCAAAGTTAGTACAGGCTTTGATACTCGTATGGGCTTAAATGTAAATTTGCAACCAAAACTAAGGGCGCTTTCACTGAAAAAAGATACTGAAACAATAGGCCTTTCAAATATATGTGGAGGATCAATGTGTGATACAATGCACCCTCCAGGTTTATAATCATTGATGACTGCGCTATTGACAAATCCTTCAGGAATTACATTTGCCCGGTACAGTGGACTAATGACCAATCTGTGTATCCACTTAGGGATCTCATCAACATCTCCTTTGCTGTACAGACGTTCATTTCCTGGGCCACGCTTACTTAGTTGAGAACCATATGTGTAGCCTTCTCCAAAGAAATATTTATTTCTTAAAGGTGCCCTGTTAACAAAATATACAACAAAATTGATAAATAAATGAAACTAACGATAAAACTGGTAGATAAAAATGGATGCACTTAAGACTTAGGCCACTTACTATTTAATATAAATCAATTCAATTAACATATTGACATGAATAGTCCTAACGTTACTCATTTGAGTAATAAACTATTTAATATTTATTCACAATAACAGAATTGTCAAGAAAGAAAAATAGAGAAGTACTTGAACTAGCTAGCTGTTACAGTGAAAATTTATAATTTCTTTTTGAGAATTGTTTTAGACATGTGATCTAGAAGTCTAATTAGTAAGTAACAGTAACAGTCACTAAAACGTAAAAAATAAAACAATTATCTGAAAAAAATCAATAAATCCCCCACCACTATCCCTATGTAGCATGGGAAGCCTGCCATTAGCATTAGTTAAGACTTAAGACTCATAGAGGCGGGCTCATTTCACTGGCCTAATACAAAAATAAATAAAATTTAATTTATGAATATGATTGAGATTTGAGATGAATGGACATGCAGTGACATGGTGCTGAAAAAAATTGTTTGATCTAGAAAATCTGGAGTATAAAAAAGGAATGTTTGGGTTAGTGGTTAGGTTTATCCATTTATTTTCTTACCTATCAACGGTGTGATCTTTGTACAAGCCCAAATCACTAAGTTTCACGACCTTATCAATTTTCTTTTCTATTTCCATGCACTCGCCCTCAGAAAACAATCTGTGTTGTTGGATTCCCGACTTCACTTTTTGAAGTTCCTCTTCTCTCTCCTCTGTATTATAATCGTCATATTTTGATCTTGGTGCATTTTTATGAATATCGGCATGAGGGGTGCGTTTGTTGTTAATTTTCTTTCCTAACTCTTTGCTTCTATTATGGTGCGATTTATGGAGCTTCTCTCTCAGATCAGTAACTGAGTCGGTCGCCATATTCGACTTTGAAGAATAAAACATGTTTCCAAACGAAGAAGATCTTCACGTAGCCTTTTACAGCCGCAACTTAAGTTCTCGGAGATTAAAAATAAATATATTATATAGATCTAGATCTAGATCAAGGCCCAATTGTGATATTTGCATAAGAAAACTTAGATCTATAATACACAGTCTAACAGTTAACATCATTTTCAAGATTTCTAAATGTAATAATTCAAGATGGTTGATTTAAATCGAAAGAGATTTAGGCAACTTCCCTCCATTCCTACCACATTGAAACTTTCCGGGAGAGGGTGAAGGGGCGAACAATGGTTAAAAAAAATTGATTTTTTTCTACATGGGGAAATGCTGGAAATAAGTCCAGATTTCTATGGAAGCAAATCCCGAATGAAAAGCAGGCTGAAATCGGGGTCAATGGGCCAAATGGCGCAATACATGAAATGAAGCTTAAAACGGTATCAAATTTATTGGAGGAAATTAAGAATGAAGAAGTACAATGGTCGACAATCTGCATAGATCTAGGTCGTATGAGCAAAGGCGTATAAAAGGGTTCCTTGAATTGTCTTATACTATTTTAGTGGTGGTCTAAAGGAAAGCCATTGGCCTATGCCCTATAGTCAGAGGCGTAGCGACCCTTCCCGGCACCCGGAGACAAACTTTTCGATTTGCACCAGAGGCGTAGCGAGGGGGGGGGGGGCGGGGACATATGTCCCCGGGCGCCGACCTTAGGGGGGGGGGGCGCCAAATTGAAAGTTTGAGGGGGGGTGCAAATCGAAAATTTGCTCCCGAGGGGGGCGCCAAATTGAAAGTATGTCCCCGGGCGCCGGGAAGTGTCGCTACGCCTCTGATTTGCACCCCCCTCAAGATTTCGATTATTTGCACCCCCTCAATTTTCAATTTATTTTTCCAACCCATTTTGGCGCCCCCTAAGGTCGGCGCCCGGGGACATATGTCCCCCCCCCCCCTCGCTACTCTACTGCCTATAGTATCTGTTTGGGGGGTGGGGTAGGGGTTAGGTAAGAAAAAAGTGCACGATCTAGATATTTTAAAAAAATCACCGTTAAGGAAAAACTTAACGTTATAAGTTTATTACAGATCTTATCTAAGATTTACGATTTTTCTCTTTGATCTCATAAATTATGTAGATAAATCTGGTAGGCTTATTTTATGATCTAATAAATTTGTGATCTAAGTTATGGTAAACAAATCCATCATGTGCCGTTATGGTGTTAGTTTAGCCCACCTCACCATATTAAAACTATGCCTTAAAGAATAATGAATTAAATAGAGGTAAAGTAGTCAGTGTTTCTTCCCCAGGCATCTCTTCGCCAAATCCCCCCCCCCTCTCGGACGACATAAAATTTATATAGAAAATATACTTTTAACAGTGTGTCGTCGTCCCCTTCCCCCCCCCCCCCCCCCGAGAATAAAAATCTGGAGGAAACACGGGTCATTATCCAGGTGCTGGAAAACATGTTTGTGTCATGATAGTATAATGCAGGGGTCTCCAAACTACGGCCCGCGGGCCGGATGCGGCCCGCGAAGTCCTCTCATCCGGCCCGCGGAGATCTTTTTGTCCAAGGAAAAAATCGTTTGTTGGTGATGGCTGAGGAACTTTGCTCAGAAAAATCAAAGACATGCCTGGAAGAAACTGGCCCCCGAACTGAAATTTTATAGTTAATGCGGCCCTCGGACTGAAAAGTTTGGAGACCCCTGGTATAATGAAACATATTTCTTTTCCTAAGGGGAAATAGCTTAGCTGGGACGATTTTTTATATCGAAATTACTGAGTTGTTCCCCTTTGCAAGAACGGTTTATAAAATTTATATTTTATCAGAATCTTTAAAAAAAATAAAGCAACTTATAATATTGACTATCAGTGAAATCATAGAAAACTAACAATTTTTGAGAAAATTGGGCATTCATCCATTAATTTTTTTAAAAAGCCTACTAATTTCAACTATGATTATGAAGGCTTAATAAGATCAAATATAATTATTTCACATGTTACTCATAATGCTTGAATTACAGTTAATTTTTACAAAAATATCTGTTTAATCTTTTGTAAGCTACTGTTCACATTAATAGTTTATTTAAATGCTGATTTATACTCACATTTTACAAGTTGGCCTATATCACTAAAGTGTGATAAAAAAGTATTAGTATTTACAAACATATTTTGTAGTTCAATAAAACATCTGTTACAAACAAATACAAACACAACAATAAAGTAAACTATTCTTTAATAACCAAGTTTTCATTAGAACTATTATGAAATGTCCTTTCTTTGATCCAATGGTCTAAAATTAAGTCCATTCCCCTAAAAAGAAAAAATGCTTCAAACTGTTTTCCTTTCAGCAAGTAAGGAAACCATATCTTGTCATCTGGCCACATTTGGCTAAAAGGAATAGAGTTTTCTAGGTACCACTGAGGTTTCATTTCTGAAAATTAAGATTAAAAAATAATTAAAGTCTACATGACTTAGAATAAATTGAAAAAGACATTAAAGTATACGAAAATTGGGACAATAATAGAAAAATAGCAAAGGACAGTAAGGAAGGATGGTGTAAATGACTTATGCTGTACTGTGAGATAAAAAGGCTTGAAGTTGAAGAAGAAAGTCAATGGATATTTGTTAATTGCTTTGTTTCTATTACATTTTTGAGCACATCAATACAATATGGACAGGTAGGTAGGGTCTAAAATTTTATTTCTTTTGCAAGAAAAATAGATGGATGAGGCTAATATATTTCTGTGCATGCTTTTGTAAATCTTGTGATGGCTTCTAAAATAGACCCAAAACATAACAACAGTACATGTTTCAAATTATAAAGCACCTTCTGTTTCTATTGGTCTTCCTTTATATTCTGAAGTTTGAAAGACATGAACTTCTAATAAAACTGGATCATTTTCAAATTGAAATGTGATTAATCCTACTTTGTTAAGGATATCTGCCACAACTCCACTTTCCTCAAGTAGCTCTCTGAAAAAATTCAAAGTTGCAAAAGTTATGTTTTTTTTTAATTAATATAATATTTAGAATACCTTTAAAACTTTAAAAAACTGTATGTTTTATAATAATTAACAAGGAACAATATTCTATCTGTTAGATCTACCTCTTAGCACCTTCAATTATAGTTTCTCCTCTTTCAACTTTTCCTCCAAAGCCATTCCATAAACCACAGCCAAAACCTCTTTTTTTTAAACCAAGCAGTACTTTACCATTGTCTCTAACAAATACTAATGTTAGTATCTTTTTTAGACTTTGAGACATGATAATTTGAAGTTGAAGCAATTTTTAAAATCAATATAGATCTAGATTATTCTAGATCTATCCTTCTCTCAATTTCTGGTCTGGCTTAAAATTTAGGCAACTTGTTAGTAAAATTATTTCTTTTAAAAGATAAAACAAGAGATGTAAATGTACGCATATTCACAAAATTCCATTAAGAATTAAGTTCAATTAAGTAACATTAACAGGCATGGCTAATAATAGTAAATATAAAATTATAGGCTAAATTAATAATTATGCTTCCTTTAATAATTTTACTTTTACTAAGATAAAGATGTATGGTTGATGCGAGGCCTACCATGTAAATTATATTTTGGTATTAATATTTGCCCTATTAACTTGTATTAAGTAATATTAGGCCTAAGTTATTAATTAATAATTGAGTAATAATATTATCATTGACATTATGTCATTGCCGTGATTGCGTAACGTCACGAGTTGGATGGACTGCCTACGGCCAACCCCCTTGCCTTATAATTTTATATTAATAATACTTATATTCTAGTGTATAATTATTATTAAATAAATTAAGTTTGTAAAACTACTTGATTGGTCATTGACTATTTAGCAATTAGAGTTTATTTTTTCTAACGTCTAATAATTTAATGGGACTACACGGCTTTCTGCCTTAGGGCTAGGAGGATAGCCTACCTAACGGAATTTTAACACTAACTTATCTCCCGCGATTCTTTCTTTTCTTTTCTTTATAAACGTAAGAGCAGTTATCCTTCATAAGCGCAAACTCGTAGAACTATTTCCGGTTTTCGCCGGAAGTAGTTCACGGAACCTCTGTACAAGATGCCGTTGACAGGGTTTTTCCAGGTAGAATTTGAAAAAATAAACGAATGTAAAGGAAATAAAAAGCTGTATCTATGCAATGCAGTCGAACTAACAATAAACACACGTCTTTCAACTGGATTAATTTAATTAACGGCAAAAGTTATTGTATACGCTTAGTTTTAGTCGGCGAAGCAAAACAACAGACACCCAGTAGTGCAGTAGCAGTGGCCTGTGTCAGAGCCTGTGTCATAATCTAAATTTCATATTTTATTATTTTACTCACTCTCATTTGTACTTTAAAAATAAAAAATTTAAAAATCAGTCCAGATTCTGGTTACTGACTTTCAAACAGCTCAATAGGAATAATTTCTTTGAGTTTGATATCGCTGCCCGTGGATTACCCAGTCTTGTGTCAAAGAAATTCACTGGCACAATGGAATTTTCATCAGCCTTTGACTGAAACCTTTACTTTTAAACTAAAGAATTAGGCCCTAGTGTTAGTACACAATTAAATGCATTACTGATTACACACAGAATAAAAAGTAAAATCTCACTGATGATAAACTCATTTTTAATAGATCTACAGTCTCAATGTAGTCTAGCTGCTAGATCTATAATTAGGCCGTTCGAATTCGCAGCTTCCGGGTTTGTTGTTTTGAAGCCATCTCACGGCTCATGCGCTTACCAAAAATGGCGACCAGTTTCGCTTTCACTAATGGGTAGAGCGATAAAACTAATGATTACGAAGCCATCGTTAATTTAAGAAATCGGAACTATCCGTTTCTATTTAAGTCTGTTATTTAAGAATTGTCGGATCTACTTTTGGCCTAATTCCTTTGTTTGTCTCGCAAGCGGCGCCTTAGTGAAAGTAGCTCTATGAATTCTTGTCTTTTATATCAAATAACTCTTACATATCGCTTCCAGATGCAAACCAGCTTATGTCAGATGTAAACTTTAAAGTATTAATTTTACACACATTACCATTAACTGGTAATAATTTGGCGTGTTAATGAGATATGTGCGTGGGAAAACGATCACCCCCCAATAATGCCATTTTATTATAATCTTGCTTAGTGAAAACGAGGCGCGGGAAAATGTGTGCTGCGCAAGAATCCAATCATTTGGCTAGATTTATGACTGTTTTTTTATGTCACACCTAAAAATAGAATGTTTACGCTTTCTTCATTGATGATCGTTTTCATTATTTTTTAAACTGAAAGTATGAATTATTAGTTAGATTTCAGGTTTTGTAACTTGGTATACTTACCCTTTATCAAAATTAAAAGCATAGCATGCTGATTGTGAACAAATATAGTCATAAAACACAGAAATATAAAGTTACAAACAATGCGATGTCAGGATGTGCCACACCCGGGCCACACCCCCTCAAGAAAACACGTGTTTATTAAGCTGTTTATGTCACTTTACACCAGTAATTAAAATTAATTTTCAAATTTTTATCACTTATTGGGTAAGATTAAGCACATGTATACTGAAAATTAAAAAAAAAACAAAAGCAAATTCTGTTTTAATGAAGGTCACGGGTCAAGTTTTTTTTTCCTTCTGTCAAGTTCATTGGAGGTTGCCACAGACTGACCTGACTTTGGAATTTTTTTTCAGTAATAATGACTTTACACAGAAAGTTAAAATATGCTAAATTAGCTTAGTTTACTAGTGTTCTAGCTATTATTGATACATTTTTAATAAAAAAAATCATTCTGTAATTCTCATCAAAAAGCCTAATCTATAATGATAGTCTGAAAGTCTATTGATAATTGATAGGGATTCTCACTAAAACTAAATTTTAAATTAAGGCAGATATTAGGCCAACTGTAATGGGCCTAAATGTATTGTCAGATTTAAACTATGGTATACTATACTAGAGTCTAGATCTAGAGTGTTTATAAGGGGGTGTGGCACATCGCAATTTGAACTTTAAATTTTTTTTAAAAACATTTGTGCACAGTTAGCATGCTATGCTAAGTATACCAAGTTACAAAAAGTGCAATCAAACTAATTTAAACTTTCAGTTGAAAAATAAATAATCATCTTTGAGGAAAGTGGAATGTATTCTATATGACACGACATAAAAAATGGTCATAAATCTACCCTAATGTTTGGATTTTGGCCCTGCACATATTTTCCCACACTTTGAAAATTTCCAGATATTATTATCTGTATAAAACTAAGCCTTTCAAACATCTATCTTGCATATGCTGGTTTTTATATTGCTAGTGTTATTTAGGAGTTATTTGAACACAAAGAATAATAGAGCTACTTTTGCTTAAGCTTGCAAGACAAAGAAAGATCAAAAGTACATTCAACAATTCTTAATAAACAGACTTACATAGAAAAGAGTAGTTCTGAATACTAAACTTAACAATGATTTCAAAATCATTTGTTTTATACTATTTTATTGTGACACTATATACTATAGGCCTAAAGATAAAGATGTTCTGCACTATGCCAGAAAAAATTGAGACATTTTAAAACAAAACTTATAAATAGCCTACAGCTTTTGTGTGCAAGTCTCTGAATTGACAAGTGAGCAGCCTTTCAGTTTTGAGTGTCATGGGCCCCCCACCTCAATGTTAGGCATAATGTTGGTCAAGTACTATCAAAGTCGGTGTCAGTATCATTGCTTTTTGAATATCTGGCAAGGGAAATAATTGATCAAGATGCCTAATTTAAATTCAAAATCGACACAAAAATACAATTAACTGAATTAATAACAACTGTAGCTGTAGGTTTTTAAAAAAAGAACTTTCTTAATTAATAATCTCCTTTTATTTATTTGTTTGTATCTAAGTTAGGTTACTTAAGGGAAAATATTTGCAAGCATCAAGGACTCTTTTTAACATATGGTTTCCATGGCTATGGCAGCCATCTTGAAAAAAACCCAATCTTTTGTGGAAGTCCCAAGGTTTAAAAACTATCATATAGGCCTATATTGATCATATAATCATTTATCTTTCTTTTACTAATCAGCTGTTTAATTTTTGTAACAGAAAATGCTATAAAAATATATTTTTTTCAAATTTTCAAAAATGTATATGTTAAAAAAATACCAGTAAATGTAGCATTAATTTTAATGGTATTTTACAATGCCAACTTTGAAAAATTTGAAAAATATATGATGCAGAACAATGATCATATCAACATTAACATGCTAAAAATATAGTTTTACTATCAATTAGGTGGAGCAAATTTGGAAATGTTATTTTAAATAATTAAAAAATAATTAGCTTACCTATATTGTAAATATTTTAGTTATACATTATTACGCTATGCATTGAGATGAGGACCACCTGTATTCACAATGAGATCTATATCCAAACAAAAATGCATACATTAATTATAAACTAAAGTTTTGCACATTTTTTAGCATAAATAAGTAGAGAATAATTTTCCTTAATTTAGGCCTATAGTGTTGCTTTAAAATTTAGTGAGACTAATAATACCTTAAAAACAAAAAAAAACCAGAAGATACATTATTTAAGTTAAGCCTACTAAAAGTAGGTCTAATTAGGATGTCATTTATTTAGCCACTAGAACTACATTGAATTCAGCAAATGTAAATACTAATACTAACCCTGCATGCTGAGAGTACTTAACTACAAATTATAGTTTGATATCTTACCAGTCTGTTTTTAACATATCCAACCAAATGAACCTGTCATCAGCAACTGTTACTTAAGTACTTAAATGCTTTTCCCAATTTGCGTTTTATTAATGAATTTCAATGCTTTTTTTATATTAAGGCTTCTGCGCTGGAGCCTATGCAGGTGGATGTTGTTGAAGAGAATCAAAATGTTGAAGAAGAACAACATTATGTTGTTGAAAATGCAACTATTGTAAGTAACAGGTTTAAAGAATTTTTCCCCTTACATTTTTCATATTCTTTCTGAAGTTCTTACTTAATTTATTTTTAAAATGTGTTGGAAATTTATTAAAAAATTTATTTTATATTTGATCATGAATCATATTAAAATATAAGAAATGCTGGATTTTGCTTTTAGATAATTTAATCTATTTTCATATCACCTGTGTATATACTTTTAAAAATGATTAGCCTTGGTCTTATAGTCTATACTTATATTTTCCTTGTTCTATATAAATTTAATATTGTTAAAATTACATTATATCTTCCCATAGGATTTGGATCACTACTCATCACAATACACTGGGTTAGCTAGACTGAATCGCCTACTCTTTATTGCTGAGCATTGCAACTCATTGAAAGTAGAAGCATTAAGGATGGCTTTAAACTATACTATGAAGACAACTTTCAATACTAGTCTATATCAAATTATTCATCATAAACTTGTAATGGCTACATCAAAGTGAGTTTTTTTTTTTACAAGTAATGTTTCTATTAACATTGTCAGTTAATGTTTAATATAAGTGTATTTTTTAAGTTAAAGGTAATTATATGTAATGAATTTATTAATTTGATTTTCACTGTCATGTTTTTATTACACAAAAACTGTTCTGTAATGCAATTTCTTATACACTCGACTACAATAAATATTTCAGAGACTTGTAGAATATAATAAACACTTCTGAATTAAAAGCACTTACCTCACTCTGTTTAGATTGATCTATGTATTTCTCAACTAAAACTTTTCAGTATTTTAATATCCCCTATAATATTTTCTTTTTAGTAATAGAGCAGGGGGACCCAATAGCAGCTCAAATAATCTTCCTGACATTGCTCCAGTGAGTTCAGTGGATACACAATGGGTAGAAGTCACATCCAAGAAAGCTGCACTTAAACTTGAAAAGCTGGACACAGATTTAAAAAATTATAAGAGTAACAGTATAAAGGAGAGCATTAGGTAATTCTGAAAACGTTTGATAAAATGAGTCTGTAAAACAGTAATACTTTAAATAATAACGAAATGTTATATTTTATAGGAGGGGACATGATGATCTTGGTGATCATTATTTGGACTGTGGTGACCTAAGTAATGCACTTAAATGCTATTCTCGTGCTAGAGACTACTGCACAAGCCCCAAGCATGTGGTTAATATGTGCCTGAATGTTATCAAGGTTTGTAATGTGTTTTTTATATATATATATATATATATATATATATATATATATATATATATATATATATATATATAGTTTTTTACCATTAGTCAACCAATGGATTGTATTCAGATCATGTTTAATTTAATTTTTTTATAAGCCTTAATATTATTTTCAGAGAAGTTATTGCTGCTTTCAGTTAATCTGCCTTAGTTTTGTCTTTTTGGATGGGCCTTTAATTTTTTTTTAGTTTATCTATATATATAATTCTCTTCTTCGAGCCGTTAGAAAACAAGCTGCAAACGCTCTCCCTACCTCCCCACCCCTACATGGTTTTAGTGAGCTGTGTTCACTCTAAATGTTTACAAGCAGAGCCAACGATTTTAAACGTAGGGGGAGGAAGGGGGGGGGGGGGTTATGGTCCTTAACGAGCTACTTATAGTGTTTTAAAGAAATATTTTCAGTGTCAGCGTTGGTACTGTCGAATTCACAAATTATGAATTATTGAAAATTAGAAACAACTAAATAGCGGCGTATGTTATGCCGCGGGCCGGCTCGTATTTTATAATTTACAACCTTAAAATTTTTTTACAAATTAAATAGGTGAGTGTTTACCTTCAAAACTGGTCACATGTTCAGAGCTATGTCAACAAAGCTGAAGCTACACCTGATTCATCTGATGTAAGTTTTGTCTTTCAAATTTTATGCTGCTAAAAAGCTTATAATTTTATATAAAATACCTCATTTATATTCACTTGGTTGAATGCTAACTAAAAATAGATCAGAACTGCCCTATTAAAAATATTGTGAGTTACCAGTTTTTGTCTAAGAGATGTTACCGATGAGAAATCAATGATGCAGGTAGTCTAGCCTGCATATGCTGAATAGCTTTACATGATTATACTGGCAAGGAACATTATGCGTCATTGGAATATAAATTTCTGATACATCTTTTTAGTTCACGATACAAATGTTTCATACTTGATGCTACAGCCCAGCGTTCTATAAAGTCACTGCTTAAAGAAATACTTATGTTTGTTTCTTTTTACAGAATAATAAAGAAACAAACCAAAGCATTGCAAGTCGTCTTAAGTGTGCTGCAGGATTAGCTGATTTAGCCACTAGAAAATATAAATCTGCTGCAAAATATTTCCTTCAAGTCAATTTTGACTATTGTGATTTCCCAGAGGTAATATAAAGCTCAGAAGAAGAAGAAACCTTTTAGACTTAAAAGTTTTTGATTTTTTGAAATTTTGTGATGTTAAGTTTATTGAACAATAAGTTTTACAATTTATAATTTTCTTTTATTCAAATCATACTCATCAAACTTTTCTTACAGCTTCTATCCCCATCCAATGTAGCAACATATGGTGCCCTTTGTGCTCTAGCAACATTTGATCGCAAAGAACTCCAAGTAAATGTGATATCTAGCAGGTAAGTGTAATGGTAATTTGTTTTTTCTTTTTTTATTTCACATTACAAACAATGCTTATCATCCCATAAGTTATTAATGTGGGTTCTTTAGTAAACCTGCTTGCTGCTTAGCATCTTAGGGAAGATTTTCTTCAAAATGTTTACCACCACTGTAATTAAATTAAAAATTAGTTCAGTCCTACTGTATTAACGTAAATGTAGATGATTCCAATTGTTGATGAAATTTTTTTTTAATACAGCTCATTCAAACAGTTTTTGGAATTGGAGCCTCAACTAAGAGATATTATGAGCAAATTTTATGAATCTAAATATGCATCATGTTTAACACTTTTAGCAGAAATAAAGGTGATTATATCGCATTTGTAACTTTGAAGGCAATAGTTTAATAAGATTGAAATGAGAGAGATTGTTTTCATTCATTGTTTTAGTCTCCTGTAAATGAAATTTTTATTTTTAAGGATTTCTAAATTGTCAGCTTGTACATTCAATGTGCAGTGTACTATTGAAAGGTCAATAAATATTGTGAGCTGATTCAATACTAAGAGTTTCATGTTTTACTTGCAGGACAATTTACTGTTAGACATGTATGTAGCTCCTCATGTACACACTCTATACACACAGATTAGAAACAGAGCATTGTGTCAGGTAGGTTAATGGTCAACATTTTAATGTTGTTTTTACAATTCTGGATGTATATTTTTGTAATGAATTTCTGTTATTTTTCTTACATTTTAATGCTTTCATTCTTTGTGGTATTGTTTCAAAATTATCAATTAGCCAGACACATTATATACCTTTTTTAAAAAAAAACTTTTCTTTTAACCTTTCATAGTACTTTAGCCCATATTTATCTGCTGACATGAGAAAAATGGCTGAAGCTTTTAATACAACAGTAGGTGCTTTGGAAGATGAACTTATGCAGCTTATACTTGATGGGCAAATCAAAGCCAGAATAGATTCTCACAATAAGGTATTTAAATTACTTATTGAATCATTACATAGTAGTGGGACTACTTTCTATTCCTTGTTATTTTAAACTGCTTTGTAAAGCTTGACACTTTAATTCTTGTCACTCTAAAGTTGAAAACAATCATTTAGAGATTATTTAATGCGATTTTATTTCATTATAAATGGGGCTTATATACATTGTTTGACCGTTGGCAGAATTTACATTTTGATTATATGGTTAATATACACTAAAGGTACTTAAAAATTGTTAAAATAGAAACCTACTACTACCCCAGTTTTTATTTGACTGCATATATTATAAATGTTGAAACTTACATATGTCCTGTGCCCTCTTTCAAGCAAACTGAATTAGTGTTCATTTGGTGACAGAATTGATACTAGCACTTACAAGTTTATTGGTTTGCTGTTAAAATTCTCTTCTTTAACCTCTAGATCTTATATGCCAAAGACGCTGATCAGAGAAGTACAACATTTGAAAAAGCCATATTGATGGGTAAAGAGTACCAAAGAAGAACAAAGGTAAAAAAAATCTTCTTTTAGTAGACAGATGATTTCTTTTTAGCCATAATCATACGACTTAACTTGTTAGTACTATCTAATGAAAATGTTTTATTTCAGGCTCTTATACTTAGATCTGCAGTTATCAAGTGCCAGATTCATGTTAAGGTAAATTAATATTTCTGTAAGTGTATTCAGAGTTTGTTTTAAGGTACATGTACAATTTATTAGCAACTTGTATCATAAAAATTATATATAATATAACTAGTGAAAAACAACTACTTTTTACAAGTTTGTTTTTAGGTCACTATGATGATGCAATAAAATGTCATTTCTAATCTATAAAAAAAATTAAAAGTATATTGCTTAAAAGTATTTAAAATAATGTTTCAGGGGGGGGGGATGCCGACTGAAATTCAATGTGAAATAGAAAATACTATTGCCATAGACACAGAGTTGGAATCAATCAAAAGCTTAGCCTCTTAACCAGTAATATAAGCTTGTACAGAGATAAAAATAACTCGCAGGAAGTGATCTCTATTTATTGAAAAGGATGCTTTCAATTTTCTTTTCAATACATTTGATTGGCTTATTTAAATTTTGATTGCAACCATGGGTGACCCACAATTCACTGCTTCCTGCAACGCCGTCAAAAATCATTCTGCCACTTTCATTTATATCAGAATGTTCATCTGCAATCTGTAAACGGTCTTATTTGACATCTGGTTTATATTTTGAATAACTAAATTGTACTCTTGGTAAGTCAACATTTATACATTTTTTAAATTATTTTAATAATTATCATTTATTTTAAACTTTATTGGTATGAATTTGATTAAAAAAATAAATTGGCTATTACTGAAATTTTTAACTAAACCTGAGGGGTCGGCGTGGTCGAGTCGGTAAAGCTCATGGTTGCTAAACCGAAAAGTCTCGAGTTCGAACCCTCGGGCAGATGAGGCTCGTTAGCTGGGGACAGCCACTCTTCTAGGAGAGACAACTCCAAAATTAAACATCTGCTGCCTTGTAGTTTGTTCTTGGTTGGACAAAGGCTATGGAAGCAAATCCAAAAAGAAAAGCAGGCTGAAATCGGAGTCAATGGCGCATAACCAGTTGACACGTAACGCTTAATTGTGTTGGAGGCGTGGTCGAGTCGGCAAAAAGCTCATGATTGATAAATTCGAACAAAGTCTCGAGTTCAAACCCACTGGCAGATAAATCTCGATCCCCTTCAACACTAATAATTAAGAACGAAGAAGAAGAAGAAGAACTAAACCTGAAGAGCCTAGACATTAATCATTTAGATTAATGTATTAAAGTTTACTAATACCAGTAGTCATCCAGTTTTGTTGTTCAACTTAGATATGCCATGACTTATTATTTGTCTTAATGCTCAGGAATTTCAATATATTAGATAAAACATTTTTTTTAAGATTTTCATAAGCAGAATATGGCATCAAGAAAACAAAAAGGATGGCACAGCTGAAAAAAGGCCAGAGTTTCAATGTTCTAGTGTGTAGACTTAGTTACCAAACCAGCCACCAGTAGCTGTATTCAGATCCAAGGTATCCCTTATCAGCTATGTGGATAGTTTTGACACAGCTTTAATGCAGCTGCTATTTACAAGAAAGTTTGGCTGAATAAAGAAGATTTGCTACAGAATTTTTTTTTGAATCTTAAAAATAGTAGTTGATCCTGAACAAGCTGACAAGGAAGTTATTGACACTGATGGAAGTAGGCACAACTTTGGACAAAGTCTGGAATAAGCTGTAGCATTGAAAACATGATGGACCTTAAATTACTGCCAAAAATGTGCCATCCTGAAGAAAAGATAACATTGCACTGAAGCTTTGATGTGTTTGAGGAAATCTTATTTGTTTTGTTTATGATTTTTATGAGAATTTGTAAAATTGCTATTAATGTAATGCTTAGACATTGATACAATAAAAGTAAAAGTAAAAACAAAAAAAAACATTCTCTTTTTATTCTCCTACTTTTATGCTATATTTAGTCAAGTATTTGAGGGGTGTTGTGTGTACAATTACAATCTTAAAAAATGTGTCATTGAAAATTATTAGTTAAAAATTGTGGACATTCCTGATGGGAGGACAAGAGCATTGTCTATAGAGTTGAATATTATATGACAAGTTACTGATGTGGTTAAAAACTTATAGTAATGTAAGAATGATTGGCTTAAAAAGCAACAATTATAGTCCTTTTCAATTTTAATAGAGATAAAACATACACATTTACTTTTAGGATATCTTATACTAAAATGGTTGAAAATAAATCATGTTTGAAAACTATTAAAATAACTAGCTTTTAAATGTAGTAAAATAAAGGTAAAAAATATTCTTTCTTTCCTCGTATTTGAAAAATTGTAGTTATTGAGTTTATTGAAAAGATTGTATGTTTTATTGTTAGTATTAATTTGGATATGTTTTTATGAAGTTACATTTTTTACCCTTTAGAGCCCTCCAAGGGAAGGACTTCAGGGTGGTGAAATGTCCATAGCCCCTGCCAGCGCTAGCTCTCTTGTGAGGAACTGATTAGAATAAGCCTGTAGATAACTGAATGGAGTGCACCTGGATGCTAGATGGTTCTGCTTGATGAATGGTTTATGTTCTGTTGTGTAAGAGTTGCTGGGTGTTTGGTATTGAAGTATTCCTGTACATTTTTTTTCCTTGTATGCCTTCTTTAACATAGAGCAAGTGAGATTGAATGATAATTGGTTTGATATTGTAGGTAATGTCTTTAGTTAATTCAATATTTAAAATAAATAATTTAAGTGAATATATCCATTTAAAAATGAACAATTGACTATTACTGCCATGAGAAAGTATGTAGGCGCCCATTTATCAACATGGATAGATTTTTAAAATGCTATTAGTAATTATTTGAGCGTTTATAATAGAGTGTTGGACAATAATTCATTTACTCTAAAAAGCGCATGCATCCTGTAATACCTGTAATTGTCCTTGAAACAGACATAATGTTTTAGAAAGTGTATACTGACAGTTTAGAGACTTCTTAATGTAAAAGATTATAATAATTCAAGCAAATGTTAACAAATTTTGCATTTATCTAGTTCACAGTGCATGGTTAAATCATACCTGTTCTGTTATTCTAGACCTCAATGACCAGTTCTATGTGTGTGTCATATGATAGTTTACTTAGCTCTTTAAAAAATCCATCATGGTTGGTATATCATTTGTTTTTGATGAAATTATATGAATTACTTGTTCTCTATCAGCAACCAAACAATGTCATTTATTTTATCTATATGATAGAAAGAGGTTTATGCTGTAATTCATGCTGGATATTTTAACTAGATGTTTTATTCCTAACTAAACAGTGTATAACAATGATTGACTATTTGTTTCTAATTGCAGTTAAGGTAACCCTCCACAACAGTTTGGCTACTTTGAAATGTTAGCTATTTTGAGTTCTAACCTAAAACTTATAGGGCATTTATTTTTTTGAGTTTTTAATTATTTACATTTTTTTTTTTCACATCCCACACAGTTGTGGTGGAAGGTTAAAAAATAATGAGCTAACAAATAAATGCTTAGTATAATGCTTACTAATCATATTTTTGATTGAGCTAACATAAAACTATCATTATTCTGGGTCTATTAATTTTAAGCATTGAATTAAGTTTTACCAATGATCTAAGACTGACTTGAAAAAACAGAATTAGATTATAGGTACTTTTACAAAACAGTTAATTGAATGAAAGAATTTGATGCCATTGTGATTGATGAAAGTTGTAAGTGTAAGAACTAGATGTTAGTAGACTAATACGTAGTTGATGTTGCAAGTGGAAGATTAAGTCATCCTGGCAAGTTTAAGGGAACTTTATAACCAACGCACAGCTTGCTCATTTCATTTATTTTGCATCACCTATGGAAACAAAGAATATCTTTGTAATAGCTTATGTCCACAGACAAATGTTTTTTTCCTGTCAAACATTAGGCATCATGAGTTGATTTATTTAGAATGACAATGGTTTTCTGAACAGAATGTTTTCTTTTTAAATGTGTGGGCCATAAAATACTGAACATTTAATTTCTAACTAGCTTTTTTTCTCCCAGCATATTGTTATAATGTTCTAGCTACTTAATATCTTGAAATTATAGTTGACTTCTAATTTGGTTTTAAACTTGACTTTACATTACTTTTGGTACGTTTCTAAATAGTTTTTTTTTTTACAATTTGAATTGTAAATGTCTAGACTATAACAATTAACAAAAGCCATTGTTTGGCTCAGCTTCCAGAGCTGTTGTAGCTTGTAGGACAATGTCCTATGTTGCTGTACACTTGACTGTAGTCTGTGTGTTGAGGTGCTGGTAGTCTTGTTATTGCATGTAGGACAATGTCCTATTACACTTGACGTCTGTATGTTGAGGTGTAGGTTGTCTTGTTGTAGCATGTAGGACAATGTCCTATGTTGCTGTAGTCTGTGTGTTGTTGAGCTGGTTGTCTTGTTGTAGCATGTAGGACAATGTCCTATGTTGCTGTAGTCTGTGTGTTGTTGAGCTGGTTGTCTTGTTGTAGCATGTAGGACAATGTCCTATGTTGCTGTAGTCTGTGTGTTGAGGTGCTGGTAGTCTTGTTATTGCATGTAGGACAATGTCCTATTACACTTGACGTCTGTATGTTGGGGTGTAGGTTGTCTTGTTGTAGCATGTAGGACAATGTCCTATGTTGCTGTACACTTGACTGACGTCTGTGTTGAGGTGCAGGTTGTCGCAGATTGTTCTTAATTATTTCTTGTTGTTGATGAATTCAAAGCATGATCTTGTTGCTGGAGTGAATACTTGCTGCCCAGTTTTGTTACATGTGTGTATATAATTTATTGAACATTTCAAATAAACAAATGAGCAACCTTTTCACACTTCTGTGGTCTACTTTTATTTTGTTTGGGTTGCTGGTAATAATAAAGTACTTTTTAAAAGTTTTCATATAGAGCGGGTAGAGGAATCACTATTTAGATTTCAGGTACACTAGTAGGTATTTATAAATACCCCACTATTGGTAACACTTGTATAGCGAGTGGTGAGCCAAGCTTTTATTTAGTTATTGCCGTGAATTATAGGAAGGTTTAGCTGAGCAGAAGACTACTCTTGCTCAATGTTCCCTCTAAGTTGCGCAGTGATTTTGTAAAATAAATATATCCTTGTATAAGACTTTTAGAAAGCGCGCACAGAAAATACATTTTGCTCACTAGCTTTTCCCCCTTAGTTAGAGGGAAGATTGCTCTTGCTAACCAGAAAGTCTTGAATTCGGATCCCGAGTCCGTAAGACGACACCCTAGAGTCCACCCAGACTTGATGGATACCTGGTTGTATAAGGCAAGGTTATGGAAACAGGTGAACTATACTTCATTTGACATTGTGTCTTGGGCATTGATGAGCAATTGTTGATAAGAATCAGTGGATATATTATTACAATCTTTTACTTAGTTACCTACTTACGTTTGTTAGTGGATGTGTAGAAAATAGTGTTAACTCAAATTTGACCCACTTATAATGCAGCGATTTTGTTAAAACTTTCCAGATACCTTCTTGGACGACAATGCAAAAATATATAAATTTTAACGAATTAGAAGGGGTCGAGTCGGTAAAGCTCATTGTTGCTAAACCGAACCCTTGGGCAGATGAGGCTCCAAAATCAAACAACTGCCTTGTAGTAGTTTGTTCGTTGATCGCGAAGTAGGGGTAGATAACTGAATTAGCAACCTATGTCGCTCCTATGATGAGTAAACTTCTTTTTGAACGAATGAATAAAAAGAGGAAAACAAAAACCTATATAATGAAAAACTGAAAATAAACTAATTTGGTTATATTAATAAAATCTTTGATAGCTAAAATATGTAAGAGATCTCAGTAGCTGCCAAAGCTTTTAATAAAGGAAGCAAATTAGTTTTATTTTCTTATTTTCAGTGCATTTAAAAGTTTATAATTATAGGGCCTAAAGGTTTTCAATTTTGTTTTATTGTCTCTAGATCTATACACAAAAGCTCGTTTTATAATCAGTTTTTTTTTACTTTCTCGTATATACAAAGTATAGAGAAAGTCTTGTAATCGTGCAAAAAAAAATATAAAAATATCGAGATTTTTACAAATCTCGACGTTTTACACCTCCATGAGTCGGAAAAACATATTTTTGCAATCTTTTCCGTATGTCTGTCTCTCTCTCTGTCTCTCTCTCTCTCTCTCTGTGTGTGTGTGTGTCTGTAAACACAATAACTTGAGTACCGTTACAGCTAGGTTGATGATATTTCATATATAAGTATTTTATCGAAATCGTAGATCCGTTTCAACTTTTGAATTTACAAAAGCCTATAACTTGAGTACTATTTCAGTTAGATAAATGAAATTTCACATGTAAATAAAAGATCTAATCCTCTACCTTCTATCAAATTTTGAGTAATTTCCGTTGACCGGAAGTAGTAATTTACGCTATTTCCGATTTCTCAAAAAACGCATGTAAATTTTATAAAGTACTAATAATATTCCGCACTATTATGCACATTTTGTTTTGGCGTTCGCTTGGTGCGCAATTCTTTTTTCTACGAGATTCTATTCTATTTTTAAAAGTTTAAGTAATTAAAAATCATGTCTATTTTCCGAGTTGCCATCCCACGTAGTGTTATTAATGTTATATAAGAATATTCGAGAAAGTTTAGGGGAAATCTTTTTATTATGTGTACAAGTGATCTAAGAATTTCACATCAATCGGGAATAGCCAGACAAATACAAAATTAATGATAATTGAAGCCATGTGACGTTTATGTGACGTCACAGGAAGCTTTTGTTGATAAACAAAACAAATTTCGAATGAGAGGTATATGTTTAGAGGTTTATTAGTTTTGTGTTATCATAACTCATCAAGTTAACTATTTAATATAAAGACGTTAGATTAGGGTTTCTTAAATATGAATCAGCTATTTTTTTTTTTTGAAGTTTATGGCATCGATCTTACTTAAACTTGTGTACTAATTTAGCTTTTGTACGGTTTTTTTGTTTTTTTAAGATAAGATTTTGAGTACTTTTAAATGGGACAATTTGTTTGCAAGGTTTTAGATCTAGATCGTCTAGATTTACATAGCTTGACTCTTTCTTTCGGATGTCCATCTTGTCAAGCAGGATGTAATCTTGCAATCAATTTTTTACTTTATCCACCAAATCAAAACTGAAACATACGCCAAGTTCCAATGAGAATGCGTATTTTTTTATTTAAAAAAAATTATATTCGATAATTATAAAAGTATTACTATTTTATTTTTACTCAGCATGTTAATAGAAAAAGATAAATAGTAAAGAAGGGAGATAATATCATTCACATTTTTTTTACAGATATAGATTCTGAAGTTACGTTTCTTATGATGAAGATTCCTTGTGTTAGGGTTTTTGCCGTTTAAAAAGTTTTGGAAAAATCTTCCTTATCCTATTTTTTTTGCGCAGGCTTACTCGTGTAAACAAAACAGGTAACTAATTAGTGCTTTGCTTTATTTATAAATGTATATGCGTTTATACGTTTGTTTAGTTTTATAATTTCTACATAATAGACCTACAATACTCATTGACAATAGTGTCAGGTGTGCGTGTTAAGTTGGCCTGCTTTGAAACTTCAGGGCGGGGTGCACTTAAATTTCCGGGGGTGAGGCGAATAAGTATATATTTTCTATCTAAAATATTTTTATTTTTCGTTGGGGGTGGGGAGTGGGGGGGGGGGGGGGGTGGTAGACTTGAGAAGAGACGCCAGCAAAAATATCTGTCGTTTATAAAAAAAAAAAAAAAACCCCACCCTACTACGTCACATTCTCTTAGCCTGGTCTCATAAGTGCACCCCCCTCCTGAGGCCCTCCTCCCAGGAGCTTGGCGTTAATTTTTCTTGCAAGGCAAAAAAAAAAAAAAAAAACCAGCCCAGTACCGTAGTGTATTGCCCTGTCGGGGAATTTAACAATTGCAAATAGTGAATAAAGCCACCCGTAAAACATTTCTAACCTCAGCAAAAAAAACAAAAAAAAAACGATACATTCTAAGCTCGATACCAAATTGTATTGCCCTCATGTTGGGTGAATTCGTGCCTTCAGGAAAGAGAAAATTACTATGGGTGAGCCAAAACTAAACTCAAGACTTTGAGTTGAAATTTTTCGGGTCTGGTTCGTGTGGCCTAAAATACTAGGTCAATTACCCCACGTCATCCCAACGATGAATAGATGAATTACCCCCCTCCCCCCTTTCTTTTCTTACCACCCCCCTCCCTTCCTGTAGTAATTACCACATCTGGAAAATAACATAGGGGAAGAGAAAACACCCGTGTTTTATTAAAAGCCTTGCTGGTGCTGAAGTGGACTGAAAGACTACAAAACAAATTGTATTTCATACGAGCTTGTAATAGAATACGTCGTAGGGAGCATATACAAACCTGAGCCAAAAACCAACCATAAACCTAACGCCATCCATAACCGTATTCCAATAGCAGGTAGACCTATGATCATCCCTAACCCTATCTATAATCCTTTATCTATCCAAATCCCGAAACTTATTCCTATATCTATCCCTAACCATAACCCTAATTCATGTTGACAAAAAATAAAAGTATATATTTTGTGTATGAATTATATTTTTGTTCAAGGGGGGGGGGGTGTTACGAGCTCCGGGGGGGGGGGGGGGGAGAGGGGTTGCCTTTTTCAAGAGGAGAGCAGACATATTCGAACAGCCTCAACATCAGAAGCCGGTTCTCCCCCCCCCCCCCCCCCTGCCTCGCTAACTCTCCATAAAAAATAATCGATGACATCGTTAATATAAAGCAAGGACAACAGGTGATTCTCTTGTTTGTATTGAGTTTCTTCCAGGCAGCGCCCCACACTGATGCCGAAATATGACTGAACAAGCACCATCCCAGGCTCAGCAGCTGACACCCTCATCCCTCGCTTCCGGTTTAAACATCGACGACCCGCGGGTCGAGATCATGGCAGACTATCTGCTGCGTCGTTACCGACAGAAGCCCGACCGCTGGGTCAAATTCTATAACAATCTTGATAATCACGTGAGTATTTGACCTACAAAATCCCCCCCCCCCCCCCCCCACCACGTTTTTGTTGGCTACTGTAACATTTTCTTGTTCCATCTCAAATTTTGGTGTGTTGCTCAATCTAGACCCCACTTCCCGTGCTCAGCTCAAATGGGTACCTGACTCTGGTGTTAATCCCAGACCTCACTTTCCGTGCTCAGCTCAAATGGGTACCTGACTCTGGTGCTTACCCTAGACCTCACATTTTGTGCTCAGCTAAAATGGGTACCTGACCCTGATCGGAATAAAGGAAAGGTGGCATAGCACATAGCTGACTTCACACTCCCATAACATTTAGAGGTCACTATATTTCAACCGCCCTAAATTATTTAACTACGCATTAATAAATAAGAAAGAGAAGAGCAGAAACAAAAAAAAACCATGACACCAGAAACGTGTGAATTCCAGAATGCCTTGTTGGATTTCTTCAACAACACTGAGAAGTCTGTGGTCGTGTTCGTCTGTACGCCGGGGGCCATCGATTTCAGTTTTAACTGGCCGACAGACCCCCAAACTACGTTCACGTAAGTTGACTGTTGCACTCGGGTGACTAACATCTGGAGGAAGTTTTTCTTACAGAGAGTATCCCCTATAGGCCTATACATGCAATATATATATATATATATATATATATATATATATATATATATATATATATATATATATATATATATATATATATATATATATATATATATATATATATATATATATATATATATATATATATATATATATATATATATATATATATATATATATATATATATATATATATATATATATATATGTAACGAGCGAACAGTTACCCTGCTCGCAACGCCACATGTTACGAGACTATTTGCCTGTAGTGCCAAATGTAACGAGTTTAACCACTCATGCTACACAACATCGACTACAGTAGAAATACTCGAAGATGCAGGTTCGCTATTGATCCTTTTATTACATGAATCAAGAAATGCTTCAATATAACACAATGAATCAACAGGAATGCTTCACAATAATAGTCTGAATCAACTGACCCCTAACAGTCCTCACTAGGCTTCATATAACTGAATCCACATGTCTATTGTCCTTCTTAACACAATATAACCAACTTGATATGTCACACAGACTGACTGATCTAAAGCGAGCGATGAAGAGAGCGGGCGATCGAAAAGGGAAGAGCAGCGAGTTCAGCCGTCCCCTCCTATTTATCCCTTGTATTCGTACTCGTATTCGTACTTGTATTCCTCCGTAATCGATACTTGTACTCGATGTCTCCGACTACTAGTTGCGCAGTTCTAACGTACAGTCCGTTTAATAAAACATCTGCGTCCTATCAATCAAAGTTGACAGGCCGTCTGAATCCCCTCGTACCGTTTCCCAAAATAGCACGCGTTGGCTTTGAGATTGTTATCATTCCGATCTAATAAGCCACCTGCTATCAGTTGCATCAGACTGTAATACTGCGTCTCGGCTTATCGTTCGTTATCAGTTGCATCAGATTTGTAACTAGTAGCTAGGCCTACCCTAGTTACATCCACCCCTGCCTTTTTTTGTGTGTTTTCCACCACAAACAACGCCTGGCAGGTGCACTCCTCCAAAGTCAATCGCACAATCGTAAAAAATTTTTATTGTTCCACTCACTGTCCACGTCGTCCCATTCGTATACGATTGACAGTTATACCTATTTCACATATCAACTGTGTCTACATCATCTTCCTGAGACACAAAACAGTTCTAGAATTCACATCCACCCTTTTCGTTTGGTGCCTTCACCAGTTCACTTTTATAGCTTTTTGAACCGTCTGTTCTCATACCAGCGCGACCATGAAAGAATTGATGGTTGCTGACAAAAAATTTCGTATTCTTTCTGTTTCTCAAACTTCTCCGCGGACCACTTATCTGATGGTCTACTGTCTCTCTGCTTTTGGAGGGACCGGGATCCTCCTTGTTGCCGGTATCCTCCCCTTGTGTGTCGCTGTTGTTCTGTTGATGGTGACATGGTTCCGGGATGGGTATGTGAATTTCCGTTATAGTTTCCGGTTCCCTAATTGTCTTGGGTTTCCTTGTGTGTAACTGCTCTTCTTGACTATGACAATATTTCTTTAATTGAGCAATATTCGCCCACCGATCCGGTTTGGCGTGATCGATGGGTCTTATCTTAAAGGGGCCACCTGCTACTTTAGGCATCTCCACGACTTGCCATATCTCCTGTCCCCAGAGATCGTGGATTTTGTTTCTGCCTAATGGGTGGCTACGCAGTAATACCCTGTCGTTCAGTTTGAGTGGCGGGTCCTTTGTCTGTACCGGCGGTTCCCTTCGCCGTGCTTCATGTTCTAGTCTTTCCTGTACTACCCTGTACATTTCTCTAATTCGTCTCATATGTTCATTCACATATTCCAGTGCAGTGTATGAGCCAGTCATACTCTCCTTTTTTCCTAGGAACAAGTCAAGGGGGAGTCGAGCCTCCCGTCCGAACAGCAACATGTATGGCGAAAAGCCGGTTGTGGCATGGGGTGTGCAGTTGTATAGATATACCAACTCTGGGAGAAAATCAGGCCAACGTTTTTTCTGTTCAGGTTCTAGAGTACGCAGCAAATCATGCATGCTGCGGTTGAACCGCTCGCACTGTCCGTTTCCTTTCGGATTAAATGTGGTTGTTCTAGATTTGTTGATCCCGTAGTGGCTGCACAGTTGGTTAATTACTTCTGACTCGAAGGCCCTTCCTTGGTCAGAGTGTAATTGTCTTGGTATGCCATATTTGATGAACCAATGTTCTATTAAGACCTTTGCCACTGTTTTGGCAGTCTGATCTCGTGTGGGCACCGCCACAGTCCATTTGGTGAAAACATCAGTCATTACCAACACATGTTCCGTCCCATCCGATGATTGCTCCAACGACGTAAAGTCCATAGCCACAATCTCTAGTGGTTTTGTCGCTAGTAGGTGTCCTGATGGCTGTCTCATTTTGACAACTGGCATTTTCGCATGCTGACACCTCACACAAGCCTCACAATGGCGTTTGACCTCCATTTCCATATTGGGCCAGTAACACCTCCGTCGTAAAATTTTGTGCGTCCTGTCCTGACCCTGGTGTCCTGCCCTGTCATGTGCCAACCTTAGCACTTCTTCTCGTAACTGTCCAGGCACCACCACCTGGTGTATTTCCCCATCAATTTGGTCATGAATTCTCCGCATGAGAACACCATCCTCTATACTGAGACGGTCCCACTGACTCAGTATTTTCTTTGTTTCTCGACCAAATTGTTCTCTTTCCCTTCTTCCTGGGAATTTTTGTTCCTGGACGTATTTCAATAGCGGTTGTAAGCCACTATCCGTTCTCTGGGCATCTCTTATCTTTTTGTGATTAAGGCAATTAAAATCACTACTGTCCATATGTCCGGGCTCTGTGGATATGTGCTCCACCCCGGTCTGCCCGTTTTGCATCACTTGTACCCCATGAGAGATATCTGTTGACGCTCTGACCTCACATATTCCTGTCAGCGTTTCTTCCTCATCACCCGGTCTCTCGTAAGGATTCCTTGATAAGGCGTCCGCATTGCCATTGGACCGCCCCGGGCGATGTTTTCTCTCTAGGTCAACGAGTGCCAATTCTGCTGCCCATCGCTGTTCGATGGATCCCAGCCTTGCTGTAATTTGAAGTTCTTTTTCAATATCGGATAATTTCTCTTCAAGTCTTGTTTGAGACTCTTTCATTTCTTCTAGTTTGCCAACACTGTTCTGTTGTCTACTATTTTTATTTACTTCTTCCGATAACAGACACTCTAAAGATGAACATTTCTCCTGTGCTTTTAATTTGCATGACCTTTCCCTATCCAGTTTCCTGGTTAACATTGAGATCTCATTCTTAAGTCTACCAATTTCCTTCTTATCATCATTTTTCTCTACCAACAAATTGTTCACTTGAAACTTTTCAACATCCCAGTTCATTTCACAGTTCATTTTTTTCATTAGTTGTGTTTTACCTTTCTTTTTCTCCTTACTGTGTTTCTTTGTCATTTTGTTTACTAAGTCATTACCTCGCCGCTCTGTAGCCTTGACCTGCCTTACAGAGGGCGATCGTTTCACCGGACAGTACCGTGCCATGTGTCCGGGTTGTGAACAGGACCAGCAAATTGGTCGACCGTCGGCCGTCCATTGGAGTGATGGCTTGGCAGGACGCGGCCGTCCAACCCGTCCCTGTTTTGTCCCGTTCTTTTCCTGATTCTCAGCTGTTGACCTGCTTTCTAACCTCTCCAAACGTTGGTCAACCTTATCTAGGTGGGCCAACAGTTGAGCCATCATGGTCTCCATCGTGTCGGCCCCTGTGGGTGGGGATTGTCTCTGTTCAGGCACAGAGACTTTGTCCACCGAACAGTTCGATTGGTCCTCATCCTCGGACCTGCGGATCGCTGAGTTCCTGACCTGTAGGAAGGTCAACTGCGGGTCTTTGTGGACCTCCTCTTTCAACTCTCTTCTTAGGATCGGGGTTGCTAGCCCCTCGATGAAATGGTCCCTCAGTAGGCGCCCATCAATGTCAGGTGTTTTGACCTTTACCGAATCAAAGGCCCTGTTCATCCGGTGTGAGTACTCCATCACACTCTCTGCCATTCTCTGCCTTAAGCCTACGAACCCTGCCAGCAGTTGCGATCCCGACCGTCTCTCCCCAAAGGTCTCCATAATCAGATCCAGCACCTTATCCGGATCTGATTGGATGGTTTTATCGTGGCATTTGACCTCTGCCCTAACCGTCTCTCCTATACTGCCCATCAGCAGTCTTAATCTTTCCTCTGGTGACATGCCTCTCGAGGCCCAGGCCGCTTTGACCTCTTCACTGAACCTGTTGGTTAAAGTTGGATCACCGTCCCCGTAAAATTTGTTAATGTGGGACTCTCTGGGTAGGACCACTATATGGGTCTGCTTCTCGTCCAGAGTAGACATTTTATTCCGTAAGTAACAAAAAAAAGAGTTCTTTCTTACCGTGTGTGTATGAAAAATTTTTCTCGTTCCTCAATTTTCACAGTTCCTGAATGTCCGAATTCACACACACACTAAACACAGTTATGCACAAGGTTGACTATGGGTGCCTAAAGCGGCAAGTCTAGTTGAATTCATCCTGCCGACGACGCCAATTGTAACGAGCGAACAGTTACCCTGCTCGCAACGCCACATGTTACGAGACTATTTGCCTGTAGTGCCAAATGTAACGAGTTTAACCACTCATGCTACACAACATCGACTACAGTAGAAATACTCGAAGATGCAGGTTCGCTATTGATCCTTTTATTACATGAATCAAGAAATGCTTCAATATAACACAATGAATCAACAGGAATGCTTCACAATAATAGTCTGAATCAACTGACCCCTAACAGTCCTCACTAGGCTTCATATAACTGAATCCACATGTCTATTGTCCTTCTTAACACAATATAACCAACTTGATATGTCACACAGACTGACTGATCTAAAGCGAGCGATGAAGAGAGCGGGCGATCGAAAAGGGAAGAGCAGCGAGTTCAGCCGTCCCCTCCTATTTATCCCTTGTATTCGTACTCGTATTCGTACTTGTATTCCTCCGTAATCGATACTTGTACTCGATGTCTCCGACTACTAGTTGCGCAGTTCTAACGTACAGTCCGTTTAATAAAACATCTGCGTCCTATCAATCAAAGTTGACAGGCCGTCTGAATCCCCTCGTACCGTTTCCCAAAATAGCACGCGTTGGCTTTGAGATTGTTATCATTCCGATCTAATAAGCCACCTGCTATCAGTTGCATCAGACTGTAATACTGCGTCTCGGCTTATCGTTCGTTATCAGTTGCATCAGATTTGTAACTAGTAGCTAGGCCTACCCTAGTTACATATATATATATATATATATATATATATAATACGCTTATGTTAGATCTTTGCTAAATGATGTTACAGATATTTCCTTAAGAAAAGTGCCAACGCCAAGATTAGTAAAGACAACTTTCGGGATGAGATGGTCTACGGGGATATGTTTCCTGGAGAGTTGGACCAATTCTCCATCTTCATCAACAAGGTAGGGACGTGAGCCGTGTCTAGAGTTGGACCAATTCTCCATCTTCATCAATAAGGTAGGGACGTATGCCGTGTCTAGAGTTGGACCAATTCTCCATCTTCATCAACAAGGTAGGGACGTGAGCCGTGTCTAGAGTTGGACCAATTCTCCATCTTCATCAACAAGGTAGGGACGTATGCCGTGTCTAGAGTAAAGACCAATTCTCCATCTTCATCAACAAGGTAGGGACGTGAGCCATGTCTAGAGTTGGACCAATTCTCCATCTTCATCAACAAGGTAGGGACGTGAGCCGTGTCTAGAGTTGGACCAATTCTCCATCTTCATCAACAAGGTAGGGACGTGAGCCGTGTCTAGAGTTGGACCAATTCTCCATCTTCATCAACAAGGTAGGGACGTGAGCCGTGTCTAGAGTTGGACCAATTCTCCATCTTCATCAACAAGGTAGGGACGTGAGCCGTGTCTAGAGTTGGACCAATTCTCCATCTTCATCAACAAGGTAGGGACGTATGCCGTGTCTAGAGTAAAGACCAATTCTCCATCTTCATCAACAAGGTAGGGACGTGAGCCGTGTCTAGAGTTTGACCAATTCTCCATCTTCATCAACAAGGTAGGAACGTATGCCGTGTCTAGAGTAAAGTCAACATTTTAGGACTTACGTGTAACTGTGGGAGTGCGGCTGTGGTTAGAGAACAGCCGTGTTAGGAGAACAGCCATGTTAAGGTGTCTCACACTAATAGTTTCCACTCTACCACACTGTTTTATACAGTTACCAGAAAAATGCGCAAACGGAAAACTAAGCAGAAAAAACTAACAGAAAAACGCTCAAATCCAACCTAATTATACTAATACACTTTAATTTGTAATATTCCATGGAAAAATGTAATATTATAATGATCAATGATCGATTTTTGCCTAAGAATAAAAATGCTCGATTTAAAAAAAAAAATCCCTCTCGCACATTTTCGTGTGCAATTTACCGTGGCGCAGTTTTCCGTTTCGTGGTTTTCTTTTCCGCATGTTTCCGTCCACTTTTTCATATTGCTTCCAACAGGTAGTGGATCGCACCACAGCTAACCCTGCCAACAACGTGAAATGGCCGACCGTGGTGACAGATGACGTCAGACAACACACCCAGACCCTGAAGACGATTGTTGAGATCACCTCCAGCAGAGCCAAGGGACAGACGCTGCTACGTGTGCCCAATGAGCTGGATAATTTCGAATACCCGGATCCGGAAAATCCAAAGTAAGGCAACGGTCAATGTAGCGTGTGTGTGCGTGTGTGTGTGTGGGGGGGGGGGGGGGTGAAAGTAGTGTAAACATAGAATTGAGACTACTTTATTCAGATATGACAGTTTTGTAAATATGGTTTTTATTATAAGGAATTTGGTTTTTGCGCGAGAATGTAACGAAGATGTTTTAAAAATAAAATGTCGCCATACAACTCCCAACATCAGTGGTCAGATTTGTTCAGAGTACCAGAAAAAAAATAATTGAGTTGTTGTTGAAAATTATAGCCGAATCTTAAATTGTCTACTTTTCGACTTGTCTGTCTTGTGTTGTCAACTTGTCGTTTCGTCTGTCGTGTAACAATTTGTCCTTTCGTTTGTCTTGTATTGCCCACTTGTCATTACGTCTGTCTTGTATTGCCCACTTGTCATTGCGTTTGTCTTGTATTGCCCACTTGTCATTACGTTTGTATTGCCCACTTGTTATTCCGTCCTTCTGTATTGCCAACTTGTCATTTCATCTGTCTTGTATTGTCAATTTGTCATTTCGTCTGTCTTGTATTGTCCACTTGTCATTACGTCTGTCTAGTATTGTCAACTTGTCATTTCGTCTGTCTTGTATTGTCAACTTGTCATTACGTCTGTCTTGTATTGTCAACTTGTCATTACGTCTGTCTTGTATTGCCAACTTGTCATTTCGTCTGTCTTGTATTGTAAACTTGTCATTACGTCTGTCTTGTATTGTCAACTTGTCATTACGTCTGTCTTGTATTGTCAACTTGTCATTACGTCTGTCTTGTATTGTCAACTTGTCATTACGTCTGTATTGTGTTGTCAACTTGTCATTACGTCTATCTTGTATTGTCAACTTGTCATTACGTCTGTCTTGTATTGTCAACTTGTCATTACGTCTGTCTTGTATTGTCAACTTGTCATTTCGTCTGTCTTGTATTGTTAACTTGTCATTACGTCTGTCTTGTATTGTCAACTTGTCATTACGTCTGTCTTGTATTGTCAACTTGTCATTACGTCTGTCTTGTATTGTCAACTTGTAATTACGTCTGTGTTGTGTTGTCAACTTGTCATTACGTCTGTCTTGTATTGTCAACTTGTCATTACGTCTGTCTTGTATTGTCACCTTGTCATTTCGTCTGTCTGGTATTGTCAACTTGTCATTTCGTCTGTCTTGTGTTGTCAACTTGTCATTTCGTCTGTCTTGTATTGTCACCTTGTCATTTCGTCTGTCTTGTATTGTCAACTTGTCATTTCGTCTGTCTTGTGTTGTCAACTTGTCATTTCGTCTGTCTTGTATTGCCAACTTGTCATTTAATCTGTCGTGTAACAACTTGTCGTTACGTCTGTCTTGTATTGTCAACTTGTCATTTCGTCTGTCTTGTATTGTCAACTTGCCACCCTACTCAGAATCAACCGACGCATCTTGCACACCATCGAGTCGACCATAGTCATGTGGAGTAATGAGATCCAGGAAGTGCTGAAGGTGCGAAACGCCGACCCCATCCTCGAGGGCAAGAACCCCACCCCCAATGTGGAGATCCAGTTCTGGAAGCTCAGGGCTAAGGACTTCGACCAGGTGTACAAGCAGGTGAGAGCGTTTGACTTGGCTGAGCAAATACTTTAGTCATTTGACATGGTTGAACAAATACTTCATTCATTTGATTTGACCGAGCAAATACTTCAGTCATATGACTTGGCTGAGCTAATACTTCAATCATTTGACGTATGAGTAAATACCGTAGTCATTTGACTTGGTTAAGTAAACACCTCAGTCATTTGACTTGGTTAATACTGAATCATTCTACTTTCCTGAGCAAATACCTAGAGTATCAAGTGGAGGGTATGGACGAGGGTGAACATTAACAGCTGATTAGGCTCCCAATTTATGAGCTATTTTAAAAGTGTTTGGTCTAGACTAGAAAAACATGGAGGAGTGACATTGATGACACAAGACAAACACATGACATGGATGACACGAGACAAACACATGACATGGATGACACAAGATCAACACGTGACATGGATGACACAAGACAAACACATGACATGGATGACACAAGACCAACACGTGACATGGATGACACAAGATCAACACGTGACATGGATGACACAAGATCAACACGTGACATGGATGACACAAGACAAACACATGACATGGATGACACAAGACCAACACGTGACATGGATGACACAAGATCAACACGTGACATGGATGACACAAGACCAACACGTGACATGGATGACATTAGACAAACACGTGACATGGATGACACGAGACAAACACGTGACATGGATGACACAAGACCAACACGTGACATGGATGACATTAGACAAACACGTGACATGGATGACACAAGACCAACACGTGACATGGATGACACAAGACCAACACGTGACATGGATGACACAAGACCAACACGTGACATGGATGACATTAGACAAACACGTTACATGGATGACACAAGACCAACACGTGACATGGATGACACAAGACCAACACGTGACATGGATGACACAAGATCAACACGTGACATGGATGACACAAGACAAACACGTGACATGGATGACACAAGACCAACACGTGACATGGATGACACAAGACCAACACGTGACATGGATGACACGAGACAAACACGTGACATGGATGACATTAGACAAACACGTGACATGGATGACACGAGACCAACACGTGACATGAATGACACAAGACAAACACGTGACATTGATGACACGAGACCAACACGTGACATTGATGACATTAGACAAACACGTGACATGGATGACACAAGACCAACACGTGACATGGATGACACGAGACAAACACATGACATGGATGACACAAGACCAACACGTGACATGGATGACACAAGATCAACACGTGACATGGATGACACAAGACAAACACATGACATGGATGACACAAGACCAACACGTGACATGGATGACACAAGATCAACACGTGACATGGATGACACAAGATCAACACGTGACATGGATGACACAAGACAAACACATGACATGGATGACACAAGACCAACACGTGACATGGATGACACAAGATCAACACGTGACATGGATGACACAAGACCAACACGTGACATGGATGACATTAGACAAACACGTGACATGGATGACACGAGACAAACACGTGACATGGATGACACAAGACCAACACGTGACATGGATGACATTAGACAAACACGTGACATGGATGACACAAGACCAACACGTGACATGGATGACACAAGACCAACACGTGACATGGATGACACAAGATCAACACGTGACATGGATGACACAAGACAAACACATGACATGGATGACACAAGACCAACACGTGACATGGATGACACAAGATCAACACGTGACATGGATGACACAAGATCAACACGTGACATGGATGACACAAGATCAACACGTGACATGGATGACACAAGACCAACACGTGACATGGATGACATTAGACAAACACGTGACATGGATGACACGAGACAAACACGTGACATGGATGACACAAGACCAACACGTGACATGGATGACATTAGACAAACACGTGACATGGATGACACAAGACCAACACGTGACATGGATGACACAAGACCAACACGTGACATGGATGACACAAGACCAACACGTGACATGGATGACACGAGACAAACACGTGACATGGATGACATTAGACAAACACGTGACATGGATGACACAAGACCAACACGTGACATGGATGACACAAGACCAACACGTGACATGGATGACACAAGACCAACACGTGACATGGATGACACAAGACCAACACGTGACATGGATGACATTAGACAAACACGTGACATGGATGACACAAGACCAACACGTGACATGGATGACACAAGACCAACACGTGACATTGATGACACAAGACCAACACGTGACATGGATGACACAAGACCAACACGTGACATGGATGACATTAGACAAACACGTGACATGGATGACACGAGACCAACACGTGACATGGATGACACAAGACAAACACGTGACATTGATGACACGAGACCAACACGTGACATTGATGACATTAGACAAACACGTGACATGGATGACACAAGACCAACACGTGACATGGATGACACGAGACCAACACGTGACATGGATGACACAAGACAAACACGTGACATGGATGACACAAGACCAACACGTGACATGGATGACACGAGACAAACACGTGACATGGATGACATTAGACAAACACGTGACATGGATGACACAAGACCAACACGTGACATGGATGACACGAGATCAACACGTGACATGGATGACACGAGACAAACACGTGACATTGATGACATTAGACAAACACGTGACATTGATGACATTAGACAAACACGTGACATGGATGACACGAGACCAACACGTGACATGGATGACACAAGACAAACACGTGACATGGATGACACAAGACCAACACGTGACATGGATGACACGAGACAAACACGTGACATGGATGACATTAGACAAACACGTGACATTGATGACATTAGACAAACACGTGACATGGATGACACAAGATCAACACGTGACATGGATGACACGAGACCAACACGTGACATGGATGACACAAGATCAACACGTGACATGGATGACACAAGACCAACACGTGACATGGATGACATTAGACAAACACGTGACATGGATGACACAAGACCAACACGTGACATGGATGACACGAGACAAACACGTGACATGGATGACACAAGACCAACACGTGACATGGATGACACAAGACCAACACGTGACATGGATGACATTAGACAAACACGTGACATGGATGACACGAGACCAACACATGACATTGATGACATTAGACCAACACGTGACATGGATGACACAAGACCAACACGTGACATGGATGACACAAGACAAACACGTGACATTGATGACACGAGACAAACACGTGACATGGATGACACAAGACCAACACGTGACATGGATGACACAAGACCAACACGTGACATGGATGACACAAGACCAACACGTGACATGGATGACACAAGACAAACACGTGACATGGATGACACAAGACCAACACGTGACATGGATGACACAAGACAAACACGTGACATGGATGACACAAGAAAGACGAGGGTCGGGCTTTCAGAGTTGTCTGGAAAGCATGTGCCCACGATCTGTGTCCTAGATAAACAACAGGTTTTTACTTCGGCAGCTTAGAATTATTGACTGGCTTATAAGTTTGGCTAAATAAAGTCATCGGAGAGTCTTCGAAACGGCCGTCATACACTATCGTTTGCAATAAGAACTGGTGCATTGATGGCATGACAATTGATATGAAGAACATTTTAAAGAATAACAATTTATTGTTCTGTTTTTAACCCTCTACTACTCTATGTAGCTAACCCTATATTGTTCCGTGTAGCTGACTCACCCTAAATTGTTCCGTGTAGCTGACTCACCCTATATTGTTCCGTGTAGGTGACTCACCCTATATTGTTCCGTGTAGCTGACTCACCCTATATTGTTCCGTGTAGCTGACTCACCCTATATTGTTCCGTGTAGCTGACTCACCCTATATTGTTCCGTGTAGCTAACTCACCTTATATTGTTCCGTGTAGCTAACTCACCCTATATTGTTCCGTGTAGCTGACTCACCCTATATTGTTCCGTGTAGCTGACTAACCCTATATTGTTCCATGTAGCTGACTCACCCTATATTGTTCCGTGTAGCTGACTCACCCTATATTGTTCCGTGTAGCTGACTCACCCTATATTGTTCCGTGTAGGTGACTCACCCTATATTGTTCCGTGTAGGTGACTCACCCTATATTGTTCCGTGTAGCTGACTCACCCTATATTGTTCCGTGTAGGTGACTCACCCTATATTGTTCCGTGTAGCTGACTCACCCTATATTGTTCCGTGTAGCTGACTCACCCTATATTGTTCCGTGTAGCTGATTAATTTTATATTGTTCCATGTAGCTGATTACTTTTATATTGTTCCGTGTAGCTGACTCACCCTATATTGTTCCGTGTAGGTGACTCACCCTATATTGTTCCGTGTAGCTGACTCACCCTATATTGTTCCGTGTAGCTGACTCACCCTATATTGTTCCGTGTAGCTGACTCACCCTATATTGTTCCGTGTAGCTCACTAACCCTATATTGTTCCGTGTAGCTGATTAATTTTATATTGTTCCATGTAGCTGACTAACCCTATATTGTTCCATGTAGCTAACTAACCCTATATTGTTCCATGTAGCTAACTAACCCTATATTGTTCCATGTAGCTAACTCACCCTATATTGTTCCGTGTAGCTGACTCACCCTATATTGTTCCGTGTAGCTGATTAATTTTATATTGTTCCATGTAGCTGATTACTTTTATATTGTTCCGTGTAGCTGACTAACCCTATATTGTTCCGTGTAGCTAACTCACCCTATATTGTTCCGTGTAGCTGACTCACCCTATATTGTTCCGTGTAGCTGACTCACCTTATATTGTTCCGTGTAGCTGACTCACCCTATATTGTTCCGTGTAGCTGACTCACCCTATATTGTTCCGTGTAGCTGACTCACCCTATATTGTTCCGTGTAGCTGACTCACCCTATATTGTTCCGTGTAGCTGATTAATTTTATATTGTTCCATGTAGCTGACTAACCCTATATTGTTCCATGTAGCTAACTCACCCTATATTGTTCCGTGTAGCTGACTCACCCTATATTGTTCCATGTAGCTAACTAACCCTATATTGTTCCGTGTAGCTGACTCACCCTATATTGTTCCATGTAGCTAACTAACCCTATATTGTTCCGTGTAGCTGACTCACCCTATATTGTTCCATGTAGCTAACTAACCCTATATTGTACCGTGTAGCTGACTAACCCTATATTGTTCCATGTAGCTCACTAACCCTATATTGTTCCGTGTAGCTGATTAATTTTATATTGTTCCATGTAGCTGACTAACCCTATATTGTTCCATGTAGCTAACTAACCCTATATTGTTCCATGTAGCTAACTAACCCTATATTGTTCCATGTAGCTAACTCACCCTATATTGTTCCATGTAGCTGACACTCTATATTGTTCCATGTAGCTAACTAACCCTATATTGTTCAGTGTAGCTAACTAACCCTATATTGTTCCATGTAGCTAACTAACCCTATATTGTTCCATGTAGCTGACACTCTATATTGTTCCATGTAGCTAACTAACCCTATATTGTTCAGTGTAGCTAACTAACCCTATATTGTTCCATGTAGCTGACTAACCCTATATTGTTCCATGCAGCTAACTAACCCTATATTGTTCCATGTAGCTGACACACCCTACAGTGAAGATGATGGTACGCTGTCTCAAAGACGGCAATAGTGTCTACTACAAGTCTTTCAAAGAACTTTACAGCAGCGTAGTAGCAGGTAGGTCTTCGGTTATAGAAAGGTCATCATTAAGCTGTTCTTCTTAAAGCTATGACGTCTTCGGTTATTGAAAGGTCATGAATAAGCTGTTTTTGGTCAAAATATTTTGCTACAATTGAAGGTTACAATCATTGCCAAGATAAATATGACAATTTTCCAGCGCTAGTAGAGGCTACGACGCCGTAATAAAGTTGCTAATGAATGTGTCCGATCCAGCGCTAGTTGATGCTATGTCTCTGTGTTAAAGAGGCTAATGAATGTGTCCCTTCCAGCGTTAGTTGAGGCTACATCCATGTGGTACAGTTGCTAATGAATGTGTCCCTTACAGCGCTAGTAGAGGCTACAGTTGCTAATGAATGTGTCTCTTCCAGCGCTAGTAGAGGCTACAGTTGCTAATGAATGTGTCTCTTCCAGCGCTAGTAGAGGCTACAGTTGCTAATGAATGTGTCCCTTCCAGCGCTAGTAGAGGCTACAGTTGCTAATGAATGTGTCCCTTACAGCGCTAGTAGAGGCTACAGTTGCTAATGAATGTGTCCCTTCCAGCGCTAGTAGAGGCTACAGTTGCTAATGAATGTGTCTCTTCCAGCGCTAGTAGAGGCTACAGTTGCTAATGAATGTGTCTCTTCCAGCGCTAGTAGAGGCTACAGTTGCTAATGAATGTGTCTCTTCCAGCGCTAGTAGAGGCTACAGTTGCTAATGAATGTGTCCCTTCCAGCGCTAGTTCAGGCTACACCCATGTGGTACAGTTGCTAATGAATGTGTCTCTTCCAGCGCTAGATGTGGCTACAGTTGCGAATGAACTTGTCCCTTGCAGCGCTAGTAGAGGCGAACGACAACCTGATGTACCTGACGGCCGTGAGGAACGCCATCGATAACATCGAGCAGGTGGACTTTGACCTGTGTGAGCCACTACTAGGTCCCCTCATGCACACCGTGTCGCTGGTCTGGGTCCATTCCAAGCACTACAACACCCCGGAGAGGATCACGGTCTTGATGCAGATGTTGTGTAACTTTATCATTGAAATGGTAAGATGATGTTGTGTAACTTTATCATTGAAATGGTGAGATGATGTTGTGTAACTTTATCATTGAAATGGTGAGATGATGTTGTGTAACTTTATCATTGAAATGGTGAGATGATGTTGTGTAACTTTATCATTGAAATGGTGAGATGGTGATGTTGTGTAACTTTATCATTGAAATGGTGAGATGGTGATGTTGTGTAACGTTATCATTGAAATGGTGAGATGATGTTGTGTAACTTTATCATTGAAATGGTGAGCCAGGGATGTTGTGTAACTTTATCATTGAAATGGTGAGATGGTGATGTTGTGTAACGTTATCATTGAAATGGTGAGATGGTGATGTTGTGTAACTTTATCATTGAAATGGTGAGATGGTGATGTTGTGTAGCTTTATCATTGAAATGGTGAGATGGTGATGTGTAACTTTATCATTGAAATTGTGAGATGGTGATGTTGTGTAACGTTATCATTGAAATGGTGAGATGGTGATGTTGTGTAACTTTATCATTGAAATGGTGAGATGGTGATGTTGTGTAGCTTTATCATTGAAATGGTGAGATGGTGATGTGTAACTTTATCATTGAAATGGTGAGCCAGGGATGTTGTGTAACTTTATCATTGAAATGGTGAGATGTTGATGTTGTGTAACTTTATCATTGAAATGGTGAGATGATGTGTAACTTTATCATTGAAATGGTGAGCCAGGGATGTTGTATAACTTTATTAGTGAGATGTTGATGTTGTGCTGCTTTTTGTGAGGTGGTGATGTGTAACTTTTAATTGGTAGCGATGTTATGTAACTTTTTGTGAGGTAGTGATGTTATGTAACTTTTTGTGAGGTAGCGATGTTATGTAACTTTTTGTGAGGTAGTGATGTTATGTAACTTTTGGTTGGTAGCGATGTTATGTAACTTTTTGTGAGGTAGTGATGTTGTGTAACTTTTGTGGCGACACTGACGTTGGGTAGCTTTATTGTGTTAGCCGAATAGTGGTTTTTTTTTTACAATATTCTAACTATAGACCTGTATATAATTCTACTGCTACTTGGCAGGTTGACGCCTACCTGACCCCAGAGGAAATGTTCAAGGGAGACATGGTCGAGACCATCCCTCTGACGAAGATCGCCGAAAGCGTCATGTCCTCCTTCCGAACAGCGTTCGACATCGAGCGCGACAAGTTGGCCAGCATGTTCCCTGAGGGCGAGACTGTAAGGCCCTGGAACTTCCAACCGGACATCGTCTTCTCCCGGTTCAGCAAAGTCCACGAGAGGCTCAAAATTGCCTACGTGAGTTCAGGGCTCGGCATGGTAGGGCGGTGGGGGGGGGAGCGTATGGTTGCTAATATTATTTTTACTTATCGATAAGAGTTTTTGTATAGGCCTGTTTTGCAACATCGGCAAAGCTTTGAACAATATCCATAGTGTTTAGTTTCACGCTAACTGTTGCGCATAAATGACTTCGCGTTTTTTTGTCAAATTCATTTACTTCACCAATCGTGATTTCTCTATGTGTGATTTCCCCCAGGCCACTTACAATGTGTGATTTCCCTACGAACCACTACCAATGTGTGATTTCCCTACGAGCCACTACCAATGTGTGATTTCCCTACGAACCACTATCAATATGTGATTTCCCCTACGAACCACTACCAATGTGTGATTTCCCTACGAACCACTACCAATGTGTGATTTCCCTACGAACCACTACCAATGTGTGATTTCCCTACGAACCACTACCAATGTGTGATTTCCCTACGAACCACTACCAATGTGTGATTTCCCTACGAGCCACTATGTGTGATTTCCCTACGAACCACTACCAATGTGTGATTTCCCTACGAACCACTACCAATGTGTGATTTCCCTACGCACCACTACCAATGTGTTATTTTCCTATGTGTGATTTCCCTACGAACCACTACCAATGTGTTATTTTCCTATGTGTGATTTCCCCATGAACCACTACCAATGTGTTATTTTCCTATGTGTGATTTCCCCATGAACCACTACCAATGTGTGATTTCCCTACGAAACACTACCAATGTGTGATTTCCCTACGAACCACTACCAATGTGTGATTTCCCCACGAACCACTAACGATGTGTGATTTCCCTACGACCAACTAACCATGTGTGATTTCCCTGACACAGTACCTGATGGACACGAACGTGAACTTCATGAAGCTGGAGAAGGTGGAGTTTGGTGGCATCAAGGGGAACTCACTGGGCGAGGATGTCATCGTCATCTTCCAGGAGTTTGACGAGGCCTTTAAGCTCTTCACTGAGAGCAAGTACAACCCACTCGACTCGTCGGATCCGGTACGGTTTTATCCACAGTTGTCTTGACGTTGTGTTGTAATAGAGTAGCGGCCCATTATCTGTTTAAACCAGAGTTGTCTTCACATGTTGTTGTCATAGAGTAGCGGCCCAGAGTTGTCTTCACGTTGTGTTGTATTATAGTAGCGACCCACTATCTGTTTAAACCAGAGTTGTCTTCACATGGTATTGTAAAAATATTAACATTAGAGTAACACTCATTTTTAAAATATAAACAGGATCTCATCTCAAAACACATTTAAACACTTGGTTATATTAACTTAATTATGATGGTAAACTCAAAACTATAATCTATTACCATTAAGCAAACGAAAAAAAGACGGAGCTTGCAAAATATTTCCAAATCTAGCTTATAGTTTATGATAACATTTTTTAAAAAATTACATTTGTAGACTGCAATAATTCTAGCCAGTGGCGTAGCGAGGTCGGGTGTTACCCGGTGCGGCACATAATGGTGTCACCCCCCCAGAGGCGTTGCGACCCTTCATGTTTTGATTTGCACCCCCCCCCCCCCCAAACTTTCGATTTGCACCCCCCCCCCTCAAGTTTTTGATTTGCAGCCCCCCCCCCCCTCGCTACGCCCCTGATTCTAGCTTATATTCTATGATAATTTTTTTTAAAAAATCACATTTGTAGACAGAAATAATTTAGGCTATTTACTAAATTTGATGCTTGTCCGGTTCCGAAAATGAAATAGTTATTTTGTAAATCGAAATTTAATGGAAACTTGTTAAAAAATATATAAAAAGTAAAGGTATTAACTCAGTGAAGATGAGGATTAACTAATATTTGTTTTCACACTACACATCTTTACCATGGCCAGTTATTTAAAAATAAACAAATTTCCCATTTTTTTCAGGCTTTTATCCGCAACTATGAAACATTCAATATGATAATGGCCGACTTCGATCGAAGGCTGGCAACGATAGTTTGCAAAGGTTACTTTGACTGCTCGGGCTTAGAGATGATATTTAAGGTACAGATACGTCATGCACAGTTTATTTTTAGTTTAAAAGAAGTATCTGGCATATAACAATCTATTGTTTAGGAAACTAGCCAGGTACCGATACACGTGAAAATCCATCTTGTAGAAACATGTCTCGAATGTTTGGGTTAGGGAAAGGGGGTAGGTTAAGAGCAAAATAAACACCTACATTTTTGGAAAATAAATAAATATAACAAAAAAAATGGTTAACTGGGCAAAGAAGATGGCATTAGTGAATATGTTTCTCTGAAGAATAAAAACACGAATTTATTTTCTTGTGTGAATCATACTTTAACATTTTTTAAAAAAAAAAAAAGGGGGGGGGGGGAACAGATTAAAAAAAAAACAGGTGCAAGAACGGTAAACATTAAGGGAATGTTCCTAATAGAAGAATGAACACAGGGCAGTGGGTTTTTGGCTATTAAACTGAGTATTGATGTCTGACATGTGTTTCATGCTAGGGAACTGATATACTGAGTACTGAGGTCTGACATGTGTTTCAGTTGATCGAGATGATGGGCCCCCTGCTGGAGCGTGAGCTGATCATGAAGGACTTTGACGACAAGTACCCGCAGGTGGTGCTACAGATGCACGAGGCGTTGGACACCTGCTTTGAGCTGTACGAGGAGCAGGTGTGTAGCGCACCTGTGTATTTTGTTTTGTCTTAGTTGCGAGTCTCTAGTGACTCTAGACCGACTTTAGGGGTACAAGACACTCGTGTTCAGAGGTCTTCAGTTTGAGACAGTCTGTGGACCGACTTTAGGGGTACAAGACACTCTAGTTCAGAGGTCTTCAGTTTGAGACAGTCTGTGGACCGACTTTAGGGGTACAAGACACTCTAGTTCAGAGGTCTTCAGTTTGAGACAGTCTGTGGACCGACTTTAGGGGTACAAGACACTCTAGTTCAGAGGTCTTCAGTTTGAGACAGCCTGTGGACCGACTTTAGGGGTACAAGACACTCGTGTTCAGAGGTCTTCAGTTTGAGACAGTCTGTGGACCGACTTTAGGGGTACAAGACACTCGTGTTCAGAGGTCTTCAGTTTGAGACAGTGTGTAGACCGACTTTACTGTAGGGATACAAGACAGTATCGTTCAGAGGTCTTCAGTTTGAGACAGTCTGTGGACCGACTTTACTGTAGGGATACAAGACAGTATCGTTCAGAGGTCTTCAGTTTGAGACAGTCTGTGGACCGACTTTACTGTAGGGATACAAGACAGTATCGTTCAGAGGTCTTCAGTTTGAGACAGTGTGTAGACCGACTTTACTGTAGGGAAACAAGACAGTATCGTTCAGAGGTCTTCAGTTTGAGACAGTCGGTGGACCGACTTTACTGTAGGGATACAAGACAGTATCGTTCAGAGGTCTTCAGTTTGAGACAGTCTGTAGACCGACTTTACTGTAGACCGACTTTACTGCAGGAGTAATCATTAGAACCGACCAGTGCTCTTCAGTTGAGGCCTATTATGGTTCGCACCATCCACACCACAATTGATGTACTAGTGATGGCAATAAATGAACTGAGAATATGTTAGAGTGATTAAACCGCTAAGTGACAGTGTAACGAACATGCCTTAAAATTGTGACTCTAGATGGCCTACAAGAGGGAGACGGGGAGGATGGTGGTGCACAAAAACATGCCGCCCATGGCCGGCGCCATGATGTGGGCGAGGGAAGTTTACAACAGAATCTCTGTGTACATGGATAGTTACAACCGCCTGGAGCACCCGTAAGTTATAGCGTCTGTAAGTTGTAGTTATAGCACCCGTAAGTTATAGCGTCTGTAAATTGTAGTTATAGCACCCGTAAGTTATAGCGTCTGTAAGTTGTAGTTATAGCACCCGTAAGTTATGGCGTCTGTAAATTGTAGTTATAGCGTCTGTAAATTGTAGTTATAGCGTCTGTAAGTTGTAGTTATAGCGCCTGTAAGTTGTAGCGTCTGTAAGTTGTAGTTATAGCGTCTGTAAGTTGTAGTTATAGCGCCTGTAAGTTGTAGCGTCTGTAAGTTGTAGTTATAGCGCCTGTAAGTTGTAGCGTCTGTAAGTTGTAGTTATAGCGCCTGTAAGTTGTAGCGTCTGTAAGTTGTAGTTATAGCGCCTGTAAGTTGTAGCGTCTGTAAGTTGTAGTTATAGCGCCTGTAAGTTGTAGCGTCTGTAAGTTGTAGTTATAGCATCCGTAAGTTATAGCGTCTGTAAATTGTAGTTATAGCACCAATGTTAGTTATAGCACTCGTAAGATTTAGTTATATATCACCCGTAAATTGTAGTTATAGCGCCTGTAAATTGTAGTTATAGCGCCTGTAAATTGTAGTTATAGCACCAATGTTAGTTATAGCACCCGTAAGGTTTAGTTATAGTTATATTACCCGTAAACTGTGGTTATATGACTCGTATGTTGTAGCTATATCACCTGTATGTTGTAGTTATAGCACCCTTAAGTTGTAGTTATATCACCCCTATGTTGTAGTTATATCACCCGCATGTTTTAGTAATAGCACCCTTATGTTGTAGTTATATCACCCGTATGTTGTAGTTATACCACCTGTGTGTTGTAGTTATAGCACCCTTAGGTTTTAGTTATAGCACCTGTAATTTGTAGTTAAAGCACCCTTAGGTTTTAGTTATAGCACCTGTAATTTGTAGTTAAAGCACCCGTAAGTTATAGTTGTGGGGTTGGCCACAAATGTCTGTATTGGCTGTGAACAGCACACCTGTGTAGGACTAATATCTCAGGACCACATAAACAACCTCCTTAAGTATAAGACTACTATCTCCTGGATTCACATCAATACACAATAACATCAATTGTATGAAAGTTTATGAATTTAGTATCAACTCATAACGTAATTTTTTCAGAATAAAATACACTGACGATTACAAACACATCTATACAAGACTGGACGATCTAAAGCTGTTGCTGGATCAGTAAGTTAAACATTAAACGTTGCCAGTGGCTTAGCCAGGAATTGGTCATAGAAGGGGTTCAATCCTATATATATATATATATATATATATATATATATATATATATATATATATATATATATATATATATATATATATATATATACATATATATACATATATATATATATATATACATATATATACATATATATATATATATATATATATATATATATATATATATATATACATATATACATATATATATATATATATATATATATATATATATATATATATATATATATATATAGGGGTCCATGGGAGGGGTTATAACACCCCCTCCCTTGCCTACGCCCCTGAACGTTGCTCAGATTTATACATGTTAATCAGGTCTAGTTATTAAGTAAAGCATTTCATTTAGCACTTTCTTTAAAGTAAAACACGAAATTTGACGAAATTAGTTGTTCAGTATCATTTGACAGTTACTTTAGATAGGACACAAAGTCTACATTGCTTTTACCATTAGACCTACCTTGTGAACAATATTCTTATCAAACTCTTTAATTTTGCATTAAAAAAAAATCCAAGTTAACGACCAAAGAATCGTACTTTGTTTTAGTTTATTAGGGAAGTACACAATTTAGAAATCCAACTCTCCCCCCCCCCCCCACAATTGTCCCCACACAACGAACGTGGACACTGCTACCATTTTGTCCACTACAGAAGCGACAAATACCCCCCCCCCAATACACACATATCCCCACACAACAAACGTGGACACTGCTACCATTTTGTCCATTATAGAAGCGACAAATATCCCCCCCCCCAGTACTCCCACACACACACACACACATCCCCACACAACAAACGTGGACACGGCTACCATTTTGTCCACTACAGAAGCGACAAATACCCCCCCACACCCACACACACATCCCCACACAACAAACGTGGACACTGCTACCCTTTTGTCCACCACAGAAGCGACAAATATCCGCCCCCCCACACACACATCCCCACACAACAAACGTTACACTGCTACCATTTTGTCCACCACAGAAGCGACAAATATCCCCCCCACACACAATTATCCCCACACAACAAACGTGGACACGGCTACCCTTTTGTCCACCATAGAAGCGACAAATATCCCCCCCACACACACATCCCCACACAACAAACGTGTACACTGCTACCATTTTGTCCACCACAGAAGCGACAAATATCCCCCCCCACACACACAATTATCCCCACACAACAAACGTGGACACGGCTACCATTTTGTCCACCACAGAAGCGACAAATATCCCCCCCCCCCCCACACACAATTATCCCCACACAACAAACGTGGACACGGCTACCCTTTTGTCCACCACAGAAGCGACAAATATCCCCCCACACACACATCCCCACACAACAAACGTGTACACTGCTACCATTTTGTCCACCACAGAAGCGACAAATATCCCCCCCCCCACACACAATTATCCCCACACAACAAACGTGGACACGGCTACCATTTTGTCCACCACAGAAGCGACAAATATCCCCCCCCCACACACAATTATCCCCACACAACAAACGTGGACACGGCTACCCTTTTGTCCACCACAGAAGCGACAAATATCCCCCCCACACACACATCCCCACACAACAAACGTGTACACTGCTACCATTTTGTCCACCACAGAAGCGACAAATATCCCCCCCCCACACACAATTATCCCCACACAACAAACGTGGACACGGCTACCCTTTTGTCCACAACAGAAGCGACAAATATCCCCCCACACCCACACAATTATCCCCACACAACAAACGTGGACACGGCTACCATTTTGTCCACCACAGAAGCGACAAATACCCCCCCCCCCCCCCACACCCGCACAATTATCTCCACACAACAAACGTGGACACGGCTACCATTTTGTCCACCACAGAAGCGACAAATATCCCCCACACACACATCCCCACACAACAAACGTGGACACTGCTACCCTTTTGTCCACTACAGAAGCGACAAATATCCCCCCCCCCCCCACACAATTATCCCGACACAACAAACGTGGACACGGCTACCCTTTTGTCCACTACAGAAGCGACAAATATCCCCCCACACCCACACAATTATCCCCACACAACAAACGTGGACACGGCTACCCTTTTGTCCACCACAGAAGCGACAAATATCCCCCCCACACACACATCCCCACACAACAAACGTGTACACTGCTACCATTTTGTCCACCACAGAAGCGACAAATATCCCCCCCCCCCACACACAATTATCCCCACACAACAAACGTGGACACGGCTACCATTTTGTCCACCACAGAAGCGACAAATATCCCCCCCCACACAATTATCCCCACACAACAAACGTGGACACGGCTACCATTTTGTCCACCACAGAAGCGACAAATATCCCCCCCCCCCCACACACAATTATCCCGACACAACAAACGTGGACATGGCTACCATTTTGTCCACCACAGAAGCGACAAATACCCCCCCACACACACAATTATCCCGACACAACGAACGTGGACACTGCTACCATTTTGTCCACTACAGAAGCGACAAATACCCCCCCCCAATACACACATATCCCCACACAACAAACGTGGACACTGCTACCATTTTGTCCATTATAGAAGCGACAAATATCCCCCCCAGTACTCCCACACACACACACACACATCCCCACACAACAAACGTGGACACGGCTACCATTTTGTCCACTACAGAAGCGACAAATACCCCCCACACCCACACACACATCCCCACACAACAAACGTGGACACTGCTACCCTTTTGTCCACCACAGAAGCGACAAATATCCGCCCCCCCACACACACATCCCCACACAACAAACGTGTACACTGCTACCATTTTGTCCACCACAGAAGCGACAAATATCCCCCCCCCCACACACAATTATCCCCACACAACAAACGTGGACACGGCTACCCTTTTGTCCACCACAGAAGCGACAAATATCCCCCCCACACACACATCCCCACACAACAAACGTGTACACTGCTACCATTTTGTCCACCACAGAAGCGACAAATATCCCCCCCCCCCCACAATTATCCCCACACAACAAACGTGGACACGGCTACCATTTTGTCCACCACAGAAGCGACAAATATCCCCCCCCCCACACACAATTATCCCCACACAACAAACGTGGACACGGCTACCCTTTTGTCCACCACAGAAGCGACAAATATCCCCCCCACACACACATCCCCACACAACAAACGTGTACACTGCTACCATTTTGTCCACCACAGAAGCGACAAATATCCCCCCCCACACACAATTATCCCCACACAACAAACGTGGACACGGCTACCCTTTTGTCCACAACAGAAGCGACAAATATCCCCCCACACCCACACAATTATCCCCACACTACAAACGTGGACACGGCTACCATTTTGTCCACCACAGAAGCGACAAATACCCCCCCCCCCCCACACCCGCACAATTATCTCCACACAACAAACGTGGACACGGCTACCCTTTTGTCCACCACAGAAGCGACAAATATCCCCCACACACACATCCCCACACAACAAACGTGGACACTGCTACCATTTTGTCCACCACAGAAGCGACAAATATCCCCCACACACACATCCCCACACAACAAACGTGGACACTGCTACCCTTTTGTCCACTACAGAAGCGACAAATATCCCCCCCCCCCCCACACAATTATCCCGACACAACAAACGTGGACACGGCTACCCTTTTGTCCACTACAGAAGCGACAAATACTACTTCAACACCTGGCTGTCTACTGTGGATGAGATCTGTTCGTTCAATATGGGTCAACCCCTGCTCACAAGGGACGAGCACTCCCGTCTCATCAAAGTCAATTTCGATGATAAGGTAAGGGGTCAACCCCTGCTCACACGGGACGAGCACTCCCGTCTCATCAAAGTCAATTTCGATGATAAGGTAAGGGGTCAACCCCTGCTCACAAGGGACGAGCACTCCCGTCTCATCAAAGTCAATTTCGATGATAAGGTAAGGGGTCAACCCCTGCTCACAAGGGACGAGCACTCCCGTCTCATCAAAGTCAATTTCGATGATAAGGTAAGGGGTCGGCGTGGTCGAGTTGGTAAAGCTCATGGTTGCTAAACCGAAAAATCTCGAACCCTCTAGCAGATGAGGCTCGTTAGCTGGGGACAGCCACTCTTCTAGGAAAGACAACTCCAAAATCAAATAACTGCTGGCTTGTAGTTTGTTCTTGATTAGACAAAGGCTATGGAAGCAAATCCAAAAAGAAAAGCAGGCTGAAATCGGAGTTTATGGCCTCAATGGCGAATAAGCAATTGACACATATACTTAATTTAATTGTGTTGGTGGGGATCCCTTCCAAAACTAAATTTAAGAACGAAGAAGGTACATACGATTTTCTGAGAAATTACTCTAGGCTACATCTGAATAGAATATCTGCGGAATCTTGGAATCTTCCTGTAAAGGGCAGACTATCTGCGTGATCCTACAACAAAGAAAGAATATCTGTCGTGTCCTACGATAAAGTTGGAATATCCAATGGAATTTTACAGTAAAATTATAATACCCGTAGTAGATTACAGTAAAGTTTGGATATATGCAAGTTGAAAGGTCACGGTGTAATGAGTAAAGACGTAAAAGTAAAATGTTTTGGTTAAATATCAATTATTTACTTCAGTATGACATCACAATTATTGGTGTATAACTTCTTTTATTCTGATGTTTACTTTAATTCACTTAACAATGGTTTATTTGTACTTACTACAAAACTTCTAAATTTAATTGAATTTTAACCTGAAAATGTGGATTATTAGATTATTAGATGCAATTTTTTTTTGTTTTTTTTCCCGCTTCTTTTCTTATTTTTGCCTCAGACACGTAATTAGATTATTAGATGTAAGATTTGAGAAAATACAAATTAGAGCTCCCGCTGGAAATCCGATAATAATTACTTTTCAAAATCACAACCAAGGTCGTTCCGTAGACTTTTTAACCTTTTGGCCTTTTTTTGTATTTGCATTTTATTGTTGCGAATGTATATACATCACTACTGTTGAAAATGCGGCATAGTATAAATGCTGGAAATAGAAAAAACAATTATTGTTTATAATATACTTTTGCACAGAAAGCCATAGGTTTACGTGGCACTAAATACGCAGACCATTGCTGGTGAGAACAAAAGTAAATTAAATTACCTCCCCTACTTACCAACTTGAAACAAAACTTGTCTCTCCTGACAGCTGGTAGCGGTACTGAAGGAGATGAAATACCTCAAGCTGAGAAACAAAGAAATCATTCCTTCTATCCCCGAAGCCGTGTTCGAGAAGCGAGACATGCTGTTTAAGTACTACGCCAACCTGATGCTGATCATGCAGTTGTACAACCGGCTGATCACCGACTCACTGCATGTCGAGAAGCCGCTCATTGCGCCACATTTGGCGACTATTGACAAGGACTTGGAGGCTGCTCTCACGACACTGGCTTGGGAGAAGACAGGTGGGTTATAGGGGACAGGTGAGTTACAGGGGACAGGTGGGTTATAGGGGGCAGGTGAGTTATAGGGGACAGGTGGGTTATAGGGGACAGGTGGGTTATGGGGGACAGGTGAGTTATAGGGGACAGGTGGGTTATGGGGGACAGGTGAGTTATAGGGGACAGGTGGGTTATAGGTGAGTTATAGGGGACAGGTGGGTTATAGGGGACATGTGAGTTATAGGGGACAGGTGAGTTATAGGTGAGTTATAGGGGACAGGTGGGTTTTGGGGGACAGGTGGGTTTTAGGGAACAGGTGGGTTATAGGTGGGTTATAGGGGACAGGTGAGTTATAGGTGACAGGTGGGTTATAGGGGACAGGTGAGTTATAGGGGACAGGTGAGTTATAGGGGACAGGTGAGTTATAGGGGACAGGTGGGTTATAGGGGACAGGTGGGTTGTAGGTGACAGGTGGGTTATAGGGGACAGGTGGGTTGTAGGTGACAGGTGAGTTATAGGGGACAGGTGAGTTATAGGGGACAGGTGGGTTATAGGGGACAGGTGGGTTATAGGTGGGTTATAGGGGACAGGTGAGTTATAGGGGACAGGTGGGTTGTAGGTGACAGGTGGGTTATAGGTGGGTTATAGGGGACAGGTGGGTTATAGGGGACAGGTGGGTTGTAGGTGACAGGTGAGTTATAGGTGAGTTATAGGGGACAGGTGGGTTATAGGGGACAGGTGGGTTATAGGTGGGTTATAGGGGACAGGTGAGTTATAGGGGACAGGTGGGTTGTAGGTGACAGGTGGGTTATAGGTGGGTTATAGGGGACAGGTGGGTTATAGGGGACAGGTGGGTTGTAGGTGACAGGTGAGTTATAGGTGAGTTATAGGGGACAGGTGAGTTATAGGGGACAGGTGGGTTATAGGGGACAGGTGGGTTATAGGTGACAGGTGAGTTATAGGTGAGTTATAGGGGACAGGTGAGTTATAGGGAACAGGTGAGTTATAAGGGACAGGTGGTTTATAGGTGACAGGTGGGTTATAGGTGGGTTATAGGGGACAGGTGAGTTATAGGGAACAGGTGAGTTATAGGGGACAGGTGAGTTATAGGGGACAGGTGAGTTATAGGGGACAGGTGAGTTATAGGGGACAGGTGGGTTATAGGTGGGTTATAGGGGACAGGTGAGTTATAGGGGACAGGTGAGTTATAGGGGACAGGTGAGTTATAGGGGAAAGGTGAGTTATAGGGGACAGGTGAGTTATAGGGGACAGGTGAGTTATAGGGGAAAGGTGAGTTATAGGGGACAGGTGAGTTATAGGGGACAGGTGAGTTAAAGGGGACAGGTGAGTTATAGGGGACAGGTGAGTTAAAGGGGACAGGTGGGTTGTAGGTGACAGGTGGGTTGTAGGGGACAGGTGGGTTATAGGTGGCAGGTGAGATATAGGGGACAGGTGGGTTGTAGGGGACAGGTGGGTTATGGGGGACAGGTGAGTTATAGGGGACAGGTGGGTTGTAGGGGAAGTGTGAGTTACAGGGGACAGGTGGGTTATAGGGGACATGTGAGTTATAGGGGACAGGTGAGTTATAGGGGACAGGTGGGTTTTAGGGGACAGGTGGGTTTTAGGGGACAGGTGGGTTTTAGGGGACAGGTGAGTTATAGGGGACAGGTGAGTTATAGGTGAGTTATAGGGGACAGGTGGGTTTTAGGGGACAGTTGGGTTTTAGGGGACAGGTGGGTTTTAGGGAACAGGTGGGTTATAGGTGGGTTATAGGGGACAGGTGAGTTATAGGTGACAGGTGGGTTATAGGGGACAGGTGAGTTAAAGGGGACAGGTGAGTTATAGGGGACAGGTGAGTTATAGGGGACAGGTGAGTTATAGGGGACAGGTGGGTTGTAGGGGACAGGTGGGTTATAGGGGACAGGTGAGTTATAGGGGACAGGTGAGTTATAGGGGACAGGTGAGTTATAGGGGACAGGTGAGTTATAGGGGACAGGTGAGTTATAGGGGACAGGTGGGTTATAAGTGAGTTATAGGGGACAGGTGAGTTATAGGGGACAGGTGAGTTATAGGGGACAGGTGAGTTATAGGGGACAGGTGAGTTATAGGGGACAGGTGGGTTATAAGTGAGTTATAGGGGACAGGTGAGTTATAGGGGACAGGTGAGTTATAGGGGACAGGTGGGTTATAAGTGAGTTATAGAGGACAGGTGAGTTATAGGGGACAGGTGAGTTATAGGGGACAGGTGGGTTATAGGTGGGTTATAGGGGACAGGTGAGTTATAGGGGACAGGTGAGTTATAGGGGACAGGTGAGTTATAGGGGAAAGGTGAGTTATAGGGGACAGGTGAGTTATAGGGGACAGGTGAGTTATAGGGGAAAGGTGAGTTATAGGGGACAGGTGGGTTATAGGTGGGTTATAGGGGACAGGTGAGTTATAGGGGACAGGTGGGTTATAGGGGACAGGTGAGTTAAAGGGGACAGGTGAGTTATAGGGGACAGGTGAGTTATAGGGGACAGGTGGGTTTTAGGGAACAGGTGGGTTATAGGTGGGTTATAGGGGACAGGTGAGTTATAGGTGACAGGTGAGTTATAGGGGACAGGTGAGTTATAGGGGACAGGTGGGTTATAAGTGAGTTATAGGGGACAGGTGAGTTATAGGGGACAGGTGAGTTAAAGGGGACAGGTGAGTTATAGGGGACAGGTGAGTTATAGGGGACAGGTGAGTTATAGGGGACAGGTGGGTTATAAGTGAGTTATAGGGGACAGGTGAGTTATAGGGGACAGGTGAGTTATAGGGGACAGGTGGGTTATAGGTGGGTTATAGGGGACAGGTGAGTTATAGGGGACAGGTGAGTTATAGGGGAAAGGTGAGTTATAGGGGACAGGTGAGTTATAGGGGACAGGTGAGTTATAGGGGACAGGTGGGTTATAAGTGAGTTATAGGGGACAGGTGAGTTATAGGGGACAGGTGAGTTATAGGGGACAGGTGGGTTATAGGTGGGTTATAGGGGACAGGTGAGTTATAGGGGACAGGTGAGTTATAGGGGAAAGGTGAGTTATAGGGGACAGGTGAGTTATAGGGGACAGGTGAGTTATAGGGGAAAGGTGAGTTATAGGGGACAGGTGAGTTATAGGGGACAGGTGAGTTATAGGGGACAGGTGAGTTATAGGGGACATGTGGGTTGTAGGTGACAGGTGGGTTATAGGTGACAGGTGAGATATAGGGGACAGGTGAGTTATAGGGGACAGGTGGGTTATAGGGGACAGGTGGGTTGTAGGTGACAGGTGGGTTATAGAGGACAGGTGGGTTATAGGGGACAGGTGGGTTGTAGGTGACAGGTGGGTTATAGGTGGCAGGTGAGATATAGGGGACAGGTGGGTTGTAGGTGACAGGAGAGTTATAGGGGACAGGTGAGTTATAGGGGACAGGTGGGTTATAGGGGACAGGTGGGTTATAGGTGGGTTATAGGGGACAGGTGAGTTATAGGGGACAGGTGGGTTGTAGGTGACAGGTGGGTTATAGGTGGGTTATAGGGGACAGGTGGGTTATAGGGGACAGGTGGGTTGTAGGTGACAGGTGAGTTATAGGGGACAGGTGAGTTATAGGGGACAGGTGGGTTATAGGGGACAGGTGGGTTATAGGTGACAGGTGAGTTATAGGTGAGTTATAGGGGACAGGTGAGTTATAGGGAACAGGTGAGTTATAAGGGACAGGTGGTTTATAGGTGACAGGTGGGTTATAGGTGGGTTATAGGGGACAGGTGAGTTATAGGGAACAGGTGAGTTATAGGGGACAGGTGAGTTATAGGGGACAGGTGAGTTATAGGGGACAGGTGGGTTATAGGTGAGTTATAGGGGACAGGTGAGTTATAGGGGACAGGTGAGTTATAGGGGACAGGTGGGTTATAGGTGGGTTATAGGGGACAGGTGAGTTATAGGGGACAGGTGAGTTATAGGGGACAGGTGAGTTATAGGGGAAAGGTGAGTTATAGGGGACAGGTGAGTTATAGGGGACAGGTGAGTTATAGGGGAAAGGTGAGTTATAGGGGACAGGTGAGTTATAGGGGACAGGTGAGTTATAGGGGACATGTGGGTTGTAGGTGACAGGTGGGTTATAGGTGACAGGTGAGATATAGGGGACAGGTGAGTTATAGGGGACAGGTGAGTTATAGGGGACATGTGGGTTGTAGGTGACAGGTGGGTTATAGGGGAAAGGTGGGTTATAGGGGACAGGTGGGTTGTAGGTGACAGGTGGGTTATAGGTGGCAGGTGAGATATAGGGGACAGGTGGGTTGTAGGTGACAGGTGAGTTATAGGGGACAGGTGAGTTATAGGGGACAGGTGGGTTATAGGGGACAGGTGGGTTATAGGTGGGTTATAGGGGACAGGTGAGTTATAGGGGACAGGTGGGTTGTAGGTGACAGGTGGGTTATAGGTGGGTTATAGGGGACAGGTGGGTTATAGGGGACAGGTGGGTTGTAGGTGACAGGTGAGGTATAGGGGACAGGTGAGTTATAGGGGACAGGTGGGTTATAGGGGACAGGTGGGTTATAGGTGACAGGTGAGTTATAGGTGAGTTATAGGGGACAGGTGAGTTATAGGGAACAGGTGAGTTATAAGGGACAGGTGGTTTATAGGTGACAGGTGGGTTATAGGTGGGTTATAGGGGACAGGTGAGTTATAGGGAAAAGGTGAGTTATAGGGGACAGGTGGTTTATAGGTCACAGATTGAATAGGTAACATATACCTTATGGTCTGGAGGTGGGTTATAAATAACATGTGGGTTTTTGGCAGGGAGGTAATTGTTGACTTTACGTTAACATTTGAGTTTTGACCGGTCAACTATAGATGTGTTTACTGGTGAAATAGAGCTGATATTGAACTGTAGCAGTAAGATAAGATAGAAAGAGTTAGCTAACATTGTCTGACATACATGTAACATAACAGGCGGGTTGCTGCTGAAAAGTGCTTGTGTTGACTTGGGTATAGATAATAGGTGTTATTTTTATGCTTGCACGCCAATATTTTGCAATACAAGTATAGCAATTAATTTCAAGTTAATTTAAATGTAAGATAAATCCATGCCTACACACCCGCACTAAAAATATGTTTCGTATCGAATATCAGATATCTGGGACTACATTGCGGATATCCTAAAACAAATCCAAGATCTCACATCGAAAGTCCAGCAAACCAAAGATAATGTGGAGAAACTGAAGACCATCATGGCGACCTGGTCGCAGACACCTTTATTTGAGAGGAAAGAGAAACTGGACAATCTATTAGGACTTGTTGACCGAGCTGAAACAGTTAAAAAGCGATACAACGAAATTACGTCGGCGGGAGTTGAAGTTCTGGAGTTGATGGAGGTACGAAATTTAACAAAAGTGAACCAGGTTTTTTGCTATGTTAGGTACAAATAGTTTAGCCTAAACTAAGAAGTTACTACAGAATATATTTAGAATTCTAGATCTAGACTCTAGATCGATCAAAGCCTAGATCTAGATCCAGACTCTAGATCTAGATACTGATAGTAGATAGGCATATTCCAAACGCTTTTAAATTAATTATGTCAACGACGAATGACTAATATTTTTTTTTCATTTTCTATAGGCCTAATCTAATATAGATTTCTAATTAATATTAAAGATGTTACGCTTTTGTTGTGTTTTTATGATGCGAGGTTTGCTTAACTTTATTAAACTTGTGCTAGGTCTAACTTAAATAATTAAAATAATAGATTCTAAATATTTAAAATAAAAATAATATATGAATATTGACTAGATCTAGTCTAGATCTAGATCTACAATCTAGATCTAGATCTAGAGATCTACATCTAGAATCTAGATCTATAACCATTAACTAATCTAGAATGAATCTATACTAGATCTATAATAATACTATTAGTGTATTGGTAACTACTAGATCTAGATTTCTACAATAGTCTACATGACATTATTAATGACAATATTTGAATATGTACCTTTTCGGACGTCTACTAGATCTAGATCTATAGATCTTTCTAAAATTCTAAATAATTCTGAATATGATTACCAATACATTTCCCAATTCTTTTTTAGATGAACAGAGAACTGTTTGATGCTGATGTAACATCAGTACATTGGCAAAAATATGTTGATTATCTTGATGCCATGGTTGTAGATGGGTTTGCTCATCTTATAGGTCAGTTGAACTGCAGTTAAAAAGAAAATTAAAATAACCAGTAGTTACATTAGGGAAAAGGCATTGTATTTTTAAAAAAACCTCTTAATAAAAATCTGCAATAACTTTGAGATCCTTTAGGGGTCTAGTTCTATCTTGATGCCACATATCTTCTTTTTAGACATCAGAACATTTTGATCATTTGTTATACTTGTATAATTACCAAAACCACTCATTAAATCTGTAACCATTGTGATATTTAATAATCATCATGCGTACAAAATACTTATGTCAAATATTCTTCCTCGCTTAGCTTGTAGCATGAAGTATCTTATAGAGAACTCCACTCCTGAAAAGACAATAGGGCCATTGTTTGAGGTTCTGTTAGAGCTCCATGCCCCTAAGATGACATTTATTCCTGACGTTGAACCAGGGGCACAGGGTGGATTCTGGGATTTAATTGAAAGTTTAATAGCAGATATTTATACTCAAGCATCTCTGATACCCAGGTTAAAATTAGGAGACCAGGGCACCTACGAGGTGAGTGTTAATACTTTAGTTTCATACAAAGATGTTAGGCCAATATCCTACATCATCATCTGTAAGTTTTGGATTGTTGTTTTTACTGTCGCTAGGGCTGTTAGTTTCAGGATTAAAGTCAGGGTTGGGATTATAGCTAAAGGTAGAATTCTGGCAAGGATTTAGGTAATGATATGAACATAAACATAACTTCAATATGGCCTGTGAGAATTTTAAGTACAATATTTTTTAATGTCTTAATTTGGGCTTCTGTTTGAATGAAGATAATAATGCTTATTATCTCATAATTTTTCTTTTCATGCTTCTATTTTCTTTATTTTATGACTTAAAAGTTATTTTAAAATCTACTAACCTTACTACTTTTAACTGGAATCAAGTATGATACTCAAATAGTTACTATACTGACAACCTTTGTTTAATGTCTATGCTTAACAATATGTTGGTATCAAGGTTTATCACATATTATGTCAAATTTTATATATTTTGCCTTTTAATTTTTTACCTTTTTGTTGTATTTCTGGACGGGCAGTAAAGAGACTAACAGTGGGCATAAAACTGCCTGTAAATCTAATCCATTTCCTGTTTTGTTTTATTTGCTGAAAGCTAGTATTTGCTTAGTATTTTTGTTTTAACAATTCATATTTTAAAACATTGGGAATAATCAGTAATAAGAACTAGGATACATGCATTTACTTGTTTAATTATATTATAATTAAAGTTCATGTTTTTTTTTGTTTTAGCAAGGAATAGAGAGTAACTCAGAAATTATAGACTTGAAAGACATGCTACTTGATGCCGTTGATAAGGTTATTCTGGAAATAATGCAGTATAGAGATGGACTTAACTCTTACTCCAGCCTGTGGGTTGAAGACAGACAGGAATATATGAATTTTTTTCTAAAATATAACCACAAGCCGACACAAGAAGAAATTTCTGTAGCAGGAGATGAAGGAATTCCAGAATGTGCTCCCACATTGCCTCAGTTTAAGGAAATGGTTAGTTCTTCGTTGGTTTTATTATCATTAACAATTAACGCTGTATGCAAATAATTTTTTTCCACTTAATTTTCTTCAATAAAATATTGTATTTGATAACCCAAAATCAAATTTTATAATTTGAGCCAATTAAATATAGATCTAGGTCTATTAATTAATTTTAGAAAAAAGTTAGCTTTTTAAAAATGTTTTTAACAGTTGAAAATTATTTTTCTGTGTTGATAATTTTACCAAGCTGATTAGATGAGTTTGTTCACGAAGTTGGACTTGTTGTCTGAATCCTCCACCATATTCTCAATTAAGAACGAAGAAGAAGAAGATGAGTTTATTTATTTTAGCAGTGAAATATTTAACTCTACTATTATTTTTGCAGATTGATTATTATGAGAAATTGTATGTTGAGATTGAACAAATACAAGCCATTCAAGTCTTCTCCAAATGGCTTCGTGTGGATGCACGGTCATTCAAGCAAGGTTTGCTCAACGTTGTCAAGCGATGGAGCCATATGTTCAAGCAGCATCTCATTGATAAAGTCACAGGAGGGTAAATTTATAACACTAAACTAGTGTGATGGATTTTAAAAGCTAACTTGTAGTGCTGCGTAGTTAAGGAGAATTAGATATTTTAAATTGACATGGTCAGCTTTGTAATGTTGATAGCTGAACACAAGGGATAGCATATATGAGATGAAAGATAAAATAACAGGAATAAGTGGGGGGGGGGGGGGGACACCATGACATAAACCTGCTAATGATAAAAAAAACATGCTACATCAAGCTGTATTTATAACCGACTATAGATAAAAATTGTTAGTATTATATCTGAGCACAGTTTAAAGCAATCACTGAGAGGGGGGGGGGGGGGGGGGGTTGAGTGTGGAAGCTACATTAACTCAACGTTGTAAAATATGCCTGCTGAGGTAAACGGTTTGGTTGAGAATCGTAATAACTTGTATGTTAATCAATGTATTGGGGGGGGGGGGGGGGGGGGGGGGGAGGGGGTAAAGAAACTAAATACATAAAAAGATATAAGTCAGTGTGTCTATCCATGCGTATATACATATATATATATATATATATATATATATATATATATATATATATATATATATATATATATATATATATATGAATGCATATATATAAAGCAAATTGGTCGGGTGCTCGATAGGGCACTTCCTGGCACTGCAAGCGCTTCAAATTTATCAGGCTCCTGCCTTGGGGCAATAGAACAGGGGGGCTGAGGTTTATCATACTATTTGTGAATGAGATTATTCCCCTTGCTTTCATTATTGTGAATCTCTTTACAGACTTGATGGGCTGCAAGAGTTTATTGTGAAAACTAACAAAGGCCTGTCTAAAGAGCCCAAAGATGGGGACTACCACGGTCTCGTTGACATCATGGGTTTGTTGAACGCTGTCCGGGACAGGCAGCCTGAAACAGATGTCATGTTTGAGCCTTTGAAGCAAACTATCGACATGCTCAAACTGTGTGGTGTGGAGATGTCGGAGAAAGTTTACCTGCAATTAGAGGTTAGTGTGGTTGGTGTGAGAAAGTTTACCTGCAGTTAGAGGTTAGTGTGATTTGGTCTGAGAAAGTTTACCTACAATTAGAGGTTAGTGTGATTTGGTCTGAGAATGTTTACCTGCAATTAGAGGTTAGTGTGATGTGGTCTGAGAATGTTTACCTGCAATTAGAGGTTAGTGTGATTTGGTCTGAGAATGTTTACCTGCAATTAGAGGTTAGTGTGATGTGGTCTGAGAATGTTTACCTACAATTAGAGGTTAGTGTGATTTGGTCTGAGAATGTTGACCTGCAATTAGAGGTTAGTGTGATTTGGTCTGAGAAAGTTTACCTGCAATTAGAGGTTAGTGTGATTTGGTCTGAGAAAGTTTACCTGCAGTTAGAGGTTAGTGTGATTTGGTCTGAGAACGTTTACCTGCAATTAGAGGTTAGTGTGGTTGGTGTGAGAAAGTTTACCTGCAATTAGAGGTTAGTGTGATTTGGTCTGAGAACGTTGACCTGCAATTAGAGGTTAGTGTGATGTGGTCTGAGAAAGTTTACCTGCAATTAGAGGTTAGTGTGATTTGGTCTGAGAAAGTTTACCTGCAATTAGAGGTTAGTGTGATTTGGTCTGAGAACGTTTACCTACAATTAGAGGTTAGTGTGGTTGGTGTGAGAAAGTTTACCTGCAGTAAAAGGTTAGTATGTTGTGGTCTGAGAAAGTTTACCTGCAGTTAGAGGTTAGTATGTTGTGGTCTGAGAAAATTTACCTGCAGTTAGAGGTTAGTATGTTGTGGTCTAAGAAAGTTTACCAGCAATTAGAGGCTATTTACATTCAAAGATGAATAATTTCTTACTTTGGTTTATTACACTGCTACATTTTTTTTTGCGCTAAGATTAAAACACCAAAGCCAAATTTAAAGCTTACATTTTGATTAGAAAAATATTTTTACCCTTATTAGTCTTGGTTTAAAAATATATTTTGATTATTTTTTTAGGAACTTCCAGATAAATGGACTCAACTTAAAAAGAAAGTGATGATCATGAAGCAAGCAGTTGTGCCCCTGCAACAAAACCAAGTCGCCAAAATTAAAAGAAAGATGGTGTCTTTTGATGTCAAGCAGCACACCTACAGAGAAAACTTTAGAAAGTGTCCTGCTTTCTTTTTCAATTGTACCAAGCCTTACATAATTATAAATGGTGTAAGTTTTATGATAGGGTTCATTGTCGTGTATCATTTAAAACTTTAAATATTTATCTGACAAAACTTGAATTTCTTTGTGTTGGAAAGAAGATTTTTAATTTTGCTTGATACAAACAATGTTATTCTACAGTGCCATGAAGAAATTACAGAAATGGAAAAAGAAATGGCGGAAATGCAGGAGTCTGCAAAAATATTTGACGTGCAGCTTCCAGATTTCAAGCAACTGAAAGTCTGCCGCTCAGAGCTGAGACTGCTAAAAATTCTATGGGACTATGTAATAATGGTCAGAATGATGTTTGCATTCTGGAATAATATTCTCTGGGCAGATATTGATGTTGAACAGGTAAATATACCAACAAAGTTCAAAAATTAATTTCTCCAATGCTTCAGATTTATACTTTATTGACTTTTCATTTTACTTTTAACATAATAAAAATATAATAAAAAGAAATGCAATTATTACAGCAATTATTAAAATGTATAAATTGACATTAAAGTTCAAAAGAGATTGCTGTATATAGGTGTTTCAACCTTTTAATCCATAGATGGATGTTGACTGTAAAAAGCTGTCCAAAGAAATTCGCACCTTGGATAAAGAAATGAGGTCCTGGGATGTTTACCTGGGCCTAGAGAATGAGCTGAAGAACATGATCACATCTCTGAGGGCAGTTGGTGAGCTGCAGAACCCTGCTATCAGGGACAGACATTGGAACGAGCTCATGAATGCAACTCAGGTAGGATGGTCTGCTATTCACTGAAAAAAAAGTTTTCAAACATGGTTGCTAGATTTGCCTGAACTTAAAAATTTTATACAACATGTATGAGTGATAAATACTCTAAAGAACTAAAGAAATGAATAATTTATAAAACAAATGTATAATGTAAAGTTTTAATATATTTATTCCTTCACACACAACTCCTTGAAAACTGCAGATTCCATTTGAATCTGAATTTTTACCTATCCTTATTTTTCCAAAAGCTTATTTTTAATTTTAATTTTTTTACTTTTCAGATGTGTTTTGCCAAACACACAACTCTAGAATATTTACTTTTCAAAACCAAACTTTACTTTTCAGGTGAGTTTTGCCATGAACAAAGACACCACGCTGGAAGATTTGCTGAACCTGAACCTCCACAAGTTTGAGGACGATGTCCATGGTATTGTGGACAAGGCTGTGAAGGAAACCAGCATGGAAAAAACTCTGAGAGAGTTTGGTGTCACATGGGCCAACATGGCCTTCATACATCATGAGCATCCAAGGACCAAAATAACTTTACTGACAGCCGAAGAAGAAGTTATTGAGACTCTTGAGGATAACCAAGTAAGTTGGATTAAGAGTTTTTTATAAATTACAAAATCATGATTTGTGTTAGTTGTCTGTCAGGGCTGAATGAATGCAGGATCATCCTACTTAATATGTCTATCATAAGCTTTGGCCTACTGACATCAGGCTAAACATAGATTGGATTTGCTGTGATTTATGAAGTTAAAATTTAAAATAAATTTGTATTGATGCATTTTGGTTCATGAATAGTGTTTTTCCAGAGATTAGGATTAAGTGTTAATATTTTAACTTAGCTTAGTTATTATACTAAAGAAAAAATACATGATGACACAGGCAGTAAATATCTGAGTTTTCAGAAATTATATGTGTTCTAAATTTGTTGGATGCTTACACTCTTGTAAACTTGATGGCATCTTTATTTAAATTTAAAGCTATAAATTATTTCAAATTTTGGCCAAGTTTTAAAAAATAAAATGGAATTATATCTTGAAAAGTTTTATAAAAATAAAAGCAATTTCACATTATGTATGTAACTTTTCTGTAGGTACAACTACAAAACATGATGACATCAAAGTATATTGCCCACTTTCTGGAGCAGGTGTCTACCTGGCAGCAAAAGTTGTCTGTCACAGACCAGGTGAGAATTGATGCTGTTTTTTTTTTATAAATCTAGTCATTTAGAAATTTTAACTTTTACAATTGAATGATCATTATATTAGAATTTCATTGTATGACTAGTCATGTGACAATGTCACTTTTTTTTTTTAACTGCAGGAAAAATTAAATCTCTCTGTATTTTCTTTTTATCAATCTTTTTATTGTTAATTGAAAATTCCTTCCATAGGTAATATCAATCTACATGCAAGTTCAGCGGACTTGGCAACATTTGGAAAGTATTTTTATTGGAAGTGAAGACATAAGAAAACAGCTTCCAGAGGATACTGACAGATTTGAAAGAGTTGATAGCAGTTTTAAGGTGAGATCATAAAATGGAATAATCATCTTAGCAGTATATATAGCTTTTAAAAAATTGCCAACAAATCTCTTACTGAGATTGTTGAATTCTTAAGTAATTTTCTAAATATATAAAAACCTGCAATATTTCTAGCTACTAAATCTACATAATTAACCAACATATGATACTAATTAAAAAAATTAATAAACAAAATTTCTGTGTATAAAAAACACAGTATCATTGCGTATAAATGTACAATAAGTAAACGTTTTTATTGCTTTGTTGTAAATGAAATTTTATTCTGGACAATATATTTTACTACAATGCTTAGCGTTGTGTTAAATAGTATTATTTTCATCTAGCAGTTTTTTAAAAAAAAGTTTTTAAAAAACAATTCCAATTTTTATCTCAATATTTAAAATAATTCTGAATGAGCAATTACAATGTTTCAAATAAAATTATTCCAACAGGAAATAGCCAGGGAAATGAGTGTGACCACTATAGTTGTGGATGCTTGCACACAGCCTAGACTCTACGAAAGACTTGACCTGATTCAGAAAGAGTTAGTCAAGTGTGAGAAAGCTTTAGCTGAATACCTGGAAACAAAACGGCTTGCCTTTCCACGTTTCTATTTCGTTTCATCGGCTGATCTCTTGGATATTTTATCCAATGGCAACAATCCACCTGTGGTGAGAAAATTTACTTTGTTAGTAGTTCTGAGGTTTTTTTTAAAATCATTTTTTATATTATAATTATATTTGATTAATTAGTGAACATTTTAGTTTCTAAAAATAGCTACAATAATTATAACATAAAATTAAGATTAACCAATTTTTAAAGTTATATGTAGTATAATCACTGAATATATAATAAAAAACTATGAAGAATTTACCAGATTAAATTTGTATGCTATTGAATGAACACGTTTAAAAATTGATGTTTGGATTGGATTTGTAATTCCATTAATATGAAGTGTTTAATGCTTTCAATCATTGTTTTTTCCAGGTGGCTAAGCAGCTGACTAAACTGTTTGACAGTTTAGCTAACTTAGAAATTAGTAAAACAGATCCACCAACAGCCTCTGCCATGTTCAGTAAGGAAGGGGAGAGAATTAAGCTTGAGCATGTGTGTGACTTGTCTGGTCAAGTAAGTGAAGCCTCCTTGATATGATACTTAACTTGCTAATTTATTGCAGTAATTAAAAAAAAAGGTAGTGTATGTAGCAGTAACCTCACAAAACAATACATATTTTTAAAACACTTTTTGCATATATCTACCATTAACATTTCTGAATACTTTTATAACATTATATCAACTATTTACTATATGCTTGTAGTTTAGACAAAGCACTCATTAAGAAAAAATAATGACATTTTCTCAGAATTTGAAAAGCGGGAAGAAAATATTTTAAAAAACCCCAAATATTTAAGTAAACAGATTTACTATGATGTACCAAGTTTAAATAGTAGATACTAACAGCACACTCAAAAAAACTAATTCATTCTGAAACACAATTGGAAAATGGAGTACATCTAATGAGAATTATGTAGTTCATTTAATTATAATGAATTTCTTTACTTTGTAAACTAAATGGGTGTGACCAAGTGTAAAACAAAGGATAAGCTGACCATGAGATCAATTTGTTGTGGCACAGGTGGAGGTGTGGCTCAACAGAGTGGAGGATGACATGAAAGCCACCATACGTAAGGAGATGGGGGAAGCTGTTACATCATATGAGGAGAAGCCCAGAGAGAAATGGATTTTTGATTACCCAGCACAGGTTGTGTAATTAATTTGCACCTTAATGATTCCAGCTAATAAAGTAGGCTATTTTTGAGTGTCTAAAAGCACAGAAAGTTATTGGTAAAAATCAAAGGCTGCTTTTAAGAAATGAGGGGAGAGAATGCAGCCCATACTTATTCATTTATTACATATTATTGTACAAGATGTTAAATATTGATTTTTTGCCTGATTTGTTCTTTAAGCTTCCTTATTGATATATTTAAAGATGCATACGTGTTTTAGATTGCCTAATATTGTTAAAAACAATAAAACTGTTTTATAGGTATATAAATAATTTGTTAACCAAATATTATCAAAAAATATAAAACTAACCAAATAAATTTTTAAAAAATATTATCAACTTAAGTTAATCTTTAGTGACCTGCAAATTTTGTTTCTACTTTTTCTCATTTGTAAAAATGTATGGATGCTATTTTTTGTTAGATTCTGCTTACATTTTGTTGGTTTAAAATTTTAAAAATGTAATTGTCCACAGCCTGCATTATGTGGCACACAGATTTGGTGGACCACTGAAGTAAACCAAGCTTTCTTCAAACTAGAAGAGGGACATGAAGGGGCTCTCAAAGATTATCTTAAAAAACAGGTGGCCTAAGTCTGTCCTTGTTATCAGTATTAGTACGACTTATTTCTTAATGTAGTGTCCAGCTACTTAGTCAGTGAATAATGATTGAAATTTTACATCTACACGAACTCATTTTAAAAAAAATTACCTAAGTATCAAAATTAAGAAACAAGCTAAATAAAAATATTCATGCAATTAATCAAGTGAAAATATTAACACTATGCCCTTTTTTTTACAGACATAGGCCCTATAAGTTAATACCTTAAAACAAATCACACTGCAAAATGCAAACTTTCATAACAATGTATTTCTACTAATGAAACCATATTTCCCCATTGTACAGATTGGCCAGTTAAACAGCTTGATCAACTTACTGCTAGGAGACTTGAGTGTGGGAGACAGACAGAAGATCATGACCATCTGTACCATTGATGTACATGCAAGAGATGTTGTCGCTAAGATGATTCAACTCAAGGTCTGTTATTGTTGTTTTTTTTCATTTATCATCATGCTGATTTTAACAATGGAATTAATACGGATTTAAAATATTTTGAACTAGAAAATTGAATTAAAAAAAAAAAAAGCATGAATTATTTTACAGATCTTTTGTTGTTGAAAAAACAAAAGGACTTGTAAATTTTGGAAGCTAAGTTTAGAGTTAATAATGCTAAAAATTATTGTTCTTTTATGTTGATAGTTTCTTTCAGCTGTATTTTAATTGTAGATATTCTTATTTTCCATGCAGTGGTAAAACTGACTGATTGTTTCTTGCTCCATGATTTTAATGGAAATCATTGTGTGGGTTCTTGTTTCAGTTTTCAAAATCTTTATCTCATTTTATTTGTTCAAGGTGGATAACTCTCAGTGCTTTGTCTGGCTCTCACAACTCAGACACAGATGGGACTTAAAAGAAGATGATTGCTTCGCCAACATTTGTGATGCCCAGTTTCGCTATGATAAAGAATATTTGGGAAACACCCCTCGTCTTGTCATCACCCCATTGACTGACAGGTTATACCACTCTTTGATATAGTTTGTACATTGAAAGGTCATACCAATCTTTAATATTGTTTGTACTTTGAAAGGTCATACCACTCTTTACGATTGTTTGCACATGTTTCAAATCTAAAACAACCTAGGTAAAAATTGTTATAAAAACATGGAAGCTTATATAGTTTACAACTTAATTGTTTAGGTAAAAATAGTTTAAAAAAAGAAATGAGAAGAAAAAATAACTTTATAGACCTGATAGTCAGTATGTATAAGATTTAATGCATCATCAAACCATTGTCATAAATTTGTATCATCAAAAATGTTTGAATTGTTCATGCCAACTGTAGGCCAGTATGTATTTTATATGAACAGATGCTACATCACCCTTACCCAATCCCTGCATCTCATCATGGGTGGGGCCCCGGCTGGCCCCGCGGGGACAGGGAAGACAGAGACAACCAAAGACCTGGGGAGAGCTCTGGGCATCATGGTCTATGTCTTCAACTGCTCGGAACAGATGGACTACAAGGTAATTATTATGCTACACACGCCTCAGGCTGAGGAAAAAATCTAGAATAAAGATAAAATTTAATCCAGAATTTAATTTATCCAATAATCTTATACCACTGTTGTTTGTTTGGTTATTTAAATTTTAAACATTTGTGTTACCTTTCAACAAAAACTATCATTGTCATACATTTTTGTCCTTATTAGTGTGTTGCATAGAATAATGAGTGTATTGTCCCAGTATTCCATGCTTTATCATGTTTATGTAATTTGTGTGATCCAACTTTTTAGTCAGTTCTGTTACCTATACAATATATTACCAGTGAAGACACTTTTAATGTACCAATGCAGCACACAACACATTCTCATGTTTACACTTGCACACATGCATGGCTTTGATATATTTTCAGTCTGTGGGGAACATCTTTAAAGGTTTGTCACAGTCTGGAGCCTGGGGATGTTTTGACGAGTTCAATCGCATTGCTGTAGAAGTACTTTCTGTCATAGCAGTACAGGTCAGTGAGCCAACACTTGGTGTAAACTGTCAGTAGTAATACAGTGTAAGTATGTGATGCTTGTAAACATGTCAGTGTCACTACTTTGTATGCACTTGATGCTTATATTTTGTAAACTATCAATAGTAATACAGTGTTAGTACGTGATGCTTATAACTTGAAAATTATCAATGTCAATACTTTGTATGTACTCGACACTTATAACTTGTAAACTATTAATGTCAATACTGAGTACTAAAAATTTATAAGTTTTTGGTTTTTATTTTAAATAGGTAAAATCAATTCAGGATGCTATTAGAGAAAAGAAAAAAAGATTTAATTTTATGGGAGAAAACATTAAATTGATATCCACCGTTGGAGCGTTTATCACCATGAATCCAGGATATGCTGGCAGGGCTGAACTTCCAGAAAATTTAAAAGCTTTGTTCAGGTTTGTTACTTACAGTAAATAAATATTTGTTCAGGTTGTTACATACTGTAAATAAATTTTTTTTTTCAAGTTGTTACTTACTGTAAATAAATGTTTATTCAGATTTTTATGTTATTTACTGTAAATAAATATTGATAATTTTGAATTGTCTCAGCTATAAATAACTGGCTGTAATTCTTTGCATAGGCTCGCTCCATTTTTTTTCTAAATTGTTCTTTTTTTAGATTTACTTTTTTTTGGCCTATAAATCTTTTCCTATTTCTCATATTGCTACAGTTTATTTTCTAAACTGTTCTCTTTTAAGATTTACTTTTTGAAAAAACTGTTTTCCAGACCATGTGCCATGGTGGTGCCTGACTTTGAACTTATTTGTGAAATTATGCTGGTAGCTGAAGGCTTCTTAGATGCCAGACTGCTAGCCAGGAAGTTTATTACCCTCTACAGTTTGTGTAAAGAACTGCTCTCTAAGCAAGTAGGTTGATAAAAAAATGAGGCATTTGTATTGGTAGCTCTTCACTCTTTATAAATGTTACTTTTACTGTTGATTGTATTGCATCGTTACATATTTTTTTCCAGCCTGATAGTACCTTATTTGTAAGTGAAATAGTCCATTAACTGAGTATAGACAAAAATAAATGTTCACTTGTCCAACAGGACCACTATGACTGGGGTCTAAGGGCCATCAAGTCAGTGCTTGTAGTGGCTGGTGCACTCAAGCGTGGAGACAGGGGCAGGCCAGAAGATCAGGTACAAAGTTTACCAAGATCTATTTTTATTGTTGAATTGTAAAATTATTGTTTGTTACACAAAGTATGTGGCAATTTATAAAACACTTAATATAGTTTATATCTTCTTATTATCTAGGTAAATATTAATATTTAAAAAATTGTGTCAACCATTTGTAAAATAGGTTTTGATGAGGGCGTTGAGAGATTTCAACATTCCAAAAATTGTCTTGGATGATATGCCAGTATTCATGGGTCTCATCGGGGATCTGTTCCCAGCACTGGATGTGCCCAGGAAACGAGATATAGAGTTTGAGACGAACATCAAAGCTGCCACTCTCCAATTGGCATTACAGGCTGAAGAAAACTTTATCCTAAAGGTTAGAACTAGGTTATGTTAACAGTAGGTTAGGGTTACTTTATCAAGTAGGTTAGTGCTTCTGATACCACTGGACACGTCTTACTCAATGTGTGATGTACTACAATGTGATTCTGTTGTCTCTTTCCCCCTGCAATGTTTGGTATATATTAGCTGGTATTTAAACTATCACTAAATGTATGATGTTCTACAATGTGATTCTGTCAATTTCCCCCTGCAATGTTTGGTATATATTAGCTGGTATTTAAACTATCATTAAAACAAACAAGAAAACAATTTACAGGATCTGAAAATATTTATAGACCTGTGTTTTGTAAAAATTAGAACTGTTCTTTAGAAGACATCATTTTTTAATTTTAGGTTGTTCAACTGCAAGAGCTGTTTGATGTTAGACATTCAGTTTTTATCCTTGGCAATGCGGGCACAGGAAAGAGTTGTGTCTGGAATGCTTTAAGGCAGACAAACAAATATCTGGGTAGAAAACCTGTAGCCATTGACCTGGATCCTAAATCTGTTACAAATGATGAACTGTTTGGTATCATCAGCCCAGCCACCAGGGAATGGAAAGATGGTACGTCTATTTAACCAAAACAAAATAGTTAACTAAATTTTGGCATATAAAGATCATTTCTCTTCCTTCACATGATAACATCATTTGTCAAGTTGTTACAAGAAAAGATTAACTAATTTAACAAAATGAAATTCCATTTAAATTGAAAAAGATTTGGATGATATATAAAAAAGGGTGAGAGGTGTTAAATTAGAGGTGTATTTTAATCTATTAATATGTATCCTAGGATATATGGGTGTATTTTTGGGTTTACAAATAAAAATATAAACATTGTTAAGAAAAAATGACATGTCATAAAATAAATTTCAATGTTAACAGGGCTATTCTCAGTAATTATGCGTGATTTAGCCAACATGACTGGGGATGGGCCAAAATGGATTGTATTAGATGGGGATATTGATCCAATGTGGATTGAATCTCTAAATACTGTCATGGATGACAATAAGGTAACTGCATGCCTTGGAGATATTTTCTTATAATATTAACAATCATGAAATAGGAACTTCTCAGCTCATAGTGTTTTGGATTTTAACAGCTTATATATTTAGTAAATTTTAAAACTTTTTTGACATATTTGTTTTCTAATATTTTTTTTACCTACTTAAAGTAATGCCTTAAAAATTATTATTTTTTTACCCACTTAATGCCTTTAAAATCTGTCTTCACAAGTACTGTTTATCATTTAACATTTGTTTAGATAAAACTATTTGAGTGACTTTGGACCTGTTTATGTAGGTGTTAACGCTGGCCAGCAATGAAAGAATCACAATGACAAGGTCCATGAGACTTTTGTTTGAGATCAGCAACCTCCGCACAGCAACACCTGCCACTGTTTCCAGGGCCGGCATCCTCTTCATGAATGCTAATGACATCGGCTGGAATCCGTGAGTTTGACATGTTAGGGTTATGGTTAGGGATCATTTCTGTTGAGAAGGCAAGTCTTATAAACTCTCTAGACTTACAATATGTAAGATTTAAACGACTTACAGTATGTAAGATTTAAACAAATATTTCTATTTAGTCCCAAAAGCCAAATAAAATTATTTGGTTATGGTTAAGGATCATTTCTGTTGAGAAAGCAACTCTTATAAACTCTCTAGACTTACAATATGTAAGATTTAAACAAATATTAGTCTTGTAAACTGTCTAGACTTACAGTATGTAACATTTAAACAAATATTTCTATTTAGTCCCAAAAGCCAAATTAAATTATTTGGAATCTTATAGCAGTTCATACTGCTGTTTCTTTGTAGATTATAAGTTAGTGATTATAAATTTAAAATGATGTTTTGATTATTTTAGCACCATTAACTTTAGGCTGATCAATATTTCTGTCTCTGTTACACAGCTATATAACCTGTAACTTTGTATCAGTGCTTGTATCACTATTCCAGCTGTTTAACATATAACTATTTCACTAAGTCATTGTTACAGCTATGTAACTTAAGTAACTATGTATCAGAGCTTGTATCATTGTTACAGCTATGTAACTATGTATTGGAGCTTGTATCATTGTTACAGCTATGTAACTATGTATCAGAGCTTGTATCATTGTTACGGCTATGTAACTATGCATCAGAGCTTGTATCATTGTTACGGCTATGTAACTATGTATCAGAGCTTGTATCATTGTTACAGCTATGTAACTATGTATGAGAGCTTGTATCATTGTTACAGCTATGTAACTATGTATCAGAGCTTGTATCATTGTTACAGCTATGTAACTATGTATGAGAGCTTGTATCATTGTTACAGCTATGTACAGAGCTGGATAGACAGGAGAGGTGTACAACAAGAGAAAGCCAACTTGACCATTCTGTTTGATAAATACGTTGGCTCCATCCTAGACTGTCTCAGAATCCGCTTCAAGAAAATCACACCGATACAAGAGATAGCACATGTCCAGGTAAATTGTTGTGGGGATCAGAGTTAATCACACCAAGTTATAGCACATGTCCAGGTAAATTGTTTAAAATATACAAATATATATTTCAGGTATTTATGTTTAACTATTAAATAATGATATCAACAGATGTCGACCTATTTATGTTAAGTAAAGTCCAATTTAAAACCTTATGGTCCATAGGCAGGTGAAGTAGAGTTCACCTATTTAAGTGAACTCAGCATCTGAATGGATAATGTGGTCAGCACTACGCCCAGTGACTTTTACTTACTCTAACAAGAGTCAGGTACCCATCAAAGCTGGGTGGACTCAGGAACTTGGGATCTGTACTTGAGACTTTGGTTTAGCAGTTGTACGCTGTGCTTTTCAACTATGCAGTCTCATGCGTATGTGCAAATATGTAAATAATAACATGACAAATGCTGACCTATCCATGTTAAACTATGTGACAGATGCTGACCTATTTATGTTAAACTTTGTTACAGATGTTGACCTACCTGCTGGAGTGCTTGCTGACAGAACAGAACTGTCCACCAGAATCACCTAAAGATTTATATGAATTGTATTTTGTGTTCTGTTGTGTGTGGGCATTTGGAGGCACCATGTTTCAAGATCAGGTAACTCCCCATTTATCTTGTTAGCCAACAATAATACTTCTGATATTCATAAATAGCCCTGTGTATTTTGAAGGACACAATAATCACATTTCTTCATTTGTTTGACCTGATCTCTGATTATTAAAATCTTAAAACATTTAAGGTTGTTATCCAAATAAAGAAAAAAAACAAATGTTTTAAATACAATTCATGAGAAATAAAAGTTTAAATTTTTTGTTTTAATTGAATGTTACTATAACAACTTTGAAGTAAACTGTCCTGCCTAGAAGAAATATACATGTGTGTGTCCCCAGCTTTGTGACCACCGAGTTGATTTTACCAAGTGGTTTATACTTGAATATAAGACAGTCAAATTCCCGTCTGCTGGGACTGTGTTTGACTACTACATCTGCCCCCAGACACACTCCTTTAAACCCTGGACTAATCTAGTGCCAAATTTTGAATTTGACCCTTCTCTGCCTCTCCAGGTTAGTTATCACCATCTGCTGAGTTTATTTAATTGTGTTGTTTTCTTATTTTAAGTTAAACCCTTTCATTATTTATAGCAGACTTCATACATTTTTATTATAGTCAATAATTAACCAGCCACTTTATAGAATCTTCTCCCACAAGATCAAGCTCATGTATCCAGATTTTTTTTTATTATAATTAATTGGCATACAAATTCTCTCATTGGACTAAAAATAGGTTGTTGTTAATTTCAATGTTTTATCATTCTTACATTTATTAAAGGATTTCTATTCAATCATTCTTACATTTATTAAAGTGTTTTTTATTCTATAATTTTTATTATTATTAAAATGATTTATATTCTATCATTCTTACATTTATTAAAGTGTTTTTTATTCTATAATTTTTATTTAAATTAAAATGATTTAGGCATTCTATCATTCTTACATTAAATTAAAGTGTTTTCTGATTTCCCTTTTGATTTGATGTCAGGCTACCATTGTCCACACTGCTGAAACTCACCGCCTGAGGTTTTTCCTGGACATGCTGATTGCCAGTCGCAGGCCTGTCATGCTGGTGGGCTCAGCTGGCACAGGGAAAACTGTGCTGATGAACAACAAACTGAAATCACTCCCAGAAGAGTACATGATCGCCAACGTTCCCTTTAACTTCTACACGACCAGTGAGATGCTGCAGAACATTCTGGAGAAACCTCTAGAGAAGAAAGCTGGCAGAAACTACGGCCCACCTGGCACAAGAAAGCTTATCTACTTTGTTGACGACATGAACATGCCAGAGGTAACTAAACATCTGGAACTTTCTCTTGTTTAAACATAAGTTTTAAGTTATCAGATGAAACAAAAAGTTTGGAATATGATTTAGTTTTTTTTTAATTACTTAGTTAATTAAAACACAGAACAAATGAAGTAGAGAAATCATGCGCAATGTTGTTTGGTAAGATGTTATATAGTTTTAATGAAGCACAGTTTGCCACTTCTAAGATGGCGTGGTCAGAGGTTGAGTACACTCACCTGAAAATGTACACTTCACAAGATCCAGTTTGTGGGATGTCTTTCAGTCCACCCAGCTCTAATGAGTACTTGGCATGAGTTGGGGAAAGTAAAAATAGCTGAGCTCTATATGCCAAGGCCAAAGAAACATGAATTCTCCTTCATCTATCCTTTCTGCAGATCCTTGTACAGCTCTCTAAAGTTAACACTGCAGTCCCTACTATTGTGTTAGCATGTTCAGAGAATTTCTTTGTTTGTATAGCAAACTGGTGACTGTTTCAGGTGGACAAGTACTTCACAGTCCAGCCCCATACTCTAGTGAGAGCATGCATAGACCACGCTCACTGGTACGACCGCCAGAAGTTGACACTGAAGGAGATCCACAACACACAGTTTGTCTCCTGCATGAACCCCACAGCTGGTTCTTTTACCATTGATGCTCGCTTGCAGGTTTGTTTATTGTCTGCATATCTACATATACACACACACACGTGTATATATATATATATATATATATATATATATATATATATATATATATATATATATATATATATATATATATATATATATATATATATATATATACATATATAATGCTGTTAGGTTAGGTTTACCTGTTGTCCCTTGTGGGACATAGGCCGCTGATAAGAGCTTTCCAGGCGTCTCTGTCCTGGGCTAGTCTCTCCAACTGTCCCCAGGTGTTCCAATCTTTTTGATGTCTTCTTCCATAAAATGCTATTACTTCGATTAAACAGTGCCTGTCCTAGCCAAATCTTTAAAAAATGATTAGCAAAGACTACCTGACTTAAGAAACAGCTCAACAAAAATAAATCATCTTGTTCTATTGTGACTTGCATTGATTTGGTTTATTAGCATTAGATCTTGTATATTAAGATGCTTGATTGGCATTAAATAATATCCCTTTTGATCAGAATATTCCTCTATTTTTTTTTAATATTAAAGAAATATTTAGGTATAATTCTTCTATTTTGATTATAACATTAAACACATGTGAATCAACTCTCTGTACTAACATTTTTGTGCTGTAACTTTATTCACAGCGACATTTCTGTGTGTTTGCACTGAGTTTGCCAACTAAAGATGCTCTGGCAGCTATTTACTCCAACATTCTCGGCCAACACATGGCTCTGAATAACTTTAACAGCAACGTCCAGCGCTACTGTAACAACTTGATTCAAGGAGCTATAGCTTTTCAAGCAAAGATGATGTCAAGTTTTTTACCAACAGCCATCAAATTTCATTATATTTTTAACCTGAGGGACATGTCCAACATCTTTCAGGTAAATTTTATCCAGGAACTCTTGATTTATTTAAACAAAACTAACTATAACCATTTAATAACTACATTTATGATTTATTTAAAAAAACAAACGTATGCATAATTTTAATAGGAAGCAAAATGTAAAAAGACCTTATTGGGATTGATTATTAAAAAATGTTTTTTTAGCAAAGATTAACGTCAAACTAAAAAAAGAAAAAATACTATATAATTAGGAATGAAGAAAAAGGCATACATTGTAGTTACAGAAAACATTTTTTTTACTGTTTTCCCAAACAAAAACCTTTTGTCTTAGTATTAAAAGTTTTTGTCTTTTAAATTGCAGATATATTTAATATTCACCACTCATCTCTGCTTTATTTTTATAAAAGTATGAAAATATTTTTAAAAAAAACTTTATAATTTTTAAAAATCAAGTTAATGTGAGCTTTCTATCAAAATTATTCTATACTTAGTCAGATGTTAGCACTGACTTATTGTTTTTGTGTGTGCAGGGCATGCTGTTTGCTGGAGCCGAGACCTGTAAGACTGTACTACACCTGGTCAGGCTGTTTTTTCACGAAGCTGAGAGAGTCTACAAAGATAAGTTGGTGGACGTTGGTGACATTGAATTGTATGATAGAATCCAATTGGACATTTTGAAAAAGCTTTTTGAGGTACATACTACTTGTGTTTTTTAAAAAAGAAAGCAAAATCTGAATCAAGAATTCTCCAAATATACCTTTTTCAAAGTATAAAATCTACTTAAATAATATGTGCTAATGCTTTTAAAATATGGGATATAACCATCAAAATCTATATGGACATGTCACCACTGCAATTTTAAACATTTATTTAAAGAGTATTCATTGAGAGACACAAAACTTGCATAAAATATACAGATGAAGACCAGACAGTATTTAAAGAAAATTGTCCTTTTGTATATTGTTAGGACCAGAAAGAAGATCAGGTGAACGAGAAGCCAAATATTTGCTGCCACTTTGCCCAAGGGATTGGTGACCCCCAGTACGGGTTCATACCAGGCTGGCCCCAACTGAACAAGACCCTGAGCGATGTCCTAGACAGCTATAATGAAGTGAACGCTGCCATGAGCCTGGTCCTGTTTGAGGACGCCATGTCACACATCTGCCGCATCAACCGCATCCTTGAGTCACCCAGGGGCAACGCTCTCTTGATTGGGGTGGGGGGGAGTGGCAAGCAATCACTCTCTCGCCTGGCAGCCTTTATTAGTGGCTTAGATGTGTTTCAGGTGAGACCATGGGTGAAGGGCATTGTTTCAGGTGAGACCATATGTAGAGGGCATTGTTTCAGGTGAGACCATAGGTGAAGGGCATTGTTTCAGGTGAGACCATATGTAGAGGGCATTGTTTCAGGTGAGACCATATGTAGAGGGCATTGTTTCAGGTGAGACCATATGTAGAGGGCATTGTTTCAGGTGAGACCATATGTAGAGGGCATTGTTTCAGGTGAGACCATATGTAGAGGGCATTGTTTCAGTTGAGACCATATGTAGAGGGCATTGTTTCAGGTGAGACCATATGTAGAGGGCATTGTTTCAGGTGAGACCATATGTAGAGGGCATTGTTTCAGCTGAGGCCATATGTAGAGGGCATTGTTTCAGGTGAGACCATATGTAGAGGGCATTAGATGTGTTTGGCTGAAACCACAAACATTGAGTGGTTGTATTACAGATATCTAACTTATTCCTGAAATAATATTCTAGTAGTTTATTACAGATAGCCAATTTATCCCTGAAATCATGTATCTTGCATTATTTCAGATTACTTTGAGCAAACAATATTCAATAGCTGATCTAAAAAATGATGTCAATGGTCTGTATAAGAAGGCAGGATTAAAAGGTACAGATATTAATAATATTATGAATGTCATATCTCTTACAAAATAAAAACTATTTTTTGCACACTCTGTTTATGTGAATGTTGTTTTAATTTTTATATAATTGATTTATATTTATTTCTGACCTGATTCAACTTGTTTTTACATTACAAATGTATTTTTGATTGATAGGACTAGGAGTTGTCTTCCTTATGTCTGATGCTCAAGTAGCCAATGAGATTTTTCTTGTTCTCATCAATGACTTACTGGCCTCTGGTGAAATAGCAGATTTATTCACTGATGATGAAATGGAAGAAATCTTGGGAGTCATGCTCAATGAATGTAAACAGGAAGGCATTCCAGACACCAGGGAAAATGCTTGGTGGCTCTTCATTGATAAAGTGCGAAAAAATCTTAAGGTGAGTTTGATGTTTTGTTTTGTAAATTATAAAGAATATCAGAAAATATTTTTTAATTGTTTGAACCGTGATGAGAGAGTCTCAAAAGTTACAATTAATCGTTGTTTATATTAAATATTACTGATCAATTTAATTAAAAGGATTCATGAGAATAATAATATTGAACACAAATAAACAAGCTCTAATATTTTGAATGAATTGAGAAGGAAATTATAGGCAATTTCTTATATTGGTGATTAGTTTAAGATGATGAGGAAAAGATGAACGATATCAAATGTTTTAAAATGAATTTTGTTCAATGCAGGTGGTCCTATGCTTCTCTCCTGTTGGCAATACACTGCGAGTACGCAGCAGAAAGTTTCCAGCAATCACCAATTGTACCAGCATTGACTGGTTTCACGAGTGGCCAGAAGAAGCTCTTGTATCTGTCAGCCGCAGATTTTTGAGTGATAACGAATTATTAGATGTTCGTGACACAACAGTCAAAGTTTATTTTTGCATGAAAAAAATGATATAATTATTAGTTTTTTTGCTTTTAACTGATTTAAATTTCAACTATTAGTTGTAAGACTATTTAAGATACAAAAGAAATAAGGAAACCAAACACTTTAATAAAAAATTGATACTTTATGGTTTTTTTTTTTTTTTTTTTTGTGAATCTTGAGTTCATTAAATTATTTTATTTTTTAATGATAATTTGTCAAATGAAAGTAAAACTGCTAGTAAAAGAAAGTAATTTATACTTAAAAATATATTGGTGTCATGCTTTTGTTTAAAGATACAAATATAAGAAGCTAATTTTTATAAAAGTTGGAAGGGATATTAAAATGGCAGTACTCTCTCCCCAGAACAACTTGAAGGTTTCCATCTCCTTCTTCATGTCCTATGTTCACAAGTCTGTGAACGAGGCCAGTGCCATGTACCTGAAGAATGAGCACCGCTACAACTACACAACACCTAAATCTTTCCTGGAACAGATTGTCCTGTACCAGAATCTGCTGACCATGAAGAATGATGAACTGCAAGCCAGCATCATACGTTTAGAAAATGGTCTTGAAAAGCTGCGTAGTACAGCAACACAAGTAAGTTTTCCACCCATATGTTGCTGTGTAATTATTGTAGCTTGATTATAGTATTTTTTTGTCAAATGATTAAAAAATGTTATTTTATAAAAAAAATACTTGTCACAGTTAATTTATTAGATAAATCAAGCTAGAATTAATCTTTTAGTTATTGTCTCAATATTTAACGAATTGAGAATGTCATTGAAACATTATTACAAGTCAGCTTTGTGTTTTCTAGGTAGATGATTTAAATGTGTTTTCTAGGTAGATGATTTAAATGTGTTTTCTAGGTAGATGATTTAAATGTGTTTTCTAGGTAGATGATTTAAATGTGTTTTCTAGGTAGATGATTAAAATGTGTTTTCTAGGTAGATGATTTAAAATCCAAACTGGCATCTCAAGAAGTGGAGCTGGCAATAAAAAACACTGAAGCCAATGACCTGATCACAGTGGTCAGTGCAGAGACAGAGAAAGTCTTGGCTGAAAAATCTATTGCCGATGTTGAAGAGGAAAAGGTGTCCATCATCACCACAGAGGTGGAGCAGAAGGCTGCGGATTGTTCTAGAGATCTGGCTAAAGCAGAGCCTGCACTCTTGGCAGCTAAAGAAGCCTTGAACACTTTGAATAAGGTTGGTGGATACTAACTGTTACTTATAAAGCTGGACATTAAATGGTGCCACTTGCTTATAAACATTTTGAATAAGGTTGGTGGGACAATGGTTCAAGTAGCTAACAGAAAAGGTTAGAAGCCTTAAGGTATTGATGGCCCCTCCTGTGTTCTCAGCATAAAACAAAAGTGATTCTGTTTTTATTTGTCCAGAACAACCTGACAGAGTTGAAGTCCTTTGGTTCTCCCCCTGCTGCGGTCACCAATGTGGTGTCTGCCGTCATGGTCCTGCTGGCGCCAGGTGGGAATGTGCCCAAAGACAGGTCATGGAAGGCGGCTAAAGCATCCATCATGTCCAAGGTAATGGGATATTTTTACCACAAGCACTTTCAACAATATTTCTGTAAGGAAATATCAGACATGAATATCTGCTATGGATGAATGAAAATTGTCCTGTGAATATAATAGCCAGGTAATTTTTCTATATGTAGATGAATTCATTTTCTTTCCATAGATTGATGCATTCCTTGACAACCTCATGTATTATGACAAAGACAATATTCCAATGAGCTGCCAAATTGCTGTAAAACCCTACTTAAATGACCCAGAATTTGATCCAGAATTCATCAAAGCCAAGTCCAGTGCTGCTGCAGGTGTGTATGTTGTTTAATAACTTCAACAAGTACACCAGGTAGGAGCTGGTTATTCACTGATTCACATGATGTTTTTATACATCATGTTATGATGCAGTAATGAAAAACTTGATGTAGACATCATTGTCTTGGTTTATTGAAAGCTTCACTGGTGCCCTGGTTTTAAGACCCTAAGTTTAGTCTGTTTGGGGTAGTTAGGATATATATAACCACATATACTTTGGCTTGTTTGCTTACCTTAATTTAATTTAAAATACATTAAAAAATCATTGACATACATTTTTGTTGGATCATTCAAGAGAGACCAGTGGACATTAGTCACTTTATTCCTTGTTTATATGCACAGAAATGATTTAGCTTTGATATTTTTAAACATTTTGTCCCCCAGGCCTTTGTTCTTGGGTGATCAACATCATGAGGTACTATGAAGTATTTTGTGAGGTGGAACCTAAAAGGCTTGCATTAAAAAAAGCTAATGAGGACTTAAACTCAGCCCAGACTAAACTGGCTGCTATCAAAGGTAAATTATAATGGTAAACTGTATGCTTTCAAAATACTCCTTAGTAATAATTAATTTGTGTAATCATATTTATGTCAATATTCTGAGTGTTTATTTCAATTTAAGTAGAATTTATTAGTATTAACGTCATTTCTTTGTGTTAACATATTTATGTTGGCATTGCGATAATTTATGTGTTAATGTTAACATATTTATGTTGGTATTAACATATTTATGTTGGTGTTAACATAATGTATGTAAATGTTAATAAATTTATGTTGGTGTAAACATAATGTATGTAAATGTTACCATATTGATGCTGGTATTAACCTAATCAGTAAAAATGTCTCCCTGCTATCAGCCAAAGTGGGAGCCCTGGAAGCCACACTGAACGAGTGTCAGGCTGAACTCAACAAGGCCGTGTCGACCAAGCAGAAGTGCCAGGAGGATGCGGACGCCACTGCTGCCGTTATAGAGCTGGCCAACAGGCTGGTCGGTGGTCTGGCCTCAGAAAATGTCCGCTGGGCACAGGCCATCATGAACTTTCACGAAAACGAGAAAACCCTGCCTGGGGATGTGTTGCTGATTACAGCATATGTCTCTTACATGGGCTCATTCACTAAGGTCAGAATACTGGATTGGATCATTTGTGTTCAGTTTTTTTGGTTGATTTTAGCAACTTTTTAGGCTTGTTATTTTTAGAACAGTATAACAAGTAAATTGAAGAAGTAAATATATTTGCCTTCATTTTATCAAAAGTTTTATCAGCTTTTGAGTATAACCATAAATTACACGATTTTATTTTAGACCATAAATTTATTTAAATCGCTGATGTATAATAATCAGTTTATTATTAATATTTTTCAAAAATTATTTTTTTATTTTTCGAATACAGCTTTATCGTGTTGACCTTTTGGACAACAAGTGGATTCCATTCCTAAAGAAGTTGAAGAATCCTATTCCAATAACTGAAAATCTTGACCCACTGGTTTTGCTTGTAGATAGTGCCCAGGTATAAAGACCAATTTCAGTATCATTCAGTTTTAAAACTGTTAAGATTTGATTTACACCATATTTCTAAAGTTGAAGATTATCACATTTTTAAAAAAAAAAATTTTTAATTCGAAAAAATCTTTTTTTAACAAATAAAAGATATAAAAGTTAAGTAAGCTATTTTGCCCAAAATGCAACATGTTTAGAGTTCTGTTGAAAACAAAATACAAACTTTGTTTCAGATTGCTTGCTGGAGCAATGAAGGTCTCCCCAGTGATAGAATGTCCATTGAAAATGCAACAATACTGACAAACTGTGAGCGATGGCCTCTCATGATTGACCCACAGTTACAAGGATACAAATGGATAAAAACGAGATATGGGAGTAGATTAAAGGTAGATGATCCAAGAATGTACAACGTTTGGCATAAATAGTGGGTTGTGGAACCTTCTAATATTAGCCTAGTGTTGTACCTGTGCTGAATGTTAGTTTACAAAAATATAGGCAGAACTTTAAAACTAAAATCAATTTTTACTTTTTTTGTGTAACTCTTCATGAAATTTAAAATGTTGTAATATTTTAAAGAAGGGGAGTTAAATCCCACCATAACATTTTCCTTTCTGACCTCCATCTTGATCAACCAAGTGAAGATTTTATTGTTTGTTGGTTTTTTCAGTCCATGATGTTTCCTCTAAACACTTGATTTACTTTCAGATTGTCAGACTAGGGACTCATGGCTACATAGATGCTATTGAAAAGGCTGTGGAGACTGGAGAAATTCTGTTGATGGAGAACATTGGCGAGTCTGTTGATGCTGTGTTGGATCACTTACTAGGGAGGAATACCATCAAGAAAGGCAGAGCTATTAGGGTAAAGATATTTGAGATTTACACAAAGATTTTCATAATACATTTCAAGCTTAGAGAAATTTTTATGTTATGTGAGGGATATGGAAGCTTAGCACTCACACCCCTACATACATTGATTAATACATATCCCACTTTCTTCCCCCCCCCCTCTTCCCCCATTAAAAAAAAGAGGTTAGATAGGTCTATTTTTATGTAAGAAATCAAATAATTTGAACAATTATTTCCTATAACAGATTGGTGATAAAGAAATCAATTACCACAAAAATTTCCGGCTGATCCTTCAAACCAAACTTGGAAACCCCCATTATAAGCCAGAGATGCAGGCACAGACAACTCTAATCAACTTTACAGTCACCAGGTGCACACCCCTTGTCTTATTCTTAAAGAAATGTATCTTTATTGTTTACTGGAAAAATGGCCCGTTGAGGAAGGATACAACGGGCGCTAGGCTGATAGTGCTGTCTCTTTTCTCTAAACTAAAACCCTTCACGCAAACCACTTAGATTAGACACAATTTCCTTTTTATTCAATGTTTACTCAAGAATCAATGACGTCATATTACTGTGTGCACTCTCCGGCTTGAGATTATTTTCTACTCTGTGCTAAATGTGACGACGTCATACTTCGTTTTTCGAATTACTATGCATGTTTTTAATTTGCTTGTGTTTTCTCTAGAGCGTTCATGTCAGATAGACAGACAGCTAAACTATTAGTATTAATTAGTTTCTCTAATGTGCTAAATGACTGAGAACTGGACAAGTTATAAGTTTTATAGTCAAAAGAAAAATTGAATGTTTGTAACTGAGATTGATCTAAACTGTTGTCTGACAGAGATGGCCTAGAAGACCAGCTGTTGGGGGCTGTGGTGTCTAAAGAGAGACCTGATCTGGAGAAGTTAAAATCTGACCTGACCCGCCAACAAAATGAATTTAAAATTATTCTGAAAGGTCGGTGCCTGTTTCATCACCTCGTGTACTGATGTTGTTTGTGTGTGAGGTTAGAAATTTAGGGTCAACTTGACCCAACTAAATAGTTAACATAAGACAGCAAGGGTTTTTTATAATATATTTGCCCCATTCTTGGATGTTGTTAAAAAAATGCAAGTACTTGGAATAAAAAACAAAATAATGATGGTACTTTGGAAAAAAAAATATAAATATAAAAAAAAAGATGATAAATATAATAAAAATTAAAATATTAAAATAATGGTGAAAACTGAATAAAAATGTTTATAACTGTGTAAAAGTAATGATGGTTACCTTGATAAAGAATAACAGTGCTATCTTTATGAATGTACCACTAGCAATGTCTTCCCTTCAGGACTGGAGGACAATCTGTTAGCCAGGCTGTCCACTGCGGAGGGAAACTTCCTCGGGGACTACGCTCTGGTAGAAAACCTGGAGACAACCAAACGCACTGCAGCAGACATTGAGGCCAAATCTGCCGAGGCTAAAATCACAGAAGTGGAGATCAATTTGGCCAGGGAAAACTACAGGCCTGTATCTGCCAGGGCCTCGCTACTTTATTTCATATTGAATGATCTGGATCGTATTCATCCTATGTACCAGTTTTCATTGAAGGTGAACATGCATTGGCTGATTTAGGTGGTATTTAGTGACATCATTTACACCTGTCATCAATCTCAAATGTCATTCATACTTGTCATCATGAACCTTTGTCATTCCTTCATGTTGTCATTTACTTGTGTTGTCATTCACTATTTTCAAAATCTGAAAATATTTCTATTTTCTCTTTGTTAGGCCTTCAGTGTGGTGTTTGACAATATTTCTATTTTCTCTTTGTCAGGCCTTCAGTGTGGTGTTTGACAATATTTCTATTTTCTCTTTGTTAGGCCTTCAGTGTGGTGTTTGACAATATTTCTATTTTCTCTTTGTTAGGCCTTCAGTGTGGTGTTTGACAATATTTCTATTTTCTCTTTGTTAGGCCTTCAGTGTGGTGTTTGACAATATTTCTATTTTCTCTTTAGACCTTCAGTGTGGTGTTTGACAATATTTCTATTTTCTCTTTGTTAGGCCTTCAGTGTGGTGTTTGACAATATTTCTATTTTCTCTTTGTTAGGCCTTCAGTGTGGTGTTTGACAATATTTCTATTTTCTCTTTGTTAGGCCTTCAGTGTGGTGTTTGACAATATTTCTATTTTCTCTTTGTTAGGCCTTCAGTGTGGTGTTTGACAATATTTCTATTTTCTCCTTGTTAGGCCTTCAGTGTGGTGTTTGACAAGGCCATTGATCGAGCTGAGCCAGCAGAGACAGAAGAGGAGAGAGTGAAAAACTTGATAGACTGCATCACCTTCTCCACCTACGTCTACACCTCCCGTGGACTTTTTGAGCGGGACAAACTTATTTTTGGAACTATGCTGACCTTTCAGGTACTGCTTGAAACATGTGAAGTTCTGTCAGTTTTTTTTTGTACTGTTTAGGGCTGTTCAAGATTTTCTGAAGAACTTTCAGGTATTGCTTAAAGGCCTTTCAAGCACCAAAAAGTAGTTACTCTTTCAGCCCTGATTGTCATTATGGCAGATAAAGTAGAGCTCACCTGTTTCTGTGACTGTGGCATATGGTCTCTTACTTTCCCATCAGGGCTGGGTAGACTGGTAGACACTATTTGGAGTTTAATTAGGGATCCAAGCTCAAGACTTTTAGGTTAGCAGTTGTATGCTTTACTTCCCAACCACGCTGTATTGATTATCATTTATATAATCATAACTGATGTATCCAAAAATGAAATTGTTAATTTTTTTTTCATCTGTTTGGAAAACTTGTATTCGTTTGTCTGAAAAACTTTAAGCAAAGCTTTTAAAGAGAATTTCTGTTCAAATTTTTTAATTACAATCCCACACACAAACAAGTTTAGAGATTAATTTTCTTCTAGATTTTGGCCCAACTGAAAGAAATTGATATGGATGCTTTAGACTTTTTACTGCGATACCCTGCCACATCTGATGTTCCCTCTCCTGTTGATTTTTTAAATGACTTGAGTTGGGGAGGAATAAAGGTATTTTATATGAATTTATATTATAATTTCCATTTCTCACATCCTATTGATTTTATTATTAGTGAGACAACCAGCTCGTAGATTTACTAAATTATCATAACCAAGAGTTAGCCTACTTTCACAGCATGACAATAAAAACCAAAACATGAAAAAAGTTTGTTCACATTTTCTGGTTCTTGCACATTTTTTCTGTAAAATGTCATGAAACCTCAAAATTTAATTATCCACTTTTTACGTACTGTAAAATATTTCAAAAGCCAAAAAGCCTATTTGATTTGAATGCCTAGGCCTTGTCTGAGAAAGAAGCTTTCAAGAACTTAGATAAGGATGTGTTAGGTTCAGCCAAGCGCTGGAAGAAATTTGTGGAAGGTGAGGCACCCGAGAAAGAAAAATTTCCACAAGAATGGAAAAACAAAACTTTAATAGAAAAACTGTGCATGATGCGGGCTCTACGACCAGATCGAATGAGCAACGCAGTCACGTAAGCTCAAGGAACTCTGGGATTGATCCGTTTTTGTTGACTGACAGTTTTTTATTTATAGTTACATTTATTTTAGATTCTCATTATTATGTAACATTTGTTTTAGGTTCTCGTTACTATGTAACATTTGTTTTAGATTCTCATTATTATGTAACATTTGTTTTAGATTATCTTTATTATGTAAATTTTCAGTTCATTTTCCTTGTTGAGTATTTTATTCAATTAGCAACATAAAGCTGATTAGTGGTTTAGAATAAGAGCCTCTCCTTTAAGTAACTTTCAAATTTTTCAGTTGAAAATCTCTCCATTTTGGCATGAGGGGAATGCTGCTTATAGAAAATATTTTACCTTGGATGTTCAACCAATTTCAGTATTTACTTTATAGTTTAGATGCACATACTAATGCATTTAAAAAATAAATTTCAGTCAATTTATCGAGGAAAGTTTGGGACATAAATATGTTGAAAACCGCTCCGTGGAATTTGGGAAGTCCTTTGAAGAATCAGGGCCAGCAACTCCTATGTTTTTTATACTGTCCCCTGGTGTTGATCCCCTTAAAGATGTAGAAAAGTTGGGCAGAAAACTGGGCTACACCACAGCCAAGGAGAATCTCCATAACATTTCACTGGGGCAAGGGCAGGAAGTTGTGGCAGAGAGGGCTATTGATGTGGCTGCCAAAAAGGGACATTGGGTTGTTTTACAGGTCAGTTTTTAAAACAATATTTTTTCCCCACATTTTTTCAAAGTTAATTGTGATCAGCCATTTAAAATAAAAAAATGTTCGCTTATTCGCAAATAATTACAGAATGTTCATCTAGTATCAAGATGGCTTCCAAACTTAGAGAAAAAGCTGGAACAGTACTCTGAAGAAAGTCACTTGAACTACCGACTGTTCATCAGTGCTGAGCCAGCAGGTTCCAGAGAGTATCACATCATGCCACAGGGCATCCTAGAGTCCTCTGTCAAGATCACCAACGAACCTCCCACTGGCATGTTTGCTAATTTACACAAAGCATTGGACAATTTTACACAGGTAGTCATTGGTTCGCATAGTTTACGCAATCCGTTGTTTCATTATTTAAATGTTGGGGGGGGGGGGGGGGGGTTTATTGGTTAATTTAATCATTAGTAGCTTTTAATAAAGTATAAATATATCAAAACTCTGGAGATTGAGGAGGGCAACTTGTTTTTTTTTTTACTTTGCAAAATTTTTTTTGCAATTTAAAAAGTAAAATAATTAAGTTGCCAGTAGCCCTGATCTCCTGAGGTATTCATCCATTTATTACCTTATTGATATTACAGTAATTGCCTCATGATTTAAGTTATAAATAGCCCATTAGTAGGTTAAAAAAAATTGATGGCAGCTAACACTAAATTGTCTAATAGTAAATTGATCTAAGTATTTAGTTAATTTACATTTAATGAAAATAACTTTATATTACTTGAAGGACACCCTAGACATGTGCTCTAAAGAGGTTGAGTTCAAGGCCATCTTGTTTGCCCTGTGCTACTTCCATGCCGTGGTGTGTGAGAGGAGGAAGTTTGGTGCCCAAGGCTGGAACAGAGTTTACCCGTTTAACGTGGGCGACCTCACCATCAGCGTCAACGTGCTCTACAATTATTTGGAAGCCAACAACAAAGTAAGGCTGCCTGTCTTGTTTAGGCCAGTTAATATTCATGGTTAATTATTCATAAATTGAAACATTAACTGTAAAATAATTAATAATGAAATGAACTTGCAAAAAAGGAAAAGAAAGAATATAGGAATTTTTTTTTTACCTAAGAATAATTGTTAAAAAATATGGAAACATTGATGAATTAATTATTTATTTTTCTCTAAAAGGTACCATGGGAAGATTTGCGTTATCTCTTTGGTGAAATTATGTATGGCGGCCACATAACAGATGACTGGGATCGTAAGTTGTGTAAAACTTACCTGGAGGTGTACATGAACCAAGACATGGTAGGCTGCAAGTTTCTCTAGTGCTGTTACAGCTACAAGTTTCTTTAGTGCTGTTACAGCTACAAGTTTCTTTAGTGCTGTTACAGCTACAAGTTTCTTTAGTGCTGTTACAGCTACAAGTTTCTTTAGTGCTGTTACAGCTACAAGTTTCTTTAGTGCTGTTACAGCTACAAGTTTCTTTAGTGCTGTTACAGCTACAAGTTTCTTTAGTGCTGTTACAGCTACAAGTTTCTTTAGTGCTGTTACAGCTACAAGTTTCTTTAGTGCTGTTACAGCTACAAGTTTCTTTAGTGCTGTTACAACTACAAGTTTCTTTAGTGCTGTTACAACTACAAGTTATTGTGGGGCTGGTTTACAACTAAAAGTTATTGTAGGGCTGGTTTACAACTACAAGTTATTGTAGGGCTGGTTTACAACTACAAGTTATTGTAGGGCTGGTTTACAACTACAAGTTATTGTAGGGCTGGTTTACAACTACAAGTTATTGTAGGGCTGGTTTACAACTACAAGTTATTGTAGGGCTGGTTTACAACTACAAGTTTCTCTAGTGCCATAACAAGTTATTGTTTACAGCTATAAGTTATTGTAGGCCATTTTACAACTACATGTAATTGTAGGGCCATTTTTACAACTATGATCTAGAAGTTAATGTTACCAATTTAATTATGAACAGACATTTTAAATTGGCAGAATGTATTTAATGTAGATTAAAGAAATTAAATTTGTATAAATCCTTAGCACTTACAGATAGTTTGTACTCCATCTATAAATACCTCAATAAAGATAATATAAATGTTAATATGTTGCTTATTAAAATGGTGCTGGCAAATTAAAAGATGTTTAACTGCCAATTTTCCTCAAACTATAAAATGGTACAGCTTATAAAATGTATTACTATCTTCCCCTGCTTGGTGCAGATAGATGCAGAGCTATTTTTGGCACCAGGCTTTGCAGTGCCCCCCAACAGTGACTATGAAGCATATCACCAATACATTGATGATGAGCTGCCCCCAGAAAGCCCCTACCTGTATGGGCTGCACCCAAACGCTGAGATAGAATTCCTCACCAAGACCTCAGACAACCTTCTGAGAACTGTCTTTGAGATGCAGCCCAGAGATGCCTCTGGAGACTCGGGAGAAACAGTTTCAAAAGAAGAAAAAGTAATTTTAAAAAACTCAACAATTAACATTTTTAATAGGCTGAAAAATAAGGCATTCAGTTTAAAAGTTAAAGAAATATCAAGTCATTTCACACAATATTAACCTTATTTCTTAATGTATTAATGAAAACTCTTTAACTTTAAGACGTGTAATAATTATATAAATTATTGGATTGGTTTAAAATTGTGTTTTAAGTTTAATTTGTCCTAATTTCTGAACTTAGGTAAAAGAGATCCTTGATGAACTGTCAGAGAAGTTGCCAGAACCATTCAACATTGAGGAAATCATGCAGAAGGTTCCCCCAGATGAAAGAACACCTTTTGTGGTGGTCGCTTTCCAGGAGTGTGAACGGATGAACATGCTGACAGGAGAAATCAGGCGTTCCCTTAAAGAGTTGGATTTAGGCCTGAAGGTAAAACAAAGTCTGGGACTGTTGGTCTCATCTTTCAAATGTAGCTAACATTTTTAAGAACATTGTCTAAAATGTTTAAAAATTAAAAAATATATTGTTTATTGTTCTCTTAAATTATAAATACTTTAATAGCTTGTGGCTACCTACATTTCTTTAGCTGCAAGAGCCATTATAAGTTTTTATAAAGGACACACTATTTACAAACTAGCTAGTGCACATGCACAAACTATTGGCCTTAAGACCCAGTGAGAAAAGGGATGCAGCCTAATAAAGAATGATGAATACAAATGTAGAATCTATTTTTTCAGGGAGAGCTGACCATCACTGTTGAAATGGAAAATCTCAGCAATTCCCTGTTTTTGAACAATGTCCCAGAGAGATGGGAGAAAAAGGCTTACCCTTCTCTGTTTCAATTGGCCCAGTGGTATGTTAGTTTTGTTTCAATTGGCCCAGTGGTATGTTAGTTTTGTTTCAATTGGCCCAGTGGTATATTAGTTTTATTGGCTGGTTGTATCATGTAGGTTGAACAGGTTTGTTGTAGCATGTAGGTTTTAAAGGTTGGTTAAGTCATGTAGGTTGAACAGTTTTGTTGTATCTTGTAGGTATGGTGACATGCTGCAGAGAGCCAGGGAACTAGAAAGCTGGATTGGAGATTTCAGCCTTCCTGCCAGTGTGTGGCTGGGGGGGTTCTTCAACCCACAAAGTTTTTTGACTGCTATCATGCAGCAAACTGCCAGAAAGGTAAACAGCTCGTACAGACTCACATTTCTGTAGCTTAGAGAAAATGGGATTGTGACTGAACTGTTTTCTGCTACTGAACAGATGTTGTCTGATTGTGACTAAGCTAATGATTTTTTTGGTTAGAGAGAATGAGATTGTGACTTGACCGGAATGTTTACCTCTACTGATGTCTGATTGTGACTAAGCTGATGATGTTGTCTGAATGTGACTAAGCTGATGATGTTGTCTAACAGAATGAGTGGCCACTGGACAGGATGTGCCTCCAGTGTGATGTGACAAAGAAAAGTAAAGAGGAGATGTCGGGGCCACCCAGAGAGGGGGCCTATGTTCACGGGCTGTACATGGAGGGCGCCAGGTGGGACGTCCAAACAGGTTTCATCGCAGAGTCTTTCCTGAAGGAGCTGACGCCAAGGATGCCGGTCATCTTCCTGAGGGCTATTCCAGTAGATCGGGTTGACCAACGCTTGGTCTATGATTGTCCTGTTTACAAGACAAAAGGCAGGGGTCCAACTTTTGTTTGGACATTCAGGCTCAAGACCAAACTAGAACCTTCTAAGTGGGTGCTGGGTGGTGTAGCGCTGCTGCTGCAAGTCTAAGCTTGTGGCAGTTTTCAAACCCAGGAACCAAAAGTTCCAGTATGGAGTATATCTGCATACATATCAATAACTGCTTATATTGATTAATTCCATTATATTTGTTTAATTTTTAATCTGTGAATGTTGACTACACTGACTGATGACAGCTCCACAGATTCTTAAAATAAACCAATTTAGATTAACTCAGTTTTTTTTTGTTTTTCATTAATTTATTGCAGCAGCAGTTTAAGAAATCAATGTACAAAAAAGATTGAAAACATGTTGTAATTGTTAGCTTACCAGCCTATGAATAAAATCTATATAAAAAATTTTTTATCAAGCAAATTATTGAATTAGTGCAGGAATTAGCTTGTTTAAATAGAAATTAAAGCTAAAAAAAGCTACTAGAAAATCTAGCTAGTACTATCACAACTATCAGATGTCTAAATAAATCACTAAAACTTACATAAAATTAAATAAATGATAAAGACTATAAATAAATTTACTCCTAAATAAAAAAAACCTAAAACCATATAAAGCATCAATTCAAAACTTTTTGTTTATAACCTCTGAGTATTCTGTTACTAAAACAAACCTTAATACAAAATTTTAATCTGATTGCATAGAATTAAAGGTAAAGTACAGTATGATAAAAATATAAACCGTTAGGCCTTTTTTAGTTGGTGATTTCCTCTAGCGACTGCATGTTGAGGATGTGATTGAAACTAAAAGGCTGAAAGTGGTATCCTTCTCCCACGTAAAACTTGGACTGGAACTCTACCCAGTGCAGACGGAGAGTGTGGAGGAAAGCGCTCAGGCCCTCCATCAACAACAAGATGGCCACCGTCAGATTAGCCCAGATGAAGAAAATAGCAAATACTACAACGGAGCCGCCATAGTTTCCCAGCAGGGTCAGGCCCAGCCTTAACACCATGGTCCACAGAACCTCAGACAGCTCTGTGTAGGAAAAATTGGTGGCTTTAATATTTAGGAAATACTTTCAATTTTATTCAACATGCTATTACATTTTATGCTATTTACTGTATGTAACATGGGATGGCGTGGTAGATTGTTTGGCTGCTTTTCCCTGAAAGATTTGAGTTCAAATTTCAGTTCGGACTTGTGATCATATGACGTTCCTGTGTCCACCAAGCTCTGAAGGGTACCTGACTTAGTTGAGGAAAGTAAAGGTGGATGGGCATAGTGCTGACCACACTATCCGTTCATATGCTAAGGTCACATTAACAGGTGAGTTCTAATTCACTAGCCCCATGGACTGTCAAGCTTGAAAGGGCACTTTACTTATGGAAACATGACAGAAATTTAAAACAAATATTGCATTACATTGTAATGTTTTGTTTATCTTAAAGAAGCAACAATTGCTGATACAAAAATATTCTCCAAAAAAAAATAATTATACACCCAAAATGTGAACCGCAAGATAAAAACTTACGCGCATGGGCCAAAGACAAAGCCCAAAGTCTCAGATATGAAGCAGTGTGAGAAATACAGCCCAGACAAAACTCTATTGTGTGTATAACTTGGTGTATTATTATCTCACCAGTTCCGTGCTAAAATACAAGAAAATATATAAATATTATAAAGTTGAAATTGTGTATGCTAGCTCAGTATAAATGTAAAATTAAGGAGATAATGATACACTGATGACAATCCTCTCATTGTAATACATGTTCACAGTTGACTTAACATAGCTCTCATTGTCTATTGTTTTTGTAAAAAATATTACCTCTCCATGGCTTGATGCTCCACCAGTGTGATTTCCCTGAATCTCAGATGATGAGCCATTCTCATCCTGGATGTTAAAAAAGCTATTATGTTAAGACATTTTTTTAAATATTTAAGCAAAACAAAGCATACTTTTTGGCAGATTGTTATACCAGCACAAAAAGGCTGTGAAAATTCTTATAATAAACAGTTTATAATCAGCTCATTTTTCATACTTATTATAAAATACTATTGTACCATTTTCTGTATTAGTTTATTCATGGAGATAAATTTACACAGTTTTACATTATTTGAATATTGAAGTTAATAATGCTCAAGGAATATCTATTCACAAATACACATAATAAGAGTAAATTCTACATTTAAAAATAGTTTAGTCTCTAGATACTAAAATAAATGTAAAATATATGTTAGATTATAATTCGGTTTAGTTACATACTTAAGTATACAAAAGTTATCAGCAAATATTTTAGTTGTTTTTTTTTTATTAATAACCATAGGATTAGTTGAAAGCAAGCAAATGTTTACTTTAAAATGTTGGCATTAGTGGTAAACTGGTTGTTCAATTATTGGCAAGATTTAGCCGGTGCCAGATTTTTGTGTGCAGCCTGTTCAATCTTATATTGCCTATAAATATCTTAGCACTAACTTTTGTTAATGTCACTCTAGTAAATGATTTAAAAGGGTTAAATAATAAATTACTGTTTTAAAAACTTCGTTAAAATTATATGAGACTATTTCTAAGGTACAAAACAATGCTGAAACAGTTGTGGAATAACCATGCAGCCTTTTACAAAAACATCATAAAGCTTTCAAGAGATATTGTTTCATACATAAATTCAAGTTGTCAATGTAGTCAAAGTTAAGTGAGTAAAAAACTAAAAGCAATAAACAATGTTCAATGAAAATTATATTAAAAACAACTTGATTAAAAAATTTAACAGCATTCAGAATGTAATAGTAATCTACACCATATCGAATAGACGTTCTAACTTAGTTTTTCTCTGAAAATCTGTGAATTGAGAGCACACAAAAGATTAATGGATACTCTGTCACTTTTTGCATGCACATCTTAGTGTTAGTATGATTTAATTAATAATTTATGGTTTCTACTACATGTATTTTTATAACCAACAGCCTATCCTGCAGAAGGTTAGGTTAGGAATCCTTTGTTTACAGAACTAATAATAGATCCATCAAAAAGCATGCAAGAGTGAATAATGTTAGAACAAAATTCACAACATATGGGTTGTCTGTGATTTTGAAATGAAGATAGCAACGTTTCAAGCAGTCCTGAATATGATTAGCATTACAACAACATGTCTGGAGTAAATGAGTCCACTAAACTCTACGGATAATTGAACATTTTAAAATCAATATCACAACATTCACCACAAACAACATACTTAAATTATCATCTCCTGAGGAAAATAAAATTTGCTTCATAAGATCAAAGAAAACAAAATAAACTTGTCTAACTGGAAACTGTTAGTTAATGGTTAAAATTTATAATTTGTTGCTTGCTGTTTGGCAAACAGGATTATTTTGACTAAAAATAATGAATAAAACATATATAAAAACCTTTATAATAACAAGCTTTTAAATGCACTGAAAATAAGAAAACAAACCTGCTTTCTTTAATAAAAGCTTTGGTCACTCATGAGAACTTTTACATATTTTACATATTTTTAAGTGTTCACTAGTATTTAATCTTGTTATCTGTCTTTTATAATTGAATACAATAAATTTTTAAATTAAATTTTAATGACTAAACTAATGTCTAAGAAGACAGTATTTGGAAAGTTATGTTCATTATTTCTATTTGTATCCTTGGTCACACAGTGATGTAATTTAAAGTTTTGTTGTTAAATGGGGAAATGTTTTTAACCACTACTTACAACTGCCCCTATTTCTCAAATATTTTAATATTTTAAGCTTTTTGCTACTTAAAATGTTCAGATTTTTTTAAAGTCAAATGTAATTTAATAAAATACTGGAAAAACCTGACAGAAAAAGAGCCATTTTATGATTTGATCTGTTTAAATGAAACATCAAGAAGAAAGAGAGTAAGGTGTGATTGAGGAAATGTGTATTAGACAATGGGGGTTAATTTTTCAGTTCATGTACTCCTGGGTTGGTGTGGCAGGTTAAGAAAACATGCCTCAACATTCAAAGAGCCATCAGTGGCTCAAGGGCCATACATAAGTTCCATCATCCTTTCAGCAGGACTGTCAAAATTATTCTTTGTACAGGACTGTTAAATTTACCCTGTATACAGGACTGTTAAATTTATCCTGTGTACAGGACAGACAAATGAATTCTGTGTACAGGACAGACAAATGTATTCTGTGTACAGGACTGTCAAATGTATTTTGGGTAGAGGACTGTCAAATGTATTCTGTGTACAGGACTCTCAAATGTATTCTGTGTATAGGACTGTCAAATGTATTTTGGGTAGAGGACTGTCAAATGTATTCTGTGTACAGGACTCTCAAATGTATTCTGTGTATAGGACTGTTAAATTTATCCTGTGTACTGGGCTGACAAATGTATTGTGTACACACTTTTAGATTTTTCTTTTCGGCTCATGCAGTGGTGTTTTTACTTTTGATATTGACATTATTAATTAATCATGCAGTTAAAACATGACCATCTGTCTAAACTGTGCCCAACTCAGATGTATTATATGTTAGTGTGCTGTCTTGTTTTTCTTTTAGGTAACACATTTGCGTATAAGATAAAATATAAAAATTTATCTTTGTAAAAGAGTGTCAATCATTGTTCCAAGATAACAATGTATTGTTTCTATTTGACAACCAACAGTATTCATAGCTAAAAACCAGCTGAATCAAACTTTTGCGTACAAGCCCATTAGATGTTAATAAACACTTTTGAGCATCTCTTTCACCTCATTCAACCATCTCTGTTTTAAGATTTGACAAAACATAAAGCTGAACTTACTTTTGCTGGCTCTACTTCATTGTGGATCAATGACTCATGATCAATGTGGCGTCTCTGAAAATAAAATACTCATGTATTTATTGTTAAAGAAAAAAACAGAACACTTCTCTTTCAACTTTTTCTAAAATGAAGGAAATTTTTAATACATGATGAAAATGTGATTTTGTATTCTTTTGTTGATGGCTTTACTCTCACGACCTTACCGTAAGTCTTTTCTTGATGAAGATTAAATAAATTGGCTTCACAAACAACAAAACAGGAACTGAAAGAATGGCCAGGGCAAACATAGCCATCTGTACAGTTTTCTGTAAACCAATAAAATGTTTTCTTGATATAAAACTTTTACAAAAAGTAATTAAAATTGAGATTATTGTAAACCCTACAAAAAGCTTGTCAATTGCACTAATAGAAAACATTTTCAAAATAACTAAAATTTACAAGACTAAGTAGTTCATTGTTTGTCTTTTTTTTTTTTTTAATCAAAATTATTTCGTGGTTAATGCAATTGTGTAAAATGTTCATTGTAGTGAGATATTTAATGAGATTATTTTTATTTTACAAAAAAAAACATAGAATCTAGTTTCTTAAATGAGAAAAGTCCATTACCATTGTAAATTAGTAATACAAACTATTTTACTGTTAAAACTTTTAGGTTAGAACTACCTGTCCATTATAGTAAACATAATTTGGGTTGCAGGTGTCACCTTTACTTGGGTAGGTGTACTTGAACATAAACATGTTGATGTAATCTGGATATACACAGAGATAATATCAGCTATATTGTTAGCTAAATTATACATTAATTTGTAAGCATTATTTTAAGACATTATACAATATTACATAGCTGTCTTTTCAAATCATAGCATGATTTAAAAAAAAAAAAACACTTTTACAATTTACTATGCCTTGATGAGAACAAAACCAAAATGTACTCATAATTTATATTTATGTAGAAAAAAATAATAATTTTTATCACTACAAAAAGCATAAGATCAATTCCAAAAATTATTTTTAAAAAATCTATTTAAGTTTTTAAAATCCTCAAAATTGAAATGTTGATATTTGCCTGTTTTTACTCAATTAAAATGGTAAAAACTCAGATCATACACCTCACACACCAAGTGTTCAAAAATAAAATTTGGGAATTTTAACAACTTGTATTCCCTAACTTTAATTTACTTACGAATCAGAAGAGCTGGAGCACAATAGGACTCTGTAGCATCAAACGTGAGCCATTTGTAAAATATTTGTGACACCAGGTAGCCAAACAGGCAACCCAAAAAGAGAAGCTCAGGGACAAACCGGATGAAAATGTCTATGTAGTTCTTGAAATGGCTGAAACATTTTTAAATGGTTACCCTTGCATCTTGTGTACAAGTTACAACTTTTCTTTAATGCTCAATTGTAACCATGTTTCAGAAGGCTATTGAAAATATTTGGAATCAACAGTTAAATGAAATCATTTTAAGTTTACAATATTCATTAAAATAACTTACATGTGGTTAAAGACTTGAAGGCAAATACCAAAAACCATCTGTATGACTCCAAGAGTGATTGCCATTTTCATTTTCAATGAGTTCAGGAAAATAATCTTGTTAGTGGATGCTTGCCAGATCTGTAAAAAGGGAAGAAGAATATAGAGAAAATTTGAAAATTTATAACATTGAAATACTGTAATTTTTTTTTAATTGAAGTGATGAATAAAAAATATATTTATTTTTAAAAATCAAGTGAACACAGAGGAAAAATATGAGTTTAAAAAATTAAGTATTCTTACAGGATCAATACCAAAAGCATATGAAGTTGAGTTCATATGGGATGTAACTGGATTAAGTTGGATTTCATCTGATCCCCATTCAGAATCTCTGGAAGTAATAAAATAAAAGTGAAATTTAAAAATATTAAAAATATGGCTAAAAGTTATATTTTCATAAGTTTTTAAATTGATTTACAAGATAAATTAAATTTAAAATATTTTAGTAAAAATTTAAGAAAAGAAAAAGAACTTTTGATAAGAAATCTGAAACTTAAATGTTAAAAAAATGTTTCTTACTTTATAACAGGATACCACTTGGATCCAAAGATGTTGAAAGACTTAGAGAAAATATCATTATAGATCAATCCAGTGTAAATAGAGAAGGCTCCCATCATCATGATAATGTACCGACCTCCAAAAAATGTGTTTGCAATCTGTAGGAAGAAACATTACACACAATAATTTTTTAAACAGGAATTTCATAATTATTTAACCTCTTAAAAACAGTAAATAAAATGAGCAATCATCACATTTAGTAATAAAATAAAAATAAATATACTAGGGCCTACTAACCTCATTGGTGAGTTTGCTTGCACTAATTTCCTTTTCTTTTAAAACCAGAGCCAATCCAAAGAGGAACATGATCAACCCATGGCCAGCATCACCAAACATGACAGCAAACAGGAAAGGGAAGGTAATGATGGTGTAGGGGGCTAAAACAAGAGAACAGTTACATTTTTTTTTAAATTACATACTTCTTTCATCAGTTTTCATCAATTGAAAAAATAATTTTTTTTTCAAATATCGTGAATTCTGTCTCATTTTTAAAAATATTTCTTTCTTTTATACTTGCAGAAGATAGTAATATGAAAATTGTTTCTTGATTATATTTTTAAATTTATTCTAATTATGCTTGTTATTGAAACTAGTTTTCTAGTTTAAAAAGCACCAGTTTATATTGACTACCTGGGTTAACCTCTCTATATGTGGCAACACCATAAGAATCTACAATGTTCTGGAACCCTTTAACAAACTTGTTACAGTTGTAGTAAGTGGGCGGGGCTTCATCAGTCACCACTGGTTGGATGACACTTGGTATAGAGCTGCCACTGGCTTTCTAAACACAATTTAGAGCAGTTTTTTAGTAGATAGAAAATATGTAATAATATATTGAATTTACTTGTTAATAACCCATTAATTTCCCATCCCACTTTATCCAAAAAGCTCAGGACAGCTCTTTGGATAAATAGATTTGGTCATTTTTATTTTAGTACAAGATGGTATTACTAATTTATTTCTGAATCATGCAATTGCATCTACCCAATGTTATACAAAAAAGAAAATGGCTTTGTACTCTAAAATGGTTGCTGACACCAGGTATCTATTATATGGTGACACTATAACATATAAAATATAACACTAATCCCAAACACCAATCCTAGCTAGCCTAAATATGCTAATAATATATAACCTAACTCAGAACTGGCAATACCAGCTGAATAACCTACAAGCATTAAGTCTGGTACTTTAACTTAATAAACTGCAATAAGTGTAGGTATATGTGATAAATATTTAAAAAACAAAATATAATAGACAATTTTTTTACATGACTAGCAGTTGCTCACCATTACAGATAAGTTAAATAAATCATATGTTCTATGTACCTCCCCAGCATTGAGAGCTCTTCTGATGTCATCAAAGGCCTTCAAAGGAAACCAACATTCAGCGTGAAGACTGTTCTGATGAACCTCAAACATGTTCATTGTGTGATAAATTGCCTTAATCTTCTCCACTTTGATGGTCCAGGATCTGATTTCTTGCTGAGCACTTCTCAAAATACGAAGACGATGCTCATTGCTCTGGCTTAAAACCTGTGACATGCCAAATAAAAAGTTTAAAAAATTTTTTTGTAATACTATAAAAGGTTAACACAATAGAAAATTAAGTGAAGAAATGCAGTTTTATTTTTAAATGAAAAACTGCAAATTCATTCTATAAAACTTGGTTGTGTTAACAATGGTTTGTCATGTGATGAATCATGTGATTACTTACAGTATCCAGTTCACTAATTCTGGTGGTGACACCTGCCAACATTTGATTCCTTTCATTTTGGTTATCTGGTACTGGATAGATGGTGCCCCTCATCCTGGTCAATGTATATCATAAAGAAAACTAGTAAAATAATAACTGGAAAAAAATAATGTCGATGTAGTAATTTATTTATTAAACATCCATGCTTATTTACAGCACTTTTACAGAAGATTATTTTAAAATAAATAAAATGGAAGCAAAGACAACCATTTCATAAGAAACCATCTAATCTAAAGTTATCAAAATTAAAAGTCTAAAAACAAATTAAAGTGAAAAAAAGTTTGAAACGGAATAAATAAAGTGTTGCAAAGTAACGGATTAAAAATTCTGTTGACATACCCCTCACACACTTTTTTCACCTTGACTTTCAACTGCTCACCCTGGTAGAAAACTATGAACATGCATTTGTGCAGCAGATCGCCCTACAGAGAAGACAAAACTGTAAGTAACCATTCATTTCACTTGGTATACAGATTAAGCAATTACAGTAGCATTTTGCTAAAGTTAGACTGATTCCATAATACTAGAATAAACAGCATGGCATTTTCAAGTATTATAGAGTAAAACTTAACCATTAGATTTACCCAGCCTATCCAATAAATAAAACAACTTGGTATAATCTCCACGTCACAATTCTCATAAAGTTTAAAGATAGACTGTGTACCCTAAATGAGCTAGCAACAATGAAACTGATAGGTCTCCACTTACTGTAGCTGGGTCTCTGAAGGGGGTGGGTATCTCTTCAACCCTCATGAAAACTGTGCTGTGGGTGATGAACTTCATGACGCGCTCAAACACAGGAACTCTTTCCCTCTGTATGGTCCCCACATAAAAGCTGTGGATTTTTTATGGTCATTTTATTATTAATATATTTTAAAAACATAAATTTCAAATAATTCATAAACATCTTATCAATCAATTTAAAAAAAAAAAATTTAGGTTACTATTAGGCCTATTTTATTCATTTTATTATATATCATACAAAATCAGCAAGCAGAATTGTTATTGCTTTTATATAAAGATAATTTTTTTTTAAATTTTATATATTTTTGCCACCAAAGTCTCTAATTCTGTTTACAAGCTGCGATCTGCAGCAAATCCACCTAGCTCTGATGGTTACCATGGAAACTAAAGTCTGGGTAAGTGCTGACCCCACTATCCCCTCATTGGTAGAGGTCAAGGAAATAGATTAACTTCCTCATCAGCCCCAGGTGCTTTCTGCTCTAAAAGACTTTTTTAACTTACAACATATAAAACTATCATTCTTAAAAAAAAAAGGATATTTTTAAAAAATTAAAAATTAGAAAATTTTTCTTTTACTTTAGGCTAGCTGTTTGCTGATGTCTCATGTTAATTATGGAATCATCAGTAGCCTGAACAGTTGAATCTTCATCCAATCTCTGTTGAATCTCTTGTCCATACTAAAAAATTTGTTTAACTTTTATTTTGAGCTTTTTAAAAATGACACAATACAATTTTTTAAAGAACTAAAATTAGACGGCTCACCAAGTTTAGGTAGAACTGTGTTTGTTGGAGTACCTCCCTCAGCTCTGTCAGCTCTAAAAAGTTTTGTTTCAGAGCTTCATTGTTGACATTCACCTGACGCAGCTCTGTATCCATCTTGTCAAACACAACCTAAACATGCACACAATTATTAGCAACTCAAGAAACTTTAAAGGTGTCTGATAATTGTAAATCTAATTAAATGCTGATCAAATGTTGATCTTTATTTTAAATTGAAACATGGATGCAAATTTTTAAAAATAGTTTCAAATTAAAACATAAAAAAAAACATTGAAATTTACTTCAAGATCATTCATCTCTTTTGGTATGGGAGCTTTTGGGTTCTCATGATTGTCCACAATTGTTAAACCTTCCTTTAAAATTTCTTTTTCAGCGTAGCCTAAAGGTAACAACAGTGTGAGAAATGGAGACATGTATAGGCCCTATATATCAATCTACCTGTTATATTATATAATTTGCATACAAATTGTGGCAGAGTGCAATTGATATATTATTATTATATGAGGGAAGGTTTGTTTTTATACAGCCAAGACACATAACCAGAACAAGTGTATACATATATAGGGCTTTATCAAATTAGTAACAGAAGAACATAGTAAATTTTTCAAAAATTAAACTTTAAACTTGTAAATAAGTGAAGAGCAGTAAGTTTCTTACGGAGTTTTCTTTCCATTTCCTCACATCGCCTGACCTCATTTACATAAGTTCTTTGAAAAGCATTCAAATTTGCATTTAACTGGAAGAGAAATCATTAGGATTTAATGAAACACACACAACTATAAGAAATGAAAAAAATAATTTATAAAAGTGTTAAAAAATTTCCTTTGTTTTTAAGTCACAAATAAAAATTATTCTTAACATATGTGTTAATACAACAAACATACTTAAAACACAGAGAATGTAAGACAGTTTATTATAAGATCAAGTTAGAATTTTTTAAGTTATGGCTTCAAATTTTAAGACTATTTAATCAAAGAAAACACACATGGCATATCCACTCTAAAAATAAAAGTATACATTTCAAAAGGTTATAACTAGTAGAAAAATTTCTATGTACATCTAAATGCTGTATGTATTAAATAAAACATAAAATATTTCACACATCGCCCTGTTAATTCTATATGTATTTAATAAAAAAACAAAAATATTTCAACTGACATCTTTAAACTGGACCAGGCCAAGTTCCCCAAGCTCAGAGACACAAGCATAAGCAGCTTCTGTCTGAAGGAACATTTGACACAGGCGCATCTCCTCACTCCTAAACAGGGAGCCCATTGCTGTTGATGTTTGGAGCTTTGTTTTCAACTATCTTTCAACGGCGACAGCTTGAATATATAATACTGAAAAAAAAAGTATTGAAATATTAGTTGTTTTTTTTTAAATTGGTGTGGTTATTTTCTAAAATGAGAATGGACCTATAATTAGTTTCACCATAAATATAAAGGTGAAACATTGTTATCCATCCAAACTCATTTCTGCCTGAAAATTAAAATAATCTTGTTTCTAAGCAAGAAGATTTCCCTCTCATCCAATTCACCAGCTCTACTGTTTACCAACTACTCAAGTGTAGTAGGCATCACGTTAAGTCTAGCTTCTACCAAAACAGAGTTAGGAAAGGTGAGTTATGCATCCAAAACTAATGACACATAAGACAGTGCAACAAGGCACAAGTGTCAGATCCCTTGTTTCATAACATCATCCTCCCATACAATACTGCTTACTAAATGGGGGGTCAGGGATACAACTTACTACTTAATAATTAATATGGCACCTAGATTTGAAAGCGTGCCCTACACTAGGGATATAGTTGGCTACTATAATCAAGACCAAATCAAACCAGGGGTTGCAGTAATGTATCAGGTGGTTCCAAAGTGCAGCACCATTCAAACCTGGAGCTTTTTACCTCACCATTGCAGAGGTAAAATTTTTGTGTTTTCATATAGGACACACTAGGGTGTCTCATAAATTGTTGTGTCAGTCTGGTTTGTGGGACTAGATTTGGAGAGTCTTTGCTTCTTACATGTGCAACTGTACATGACTAGACCTATTCAAATAAGATTCTTTATGCTATAGTTTTGAATTTATAAATAAAATATTTATTTGGCGGCCTGGACTATCCTATGAGCGCTATGGTGCATAATTTCATTTTAAACAGTGTGATAGACTATAGACAAGAAAGGTTACTACAGTCTTTAAGTTTAAGTGAATGAAATTCCAGCGTCCTCCTGCGCCCTGACAGGATGAAATTTGGCGCACCAGGCCTTCCCGCGTTTGCTATGGTGTTCATTTAAGTGAGTGCAAAAGACTATGAATAAGTTGGGGTACTATAGTCGTTTACTAAGCTGACACAGACGGTTCCGCCGGCTCCACAGCATGGTGCGATTTGGCGCCCCGGGCTAGACTGTGAGCACTTTGCATTTATGTTTGCGTTTTTGTTAATTGTTGCGTATGTGGTTGGATTTGGTTTGTGTTATGTTTGCGGTTTTTTTTTTGGTGGCAATTCCAGGTATATGCTGATTACTAAACACACATGTCATGGTCCTTTACAGATAGGTTTTTCACAGAGCCAAGTGCAGGGCCTGGCTGGGATGGCTAGTAATATATAGGCCTATATTCTATAATTAAATATAATATAATTATACAGTAAATAGGCCTTGGCTATTTTTTTATATAAATAATTATATTAATTATTAATTTAAATTAGTATGCCTAATAATTAGGCCTACTATTAATTAGTCTAAGCCTATAATTATAATAATTAATAAAATAATTATTCAATAGGCTAAGGTCTATCTATAGACCTAACCTCATGCTTAATATTATTAATATAAATAGGGGCCTAATAGTAATACTAAATACTAAATAGTAATAATAAAATAGTAATATGCTATTAATAGGCAATGACCTAATATTATTAAGATTTATTTAGTTATTTAGGTAAGGCTTAGGCTTAAGCCAGTTAAGTAAGGTATTTACTAAGTATTTAGTTTAGTAAAAAAAATTTACTTACTAACTAAACTATCCAATACTAGCTAGAATCAAAATAGATTAGATCGGTAATCTATCGTTTTAGCGTAATCAATTCGGTCGTCACTAGCAATGTAGGGATAAGGTAACTAATAAATATGGCTTAAATATGAATATATTTTTGCATATTCTACTAAAATACTAAAGATAATTGAATATTAAACCACATTTAAGGGTTAAATCAATAAAAATGTCATGAAATTAAGGTTTAACAACGATGTTCCAGATACTAAATTTGCTATTAAAAACAGCGGCCATCTTAAGAAAATATTATTTTGAGTCATTTCCCTTTCATTTCTATTTGTATGGAAATGTATTGATGTTTGCTATTAAATACGTTTGTCTTGTGTTTAAATACAAAGCATGCGTTTTTTTTTAATTCTGCCCTTTAAACAATTTAATTGCCTGACAATAAACATCAATTCTACAATTATTATTATGATATGCAATTTTTATGCATAAGAAACTCCCTATTTTTATAGAGCTACCACTACATATCTAATGTTTATTTAAATATTAGTTTAAGTTAATTGTTATTGCTTGTGTCATTGTTTGTTTGCTATTTTCATTTCATATTTTCATGCTTTTTACCTTTAATTAGTTATTAAATCATAAATGACGTCACGTTTTTTTACCTATCTTCACCTTAACCCCCCCCCCCCCCACTCCCCCCATTTTCGCCGTCACGAAATAGTCGTAATGTCGAAAATTACCTTTTTGCCCTGCCTGTTAAAAAGTCAAGCCATAATTCAAACGAAAAAGAATTTTTTCAGCATTTTTGTATTAGGCGAAATACTTAACGTTTCACGTTTCTTACCCCTCCCCTTTCCCGCGTAAAACGTCGCCTCAAAATCAGTTACTCCATCCCTTAAGTGCGTGATGTCATTTATGATAAATGTCAAGTCCTAACCTCCAATACACATTTTGAACAACCTTTGTTGTCAAAATGTTGATACCAAATACCCAAAATGAGTTATATGGGGTTGTCGATAAACGATGTCACATTTGCTATTCTAATGTGACGTCAAGTTACGCAGGACTGCAATTTATGCCTATAATGAAGGGGTGATCGGGGGGGGGGGGGATGAGTGACGTCAATTATGGAAGACTTCTATAAAGCTGTGCTCAATGAAAATGAGGAACATAAAGCGTTCGTTTTCATGCATGCCTTTGCTCATAACGAATGATCATAACTATTGCAAGCCTGTTGTCCTAAGCGGTGTTAAAGTTAAACAACCTCAGCACATCATCCCCGCCAAAAAGGGCCTGCCACTAAATGCCTACCGACGAAAATAGGCCGCACTACATTGACTCCAAATGTAATAACTTCTGACAATAAGGCTCAAACCAACTAGCTCATGGCAACGATATTCGACAAGAATCCAAGACAAATATTGGCTTGCAGGTAAAATTGGACAAAACAGCAAGTTTCGCGACATGGGGCATAAAAAAAGATCAACCCTTAATACGACAGCAGCTAATGTAAAAAGCCAGAGCTCAGTATAGGCTTGAGTTTAATATAGAAATTGTGTTAGCAGTGGACGGTGCATTAGGAATACGGCAGTCGGCTAAACGCCCGAGTCCGACGTTGTCTGAACATCAAGTTTGTCTTTTATAAAGTGCGGAGCACCTTTAAGAGATGAGCTTGGGGAGGGGGGGGGGTCCCTTTTGACACCACCACTATCGCCGCTTATATCAATCTCAAGTTTTGCGTGGAGCTTAATGGGCAGACGAAGGGTATAGGTGGGACTGGGAGCCGAAATGCATATACGGAAGCCGCTGTGTCACGGGCATTTTACAGCCGAACGTCTCAGGGCAGCAGGTTGCAGAAATTAAAAGCACGTGAATTTGTATAGTAGAGGGAGCACCGCATGCCACTGTAATAAATTAAACACCAATATAATTTACCGAACTAAAGTCATTTAGATCTATTCGTCAGACTAAACGTCGCTAAAGTCTCAACGCAATAGTGCCTGTTTTGATTTTTTTTTAATTAAGCGGTATCTCTTTCTTTAACATTAGCCTAATGACTAATGACGTCACGCGCGCCGAGAACTTTGTGACGTTGTGCTAAGTGGGGGATGAAACGGTGGGGTTGAGAAAAATGACGTGTTTCTTTTTTTAACAGACGAATAAGTGATAGATTCTAATTCTCCTACGAACTATAGGTTGATCTAGTTTTTTTTTTTCTAGAGGGAAATATCACCATATATTGAGTGTTTTTTGTTTTTGTAATAATGGATGATGGGGATGGGTAAACAACGACTATTGAACAAATAAAAAACCATGTGGTATTCAAATGTAACTAATTAAAATTTAAAACTATTTTTATAAACACAATAATCTTAATTCAGAAAAAGTGTAGGCTTAAGACTAATGTCTACAGACAAAATAAACAACTAGGCTTAAATGGATCACTCATAAACAGTGCCGGCGCCAGATTATTTAGCGCCCTAGGCAAAACTTATTAAAAGCGCCCCCCCCCCCCGCAATTTTTTTCATGCCCCCGTATTATCAGAGGCGTAGCGACCCTTCCAGCGCCCGGGGACAAGCTTACGATTTGCAACCCCCCCCCCCCTCAAACTTTCAATTTGTTTTTCCAACCCATTTTGGCGTCCCCCCCCCCCCCCTACGAACAGCGCCCTAGGCGACAGCCTAGTTCGCCTTATAGGTAGCGCCGGCCCTGTCCATAAATGACATCATACTTTTCCCGATGAATTCCCTTTCCCCAAATCGTCACTAAAAGCGAGATGATGATTTAATATCATATCGCAGTTCTACTATACCCGAACGCGTAACCACAATTTCTAACGAAAACGAATATATTGTTCATCATTTAAAAAAAAATATTTTACCCGTCCCATATTTTGGGTCCAACGTCATTTATGAAGAATATGGACGATCTATTAATTGACAAGTTCATCAGTACAAAAGGGTTTAATAAATGATAAACCTCCCAAAAGTTTTTGAGATCTTGGATGTACATACATACATAGCCTTCATTTCAATTGAAATTAAAGATAAGAAGACGGCCCTCTGTACTACTTACATTAAACAAGACAGCTATGCATATTAAACAACAAAGTCAACACAATATAGATTTCTACGTACGAATAGACATTCTTATCAAGGGAAACTACTCTAAATTTTATTTGGAAAGATGGCCGCTGTTTTTATCTACTAACATTTATCTCAAACACCTTGTTTAAAGTTAGTTTCATGGTATTTTAAATTTTTTTGGTCACTGATTGTTATTTGAAATCAATTATCTGTTTAATTTTGTAAAATTTGACTTAAATATACTTATTTAAACAAATATATTCATCAGTTACCTCTCCCGCACATTACTACTGCGGCCGAATTGATTACGCTAAAACGATAGATTACCGATTAGATCTATAATTATATTTAATTGTGCTTGAAAAAATGCCTTATAAAAAATATATATAGGCCTATAGTCTATAGGGCCTAAAAGGGGCGTGATCAACTCATCAACGCCTACATGATCAGCTGACACCAGTAATCGTAGTAGTATGATGATGAATAAATGAACAGAATTTCAGCATTTTTTTTTCGATTAAAAACCATCATTAACATTCATTTTCATTAGTGAAAAAAACCAACCATTGAGTCACTGTAGTTAATAGCCTATTTTATTATATTTATTTCTTTTAATACTTAGATCTCTAGATTTACCTGTTGAAAGAGGCGGAGATTTCGACAGAGTAAACCTCCAGCCTACAGCCCAGTTGAAAATGTTTTCAGAAAATGCTGTCATGTGACTATCATGTGACAAGGGAAACTATTTACAGAGACATAAAATTATGGACATAGGGCCTAGGAAACTTTTATGAAAATAAGCACATTATTACATTATTTACACATTAATTTTTATGTCTTTAATAAAAAAAAAATGATCATCCTCACATTCTAACCTCAATGCAATATTTCTTACACTATTCTTTTACAAATTAACCATCTCGTAACGTAATACTGCTCTCGTAGGAGGGGGGGGGGGTTCATAATTTTATTAATTTTTCATAAAGAAATGTTGCAAACTGAATTTTAGCGGTTATTTCGCGTTTTAAAAAACGGTTTCGTAAAAATAGGCTAATATGAATCAGAGGCGTAGCGACCCCTCCCGGCGCCCGGGGCGAACTTTCAGTTTGGCGCCCCCATATATATATATATATATATATATATATATATATATATATATATATATATATATATATATATATATATATATATATGTGTGTGTGTGTGTGTGTGTGTGTGTGTATGTGTGTGCGACAGTCCGGAAAAAGATTAATAATTACGCTGTATGATTGTCGTTCCCTAAATCTTTACTCAGCGCCAATTAAATTCCCTGTAAGATGCATTATCCTTTAAAAATTATTAGTAATGTCAGAAAAAAAAAATATTGTAGCGGTGCTAATTCGTTTAGGACAGTCTTTTTATGTTTTATCTTTGGAGCAATCTCTGTTATGATATAGTACATGGATTATAAGTTTGTTAGATTAAGGTCATACAATTGACATGCAATAGCAAATTATGTTCCCTTTGGACTACGATATGGGTATTTCGTTGACTGGTTGATTGTATAATGAAACAAGCTGAAGGAAACAAACTGGAATCCAACGGACACAACAGCTCGAAGTCTTGGATTTATCAGATGTGCGCTGCCTTCTCGCTCACAGTCAACAAAAAAATCAGAATTAATTGTACTGGTTGACAAAGCTGTATTAACCGGTTTAATGATAATATCTGACGCCCATGACGTTCAGATTAGAATCAGCAGCGATAAAATGTGTATTAGTATTAACATTCTAAGTCGATGTGGAAATAAAATGCGTTGTCAAAAAATAAACCGGGAGTGATCTCCCCTAAACTTTCTCGAATATTCCTATATAAACAACAGGGGATGAGAACTCGGGCTATAGACATGATTTTTAATCCATTTTAAAATAAGAATAAAATCTCGTAGACAAAAGACTGCACACCAAGTGAACGCGAAATAAAAAAGCGCATAATAGTGCGCAATATTATTAGTACTTTAAAAATTTACATTAGTTTTTTCAGAAATCGGAAGTAGCGTAAATTAGTACTTCCGGGCAACGGAAATTACTCAAAATTTGACAGAAGGTAGATAACTAGATCTTATACTAACATGTGAAATTTCATTTATCCATCTGAAATAGTACTCAAGTTATAGGCTTTTGAAAAATTCAAAGTAGAAAAAGTACCACTTCCGGTTATCGGAAATCGCTCAAAAGTTGATACGGATCTACGATTTTGATAAAATACTTATATATGAAATTTCATCCACCTTGCTGTAACGGCACTCAAGTTATCGTGTTTACACACGGACACACACACACACAGACACACAGACATACGGACAGAATTGCAAAGCCCAGTTTTTCAGACTGGATTACGCATAAAACCTCTTAATTTTGATAAATCTGGATTGATCATTTTTGCCCGATTAAAATAAGTCCTCTATACTTCGGATGTGATGAAGGACTGAGGTGTAATCCGGTGAAAATTGTTGAAATTTCAAGTGATTTTTGTGCACGATTACAATACTTTCTCTATACTTCGTATATACGAGAAAGTAAAAAAGTTCAGTCATGCTCTATAGCTAAATATGAAATATCTTTTACTGTATGGCTCGGAGCTAGGTTAAAGACAGTGGATATAGAAAATATGGTGGTTAGGACACAATATGAGAAAGATAAAAAATAACATCACTATGCAGGTGTTTGTGTGAAGTCCACGGGGAAAGAGGAAGAGAAAAAGACCAAATAAGTCCTGAAAGAAATCGTTTGAAATAGAGAAAGGGGAAGGCTGGGATATTACAGTTCGATCTTTATAAAAATCAAGTGAGTTGACGAAGTTTCACCTACGCATATGTTCCTTAGGAAGCCGATACGAATAAAAAGAAGTAATCAAAAGAGATTATAACAGTGGGTTCCATCGAACCCAAGAGGTTCAGTAAGTCAGTCTCAGGGCTTTCGTAGAGTTCAAGACACACAATCGGTTTCTTTTCTAAGTGTTAAAAGAGTTATCTAGTCCTGCGCTTTTTGTTGGTGAAAAAGCGCCCCCCCCCCCCCCCCCCCCCCCCACAACCACCATGTTGGACAAAAATGGTAGACCGAATTTTAAACGGCATTAACTCTTTTTTTTTTTAAATGTTACACAATCGTTAAATAAGCTTTAGTACAATGGGTTTCTTTTCTGAGTGATATCGATTATTTATACCTTAATCCGGTGTGAATTTTTCCGATTTAGTCTTCGAAAAAGCGCCCCCCCCCCCATCTAGGAAAGCTGGAAAGCGGTCTTTCCGATCACTGTTTCTTAAGAATATACGTTGTACAGTGAAACAATCAAGGTAGAAAACAGTTAAATCATAATGCAAAGGCTTTCAGCCGTTATATTTATTTACTTCGACTGTTTATAATTCAAAACTGCAGCTTAAAATGAGCTTAAAAAATTTTTTCTACCCCTTTTGGCGCCCCCCTAGGGTCGGCGCCCGGGGCGGCCGCTCTCCCCGCCCTCCCCTAGCTACGCCTCTGATATGAATCGATTAGTTAGTTCCTTACTATTCCTTGTTGGTCATGAATAATGCAGTTCCAATATATTGTTGTATACACGGTTGGTAACATTGGTGTCGCCGTTACTTGAACCCACATTAAAAACATTAAACTTACGACATTTTCTTAAGTCTTGACAACTCTTAACACAATGTGAGAATTATAAATGTAAGCCCAACTCGCCTCACTTGTACCGGATTACTGACCTTGAGTGGTTAGTTTCCCCTTAACAATAGCGATACATACAGGAAAGCGCGGTTGGGTTTTGTTTATTTTATAGTAGTGACATGGGACGTTTCTAATTTTCTTCCGCATTTATTCGGGAAATAGCAGATATGAGGAGGGGGGGGGGGGGAGCGACCGCATAGAGAAAAGATATATGATTAACCGAGATACAAGCTAACGTAGGTGTCTCAAATTGTAGTGGGATCGAGGGTCAGGTACACATCAAGCACAATATATATGACATGACATGTCAATAGTTGTTCGCGTGTCGTGTCCGTTCAAGCTGTCACAACGACAAATGGCGCATACAGAACAGTCTGATGATCTCTTGTAGAAAATATATATCTCTCATATCTATATACGATAGATAGATAGATAGATAGATAGATAGATAGATAGAGATATAGATAGGCATCTATTGACTGTTATACATCTTTTATTCTCTGTCTTCGTTGCTTATTTTTATGTATATAAACATAGGCCTAATGCTAGTGGATATACGTGAATTTTCTTTTTCGTAGTGGTTTGTCTTGAATGGAAGAGGATCATGTATTGCCTCAAGTTTTATAGCGTCCATATAATTCCTTTTAAGACAGACTTTCATGCTTATGTGTTGTGTAGACATCTGTGTAAGTGGGTTGTCCCACCCTGTTGTAGGCTAAGCAACAGTCAGAGATGGGTCTAACAGGAGTTACTAAGTTTAGCACATCCTGAAACAGCTGGTATTACCAAAACATGTCATTTTCATAAAAAGCTTTTTATTAATAAATGTAGCATGAATAATTTATTAGAGATAAAAGATATCACAATGCCCGTTAGAATTACAATTATGTGTGGTGGAGGGTGTGGGGTTTGAAAGTTAGTGCGTTCTGATGATGTGTGTTGTTGAATGAAATAGAAAAATAAACTGCTTCATTTGTCTTTTGAGCCTAAATTTAAAAGTAGATTGTATGATCTGTATTGTGAAAATAATAAATATACTTATTACTTAAGTCTGTTTAAAGTTAATTTAATTAGCAGACCCCTGTAGAATTACAGGTCAGCTATCGAGGTGTGCCCACCAAATGTAATGAAAATAATTTTTTAAATAATAATTTTAAATTGCTTTCTTCAAAAGTTAGTAATAATTTAGCCAGATATATCTTTTTTAAATGTCGTTTTTAGGGCTTAGACATCCAATTTTTAAAACTAATCAGCAACAATTAAATACGGATCAAATATTTTAAATCAGTATAGGGCTGGTAAGTAGGTCACCAACCAGTTCTGTGGCTCATGCAGGTTTTATTGAGCCGTAGAGCTGGTTGGTGACCAGTCCTATATTTATGAAATATTTCTTCATTTGCTTTATAATATATATAATTATAAATTGTGAAAAAAAAATCTTGGATAAAATTATATAAACAGATCCGAAGAGCAAAAAGTAATAAAAAGTGTGCTTACAGTAACGGCCTTTTGTGGCACTATAGATCTATATCATGGTAAAAGAAAATCTTGCATTTATTAAACTCAGTCCCAGGTTTCTTAAATATCATAGAAAATGGTCTTATTTTGTAGTGAACACATTTGTTCAATTCTTGAAAGAAGATTTTCTTGAGCAATATAAGAAAATGAAATACTGCAGAATCCATATAATAGCATTTCTTTAAAGGCAAAATATTAATACAGTGGTTCTTAACCTAGGTTCCATCGAACCCTAAGGGTTCGGTGAGTCAGGCTTAGGGGTTGGGCAGAGGTCAAGGTCAAGATGATTTGCGATCGGACTTTGTCAGTGCGGACAGTTCGCCGCAGCCGATGTCAGTTCAGAAACGACAGCGTGCCATAGTCTAGTAATAAAGTCCGCCAGCGGGATAACACAAATTGATAATGTGATATTTCTATATCGTGGAACCCTTGACGTTACGATACACATACTTCACGAACTGTGTCAACGCCACCTATACAGGCGCGTATTGCTCGTGTATATAGGTGCTGTGACGAACATACATTTATTTCTATATCGTGGCCAAGTAGCTGATGTGACTGTCTTCATTTCTTCTTTAATATTTTAATACCTTCATACTAACTTATGCCAAGCACAAAAAAAGTGGTCGGGGGGGGGGGGGGGGGGTATGTACAAAATGGATTCATATGTATAACGGAGCTCAATGGTAGTCAGCTCCCTAACTGCAGGCTTTGCAATGCCAAGTTTAACTAAGAGAACTATAGTCCATTCTGCACAAGTAAAATATATACGCCTACACTTATATTTAGAATTTTTTTTTTAAATAAAATTTTATTTTTCCTATTTAGAAGGTTAAATGAAAATGGTGGGGTTTGGTACTTCAAAACACATTAAGAATCAATGTATTAATATATTAATATTTTTGATTTTAAGATTAACTGCCTTAACCAGTAACTTCCTTAAGTGACTCCATGTTCAGAATCTGTTTGAAATTAAATGGCTGGAAACGGTATCCTTCTCCCACGTAAAACTTGGACTGGAACTCTACCCAGTGCAGACGAAGAGTGTGGAGAAAAGCGCTCATGCCCTCCATAAACAGCAAGATGGCCACCGTCAGATTGGCCCAGATGAAGAAAAAGATGAAGATCATGATCGCTCCAAAGTATGTTCCAGCCATTGGCATTGCCATACCGTTATGTAACACCATATTCCATAAGACTTCAGACAATTCTTTAAAAAAAAGTTTTGTTGGAATCATAAATATTCACATCTATCCAAAATACATTATACACACATCAATAATTAATAAGCTTTTACTTTTTAAACCTTTACATTATTGCAATATTTTTAAAAACATTCTAAAAAGTTACTAACAAACTTAATTGCTTGGGAAAGCCTATAGTATGTGATTTTGAAAACATTTAGAAAAACATTGCTTAATCCATGATTTTACTTACGTGCATGGGCCAAAGACAAAGCCCAAAGTCTCAGATATGAAGCAGTGTGAGAAATACAGCCCAGACAAAACTCTATTGTGTGTATAACTTGGTGTATTATTATCTCACCAGCTCCATGCTAAAAAACAAACATTTGACATGCATTTTCATGCTGGAAGAAAATGTACAAAAATAAATTGTATGATCTTATCTTCAATTGATGACCAAGGTTTAAACATAATCAACAAGAAACAGGCAAGATCAAGACATGAACTATGCAACACGCAGTAATAACAAAAGACATAGGAGAAACTAGAGCTTAACTATTTCAAAGAGAGTAAATTACTGAAAGTGGTGTCTGTAGTTATTATGCCAGCTATACTTAATATCTGTTAGATAAGCATTTTTAATAACTGTGAGATAGTAGGCCTATTTATTAAAAGATGGTAGATAAGCATTATTCAATTGGTTTTATATGAGTATTATCTACAGTAGTTTATGCTAACATAATCACATTATTATAAAAAAAATAAAACTGCTTCTTAATAACCTATAAAATTCATTCTGCCCTTAAGATCCAGATATTTAAAATTTACTTTTTAGCGCAATTTCCATACGGACAATTGCGATTATTAACTCGTCATTTCTGGATGGATGTGTGTCCCCAGCTTTAAGTCGTATCTCCTCCTCAACGAAGCAATATCGAGGACTAGTTCCAAAGCAAATATGTTAAGCAAGTTCCAAGGATGATTGTGGGCCAAAAAAATTCCCGGAATTCCTTCCTGGATTTCCCGGAAAAGCCAAAAAACCTCGAACAAATGCAGTTTTTGGTCCATATCTCGGCAACCAGACCACTTAGCGACTTGAAACATTTACCAATCGATTCCTGCCATAATTTAGAACAATATTGCAGAAGAAAGTTTTCAAAAATATCCTTTCGTTCGGTCACAAAAAATTAATTAAGAACATTTAAACTGAGCATCGTGTAAGCCTAGGATGATATTTACTACTTTTTTAAACTGAGCATCTTGTAGGCCTACTCGTTAAAATAAAACTATTTCCGTTGATATAGGTTAATATAGTTGTCTTTTTTTTTTACTTATTAATTCAAACGTTATTTTTGTACCCTATTAATTTATTTATAATTTATATGAGAGTGATGGGGAGTTACAATTACAAGGTTTTGTTTCGCTAGGCCTAATCATTTTTTCACATTTAAAAAAAAATTAATTAAGGAAATTGCGCTTAAATTGTCACTAGACTTTTTATTAACTTGTTTATGATCACCTGACAGTGATAAGTTTAGTTTCCTTTTGACAAGGTAAACTCACATCTTCATGATCCCCATGACCTCCTGATGGTTTATGTTCCTCTTCCTCTTCAATAACTACAGCAGCTGCAACTTGACCATTGCCATCCTGAAGTTTACAACCATAGGCATTAGGAATAGAAGTTTATTTGTGAACATGGAATATGTTAAACAGAAAACCTGCAACTGGCTAAAAAATAAATTAATTAAAAATCTTACTTGATTAGTACATACAACAAACAATGTCGTTGAGTGAGGGAAAACATACATAGTGTTGTTACTGCAAGCTATATACAAAATGTTGCAATCAGCTATATACAAAATGTTGCTATGATCTATATAAAGGGTGTTGTTGCTGACACCAAAATACACACAGGTGGAGTGAAGGTTGTAATGGATTGGAATCACTGACGAGAAGCCACATTGATTGTTAACAGTAGTTTATTCACACCATGAGGAAAGAGAGAGAGAGAGGGCGGAAGTCACGAGACACTTATATACATAAACATGTAAGGGACATCACTCAAGATAACAATATAAATATAATACAATACAGAAGAGTGAGTTCCCTTGACTTCACAAGTCTCACTATATTACAAAGGTAAATTTAACAAAATTATGTGGTCATACACCCACACTACAGATTCTAGTATCGACGGATCAGTTAATTTCCCCATTATTAGGCTAGTAATTGAGCCTCCACCCTTCCTGCATCTCATGACATCTCACTTCAATAAAGTTAATTTTCCCAAAATGAGTGCTTCTGACTCCATGTTATTCATCAACACACACAAAAAAATGGTAATAATTTTAGATTCTGTCAAAACTAGTTATATTTCGGGT